TCACGAAAGGACTTCAGTTCTGGAGTACTAAAAGTGAGCAGTTTTCCCTGCTCTTCCTGCCACGAAACACCAGCTTTTACTTCCAGTTCTGGAAAATCTTCTGGAAAACAGTGTCATAATCATTTTGTTCAGATAACTCTTGATCCAGAGCACATTTAAAATCAGAAGGTACAGCAGCCACAATTTCAGTTAAAAGTCTCTCAGAAAAACGCAAGGACTTCACACCAATCTTTGTCATAATACTTTCTGGTGCTATCCACCCAGACAGCAAACTGACATGGAATCAACGTGGAAACGACGTCTCTCATGACATTGAAACAACGTTGATTTTGCTCATCGAATTAACGTTGAACCAACGTCAGACGCGGCATTCTTCAAAGATAAATGAAAATCGAAAATTGGTTTGCTTTCATAACGTTGAAACAACGCGTTGATTTCAAGTTGATTTTCCGTTAGTTTTGAAAGAATGACGCGCCTGACGTTGGTTCAACGTTAATTCGATGAGCAAAACGATGTCAGATCAACGTTGTTTCAATGTCATATTTCCACGTTGATTCAATGTCAGTCTGCTATCTGGGCACCCATCTCTTTCCAGAAAACATGACAGCTTAGTGAGACCTGCTCTTACAAGAGCATTTCTCATGGAAACAGAGTTTAAACTTTTCACAGACAGCACAGGGTTATAAATGATAGGTTCTTCTTTACCCCAAAAACCAACGACAGATCCTTGTTTTCTAGAGTTTGAAAAAAACTTTTCAAACTCTAAGCATCGTTTCATAAAACGGCATTAAACCAGTCAAATCCACTCCATCAAGATCCATTAGAAATAGATGTCGATCAAGTCCCAAATGTCCTCCTTTTCTCAACAATCCACAGGCTACATCTGTCCAGCTGACGTGCCTGCTATACAGCAGTCTTTGAGCGGCCTGTAGTCTGAAAGCAGCAACTCTGCATTCAATGTCAATGAGTCCTTGTCCTTCGCAGGTCGGTAGATACAGGACAGCTGCTCTCAGCCAATGCTGCCCTGACCAAAAGAAGTTAACCAATTGTCTTTGATGACATTACAAGGAGGGTCCAACACGGCCATTTTGTGCCACAATGAAGACGCAATAAGATTATTCACGATCAAGACTCTTCCTCTGTACGAAAGTCGAGGACGTAGCCATTTCCACTTGGACAAGTGTACACACGTCTTTTCTATTATTCCATCCCAATTTTTAGTCTTATACAATTCTGAACCTAGAAAGACCCCTACAAATTTTAAACCAACTCTACTCCATTCAACATTTCCAGGCAATGCTGGTATTGAACTTGTGGTTCCGCACCATAAAGCTTCGCTTTTCCCCCAATTTATTTTGGACGAAGAAGCCTTTTCATAGCACTGAATACAACTTAATATACTTTGTATATCTTCTTCATCTTTTACTATCACAGTGAGGTCATCAGCATAAGCAGAAAGTTTCATTGGTTCATCACATGACCCTTCAATATATAAACCTTTTAAACAAGTTCTTAATTTACACAATAAAGGTTCAATCACTAAACAGTAGAGCTGGCCCGAAAGAGGGCAACCCTGCCTTATTCCCCTTCGGACTTTGATAGGCATACTTAATCATCCAGGAACTTTCACCATACATTCAGCTTTTTCATAAAGTAATCTAATCCATGAAATAAAAGCGTTACCAAAACCATATTCTCTTAAAACATCAAATAGATAAGAATGATCCACTCTATCGAAAGCCTTTTCTTGATCTAGGGATAATATTCCTAAATCAATATTACTAGACATTGAATAATCAATGACATCTCTTATAAGAAATAAATTATCTCTAATACACCTGTTTTTTATGCAATATGACTGATCTGTATGAATCAATACACCCCAGTCTATTAGAGATGCATTTTGAGAAAATCTTATAATCAGTTGTCAATAATGCGACAGGCCTCCAATTTTTAAGCAAAGTGAGATCACCTTTTTTTGGTAGCAGAGACAAAACTGCTCTTCTGCAGCTAGTAGGTAAAACTCCAATTTGTATGGAAAATAAAATCATTTCATAGTAATCTTTCCCAATAATTCCCCAAAATTGTTTGAAAAATTCAGAGGGAAGACCATCTAATCCAGGAGATTTTCCTATTGATAATTCTTGTACAGCTTTAGTTACTTCTTGAAAGCTTAAAATACACTCCAAATCCTACTCTAGTGTAAGTTTTGGGATTAAGTCAAAAAGTTCAGTTTTACTATCCAAATCAGTCATTTCCATGTCATACAGCTTGGAATAAAAATCAACAACAAATGTACTCATTTCAGATGAATCATAAAGTAAATCACCACTATCATTTTTCAAACACAGCATTTGTTTCTCTTGACACACTTTTCGTTCTAGATTAAAAAAGAACGTTGTTGGTCCATCAATATCTCTAATATGAGAAAACCGAGCTCTGACAAGAGCTCCCTTTACTTTTTCATGTAATACATTTTCTAACTGTAGTTTTTCTTCACATATTACATTTTGTAATTGATTCTCATGTCTTTCCAACATTTTGTTTTCAATTTCAAGAATCTCACTTTCAAGTTCTTTAATCGTATTTTCCATTCTTTTTGAGGAATAATAAGTATACTGTTGGCAAACAACTTTAATTTGGGTTTTTCCAACTTCCCACCACTGTATGACATCTCTAAAATCATGTTTATGCGTCTGCCATGTCTGCCAAAATAAATTACAATTTTCACAAAAAACGGCATCTTGTAACAGCTTCTTGTTAAAATGCCAGTATGAACCCACTTTTTGTTGTTTTGACAATATACAATCTATTGTGATCATTTTATGATCTGAGATGATATTAGGGATAATTTTAGAATTACAGACTCTATTCCTTGAGTTGTTTAAAATATAAAACTTGTCTAATCTTGCAGCATGAATCGTTCCTTCTGAAACCTTCACCCAAGTATACTGTTTTAAAGAAGGGTTTTCAGTTCTCCATATATCGTTTAACTCAAACTTCTTGATAATATTTGCCAAAACAGAGGAAGACTGATAGTGTGTTTCTTCATGATTTCTATCCATATTAAAATCTAAAATACAATTAAAATCCCCTCCCATAATCACAATATCGTTTGATTTTAATGTTTTTAAAACTTCTTCAATTTTCTTAAAAAGAACACTTCTCTCAGATCCTTTATTATTTGCATAAATATTCATAAAAATCACATTGTAATTATCAAACTTAGCTTTTACAACTAGTAACCGGCCTGGTTCTACTTCATGTTCAGATATAATGTTAACCTTACAGCTTGGACTAAAAACTATAGCTACACCCGAACTAACATTAGAGCCTTGACTAAGAATATACTTTCCTTCCCACCATAGGCCCCATTCTATTTCGTTATTTTTATCACTATGGGTTTCTTGAAGAAAAGTAACTCCAATATTTTTTATTTTTAAACATTCTGACAGCAATGCCCGTTTTCTTCTATCCCTAAAGCCGTTTATGTTTAAAGAAGCTATTCGCAAAGGCTCCATGAAACAAGAAAATAGGGAGAGACAGAAAAGAAAAGAAAAACAAAAAGACAGACAGCCTGCCATTACTATTATTTAATATTTCCCCCAATTCCCTTCCCTACTCGTTTCCTTTGCCTTATCGCAGCTATGTATTTTTTCAACCGAAAGCGTTTCTGTTGCGACAAGACAGAGTGATTATACGTTTTCCGTGCCCACACAACTGAAGCAACGAACTTATCAGCATCCGGGAAATAATCATCAATAATCTACCTTTAGTTTCATCCAGAAACTCATTAATCTCTTCCACAGTATACAAGCCATCACCTACTTTCGGACAATCAGATATATCAGAACAACAATCATCATCATCCTTATATCCAACCACATCTTGAACCGTAGACACCTCCTTTAAGGTTATTTCACTAATGTTACTACAACCCGGCTGCTCTTTTGGCAAAACCTCAGCAAAATTACTAGAATTTGCACTCACCTCATCTCTTGTATCCACGACTCTACCTTCTGAAACTTTCCCTGGTTCCTGATCTTGATCAGCTTGACTCTCCATTGCTGTTTGATTCTGATCGACCTCACTCTCAATTGTAGGTTCATTTTCGGCATCCCGAGTCTCCTCTGGTCTATTTTTATGTGGGCACGAGAATCTTTTATGGCCGATGTCACCACACTCAAAACACCGTAAACTTTCAGTGCTCGCATATAACACATAGGAACTATCTCCATCATTCACTCTAAACGACACATACAGAGTTTTATCCTGCGAATTTAAAAACATGTGAACTTGCCGTCTAAATGAAAGAACATGCTTTAAAGCTGGATTTTTGCATCCCAAAGGTACCATCTTAACTGGACTAACCAATTTCCCAAAACGAGATAATTCTTTAATGATCGCTTCATTTTTAATAAACAGAGGGAAGTTTGAAACGATCACTTTTGTAGCCGGTGCATATAACGGAGTTGCCGCCACAAACATCCCCTTCACCCAAAGTCCATTCTCAATTATTTGATTAACAAGCTGTTCTGTCTTCAAAAAAAACCACAACAGCTTTGTTCATACGCGAAGCCGAATTTATATTTTCATGACCTACCTGATCACCGACTACAATCAATACGTCCTCAATCGAAGCAGTCTGCTCCGGTACACACCTAAACCCATTCTGGAGGGAAACCGCACTGGTTCCCCCCATGGGAGACGCCATTCAGACGCCAAATAGGCCGCAAAAAACCCTAACCTATCTCAAACCCCCCAAAAGAAAAAATGAAAAACCCTCCCAGAAAAAATAAATAAATCAATCAATAAAGAAAAAGAAAAAAAAGAACAATAAATCAGTTTGAAACAAACCAACACGCTCTCCCACACGTGTCTCTCACACACGCACTCACTCACTCAACATCCGCCCAGAGAGAGAGAGAGAGAGAGAGAGAGAGAGAGAGAAAACACAAAAGAAGGGAAGAAACATCGGCAGCACACATAAACTCTTAATATTACGTCATGGAACGTAACAACATCAATTTAGGTCCAGGGCTGGACTGGGTCAATTTAGGTCCAGGGATGGACTGGGTCAATTTAGGTCCAGGGCAGGACTGGGACAATTTAGGTCCAGGGATGGACTGGGTCAATTTAGGTCCAGGGCAGGACTGGGACAATTTAGGTCCAGGGATGGACTGGGTCAATTTAGGTCCAGGGCAGGACTGGGACAATTTAGGTCCAGGGATGGACTGGGTCAATTTAGGTCCAGGGCAGGACTGAGACAATTTAGGTCCAGGGATGGACTGGGTCAATTTAGGTCCAGGGCTGGACTGGGTCAATTTAGGTCCAGGGATGGACTGGGTCAATTTAGGTCCAGGGCTGGACTGGGTCAATTTAGGTCCAGGGATGGACTGGGTCAATTTAGGTCCAGGGATGGACTGGGATAATTTAGGTCCAGGGCTGGACTGGGTCAATTTAGGTCCAGGGCAGGACTGGGACAATTTAGGTCCAGGGCTGGACAGGGTCAATTTTGGTCCAGGGCTGGACTGGGTCAATTCAGGTCCAGGGATGGACTGGGTCAATTTAGGTCCAGGGATGGACTGGGATAATTTAGGTCCAGGGCTGGACTGGGTCAATTTAGGTCCAGGGCAGGACTGGGACAATTTAGGTCCAGGGCTGGACTGGGTCAATTTAGGTCCAGGGCAGGACTGGGTCAATTTAGGTCCAGGGATGGACTGGGTCAATTTAGGTCCTGGGATGGACTGGGACAATTTACGTTCAGGGCTGGACTGGGTCAATTTACGTTCAGGGCTGGACTGGGTCAATTTAGGTCCAGGGCTGGACTGGGACAATTTAGGTCCAGGGCTGGACTGGGTCAATTTAGGTCCAGGGCAGGACTGGGTCAATTTAGGTCCAGGGTGGGACTGGGACAATTGAGGTCCAGGGCTGGACTGGGTCAATTTAGGTCCAGGGCTGGACTGGGTCAATTTAGGTCCAGGGCAGGACTGGGACAATTTAGGTCCAGGGCTGGACTGGGTCAATTTAGGTCCAGGGCAGGACTGGGTCAATTTAGGTCCAGGGTGGGACTGGGACAATTGAGGTCCAGGGCTGGACTGGGTCAATTAAGGTCCAGGGCTGGACTGGGTCAATTTAGGTCCAGGGCAGGACTGGGACAATTTAGGTCCAGGGCTGGACTGGGTCAATTTAGGTCCAGGGCTGGACTGGGTCAATTTAGGTCCAGGGCAGGACTGGGACAATTTAGGTCCAGGGCTGGACTGGGTCAATTTAGGTCCAGGGCAGGACTGGGTCAATTTAGGTCCAGGGTGGGACTGGGACAATTGAGGTCCAGGGATGGACTGGGACAATTTAGGTCCAGGGATGGACTGGGATAATTTAGGTCCAGGGATGGACTGGGACAATTTAGGTCCAGGGATGGACTGGGACAATTTAAGTTCAGGGCTGGACTGGGTCAATTTAGGTCCAGGGCGGGACTGAGACAATTTAGGTCCAGGGATGGACTGGGACAATTTAGGTCCAGGGATGGACTGGGACAATTCAGGTCCAGGGATGGACTGGGACAATTCAGGTCCAGGGCTGGACTGGGACAATTAAGGTCCGGGGCTGGACAGGGTCAATTTTGGTCCAGGGCTGGACTGGGACAATTTAGGTCCAGGGCTGGACTGGGACAATTTAGGTCCAGGGCTGGACTGGGTCAATTTAGGTCCAGGGCAGGACTGGGTCAATTTAGGTCCAGGGCAGGACTGGGACAATTTAGGTCCAGGGCTGGACTGGGTCAATTTAGGTCCAGGGCAGGACTGGGTCAATTTAGGTCCAGGGTGGGACTGGGACAATTGAGGTCCAGGGATGGACTGGGACAATTTAGGTCCAGGGATGGACTGGGATAATTTAGGTCCAGGGATGGACTGGGATAATTTAGGTCCAGGGCTGGACTGGGACAATTTAGGTCCAGGGCTGGACTGGGTCAATTTAGGTCCAGGGCTGGGTCAATTCAGGTCCAGGGTGGGTCTGAGAAAATTTAGGTCCCGGGCTGGACTGGGTCAATTAAGGTCCAGGGATGGACTGGAAAAATTTAGGTTCAGGGCTGGACAGTGTCAATTTAGGTCCAGGGCGGGACTGGGACAATTTAGGTCCAGGGATGGACTGGGAAAATTTAAGTTCAGGGCTGGACTGGGTCAAATTGGGTGTGAATGTAAAATGTTTGCGATTCTAATATGAATACATGGTTAAATATTTGATACTTGCTTGAGAAACTTAATATAGAAGGAATGCATGGAATGCCTGTTGTTTAAATTGTGTTTAAACGTGAATGCGTCCATTCAAGTTTGTAAAAGTGTACAAAGAGAATCGCAATACTGACAAAACTGTTATTTTAATAAAAGTTGCTGCATAACCTCAAAATTTGAAAGAAAAATAGAGAGTGTTTGTGGTACAGCCGCGGATCAGTTATGCACTGCAAACGCAGCATATGTGAAAGCCCTTTAGCGGATTGCTCCTAGACCGCATACGCACTAAACACGGAGTACCTGTGAAACCACAACTGCCCTGTCTCCTTTAATGTGTGTTTTTGTTCTGTGATCAGTTATTTTTGTTCTTTTCCTTTTGCTGTTTTTATTCCTCTACTGTCCACTCTGTAACTGATGGGTTAGGGTTGATTTTGTGTCTCATCCCTCTGCTCTTCCTTGTGTTTGTGTCTACAGTCCTCCCTTCATCCGTCTGTCATCTCAGATCAGAAGAAGAGTGCAGAGTCAGACGTGACCCTCATCTCCAGCCTTCTCTCAGTCTGTGTTGCTGTGGTGGAGAGTGTCGGGACCCAAGTGTGTTTTCATGCATTGGCTGCTGGTTTGATGCACGATGCCTCCCGCACAGCGTCAGCCGGCAGGAAGAGGGCGAAACAGGACACATCTTCATCTGCTGCTCTTCTTACTTAGTGTGCTACAAACACGTGGATACATTCAGATCCCTCCGGATTGTAAGTACCTTCCCATCTGGACTTTAAACCTCATTCAGAAAGACTCTTTTTTTTTTTTTTTTTTTTCTTTTAGCAGTTATTCCTCTAATAGCGATAAGGCATCTGGACCAAAAATCTGCACTTAAACACAAAGCACAGACTACAGCCGACAGCAAACTGGCATGTGCCCTCTGCGCCTGCATGTAGGAATGAACTGTCTATATCAGCAGGAATCAATAGTCTGTCTTCTGAGATGTTCGCAGATGCTGCGCTTGCTTACCATTTTGAATATCAGTTATGTTGATAACTGTTACGTGTTTAAAGTTGGTAAAGGGGATGATTGCGTAACATTTATGTGAAGCACTGTTGCGATGTGTGAAGGCAGAAAAAACAACCAAAAACATCACTTAACGTTTAAGACGTTTATTCGTCAAGAATGAAAAATGAGGTAAGCATCATAATTGAAAACAAGAATAATACAAAAACAGGAGTGTCATCAAATCATTGAAATAATAAAAACATAAAGATAATATCTAATTTTAGCCGTTCCTCTAAACTGGCTATCAAAGAAAAAGATAGAAACAAAACCGAGTTCTTCAGCGGATGCGCCCCCTTAACGAAACTATACTACCTAAGAAGTCAAGTATAGCGCTTTTTACAATACAGATTGTATCAAAGCAGCTTCACAGTGATAACATGAAAGTAATATAACACAGATCAATAATATTGTTGAATATTAAATGTGCCCAACTAAGCAAGCCAAAAGCAAGGCAACAGTGCAAGGAACCCAAACTCCATCAGGCGATTGAATGGAGAAAAACACCTTAGGAGAACCCAGGCTCAGTCGGGGCCGGTTCTCCTCTGGCCAACGGAGGAACAGTGATTACAAAACAAATTGGATCAAAACATTAGGAGAACTTGTCCATGTCTATCTGTCTGTAAGTCGAAGTAATCACGCCTGTTTGGAGACGAGATGTTGAGGATCAACATTGAGGATATTTATTATCCTCTTTTTTTTGGCCTTCAAAAGTCTTAAATTGCACATAATTTTGGTCAGAGAAATCAAAATTTTCTCGGGGGAGGCCCCGAACCCCACTTTTTGTCCCAGTGTTAAGCAATTTTAACATAGTATTGTCATTAAATCAGTGTAGATGGGCCAAATTAAAGCATTGAAATATCAAGTAAATAAGTGACAGGCTACTTGGTGCCACAGCGATACCCAAAATGTATTGCTATACCACGATACTCAACATGTTGTCATTTTTCTCTGTTGCACCTACACAAAATTTGAGGGTTCCCCCACCTGACAAATCCCACTTTAACCACTGCAAACACCCCACGCCTAATTAACTGTCTTCCTTTTCATGAATGGGCTTTTTAAACTCAGTGTCGCAGCAGCAGATTGGTGAGACGGCTGATGTCACGTGCTCCCAATGACGTCACGCAGCCAATGAACAATCCGCCGCCTGAAAACAATGAGTGAAGACACAGAGAGCGAAAAAGCAAACACAAATACACGTGGAACATAACAATAACTTTCTTCATTCTAGTGTTGTTATGAAAATATTCACGTTTGGAAAGCTCAAGTTGGATAACATTAGATTAGTTGCTCTTGCTTTCATTCTTGTGCACTGACTCTTTCGCTAAACTGAACATCCAATATGCCGGTTCATAATGATGAATAGGGCAAACTGCCACCAACGTGAGCCCGATGAGAGCCAACGTGTGGAACACACCGCAAAAACTAGTCCGATAGATGCTTGCCAATGGCCCGATGGTTGACCATCGGCTTGGTGTGTCCCGCCCTTAAACAAGATCATGATTCATCAAGAACTTTCATACTAAAATGTATTATAAGATTAGGAATGACTGAAACCACACAGGTGGCCTTATAGATGTGTAAAATTGTAACAGGTGCCAACTTCAAGACGAAAGAGAGCAGGATCCGATTGCAGGTGATTTATTATAACCCTCATAACAACATTGTGACGTCCCAGATCCGGCCCACATCTGGCACATGTGGAAAGATGATCTAGCCCACATGCAGCGTGGAATGACCCCCCTTGGGTGACTCTCTCCTGTTTGCCAGATCTTGGCCACAAGCCGGCCATAGCAATGCCACATGTCAGCCAAGAGCAAAGAAATAAACAAGAACTGGACCTTCTCTGAACCACAAAATGTGTGTTTATTAAACATGGAGTCATCTCAGCCTTAATAGGAGGAAGGAAAGAAGAGAACAGAAAAGAAGATGAGCAGAAACGTACTCGGAGACTAACGTAACCTCGGTTCCCTGAGAGTAAGGGAACGAATTGCATAGCTAATACGCAGTGGGGAAACTCCTTTTCCTTGAAATATTAAAACAATCATTTAAAACACAGCAGAGCATCTAGCTCGCTCATTGGCTGTGCTGCAGCAACTGCACTTCCAATGGCTGAGCGCCTCAGACGCACGATCCAATCAACTGATTTGGCGCCGAGTACGTCTGAGCGCACCTAAATGGGCATGGCCTACGTAAATACGTTGCCTTTTGAGAACGGTCACTTCGTATTGTGTAGCTAATACGCAGTGGGGACGCAATGTAAAACGCAACACATTAGCAACTGGCCGATTAACGGGAGCCTAGGACCACCCCAAGGCTCAACAGAACAAGCCATAATCAGTCTCCCAGTAAATGACATTAATCAGAAAGAGTCGGGTTTCATGAATAAATTAAAGCTGGAAGCAGCGATGGGCGGGCCCTCGCACCTGTAGCGCGTCGGGGTGTGAGGCGGCCGCGTTGCATATTCTGGAGCTCAGCTGTGTACATGTGGCCGGGGCTGCTTCGTTAAAAGTCACTTCCTGTTGCCAGCAGGTGGCGCTATGACTGTGGGTGAATGTCGGCATTTAGATTTGTTCAGGGCGGGACTCTTGTCAAATTTGGTGCAGATCTGGGCATTTACAGCCAAGTTACTACAACTTCCTGTTTCATGGCGAATCATCGACGCCACGGACACGCCCATCGACGAAAACGCGCAGATAGCACAACTTTACATCGTCAATGCCTTTAGAAGGCACAGCAGAAATTTAAAGTCAATCCGACTAAATCCCTAGGAGGAGTTCGTTAAAGTACGGAGTGTGTAAATCTTGGTTGGAGGCGTCTGTAAAAGAAAAAAAACGTTCCTCCTGGAGGCCACACCCATAATTGCACCCGACTAGTACCAGTTCTGGGCTTTCCAAGAGAGCTTTAACACAGCACTGGTTCACCATAATGATGCAGGCAGCCTGACCTCCATGCATGGGCTGGCACACGTTGCTTTAGCCAGTGCCGAAGGAGGGTGCATATGCAGTAACCCTAGTCGGAGTACTGATGATGCGGTGACCATGAGATCGAGAAGCCTCTCAAACTTCCTGAGGGGCGTGCGCGCACCCACCCTGAGTTGTGCTATCATCATGACAGAATTGATAACTGTGCCTAAAAAGATTACATTCTGGCTGGGTAACAGTTTGCTCTTTGAATAATTGATCCTGAGACCCAGGCTTTCCAAATGGCTGAGTATCATAGATCTGTGTTTTAGTAATTCAGTACTCGACCGAGACATAACGATCCAATTGCTGAGATAATTCAGCATGCACTAAATGCTCCTCTCTCTGCTAGTGAGAGCTCATTAAAAGCATGGCATCTTTAAAAGCCTTGATGTCAGAAGTCTCATTTCAAGAAGTTTGCAGCGTGTTTGTCGTCCCCGCACACAATGTTAAGGATTTTCAGCCTGGACCTGGGGGATCTCAGGTGCTTTCGTCCTGAGTTAACAGTCCTAACAGTCCTGCCTAAACAGTCTCACACCAGGGCAGGCACTTGAAGAATCATGAGTTCATTAATTTTGAACGCCATGCACACTTTCTTGCAAACAGGTTCTAAAGCCCACAACCTGTGACTCATCCAATCTAATTAATCAGCTAGCGCCAGCAAGTCGGAAGTTTAAATTGATTCCTGACACGATTCTCTCCAGAGATGCCACCCCGATCTATTCGTTAGACAACATCAAAGAAGACCGTTATCTCCAAGCCCCTCCCCGTCGAGGGAGGAATACCAGATGCTCAAATGAAGATACACACACACACACACACATATATATACATAGACAGACTTTTCATGAACTTCCTCATATAAAGACATTACCAGTGTTGTAGTACTCGAGACTCGGACTTGTCTCGGACTCGGTCTCGAGACCATATTTTAATGGTCTTGGTCTTGTCATGGACTCGTGTGCATTTGGACTCGGAATTGACTCGTACTCGAACATTTTTTTTTAGGACTCGGAATTATTCCCGAGTCCACTCGAGTTCAAATAAAAATATTTTTCATGATTATTAATTTATGTTAATAAAATATTTCTTTAAATTGATTGACACACCCAGTGATTGGTGATTTTCTAGTGCGCAACTGCGCATGACAAATTGTAATAAAATTACTTTTAACACCACCTACTGTGTGGCCTTTTTACCCTAAACTGATCATATTTTTAAAACTCTAAATAAATTCAGTAAAAAAAAAAAAAAAGGATTTCTCTAATTAAATAAAAGTAAATTAGGTAATCAACCCGCAACCCGACTCGGACTCGACTCTCTCTGGTCTCGGACTCGACTCTCTCTGGTCTCGGTGTCGACTCGGACTCGAGTGAGGTGGTCTCGACTACAACACTGGACATTACTATGCTATATTTGACTTTATATTTGACTTCACTGGTCATTAAACATTCAAATGCCCGGTGAGGAGACAAAGAGTCGTAAAAATTCCCTCCAAAGGGGCAGTTTTGCATTGGCTCACACACCTCCAGAGGGTGTGACATCTTCACGCTTTAAAATCACCGATCATCAAGATCAGCCCTTTCTCTTTCTTCGGACCTCTCTTCTCCGGCTTCTTCCTGTGTTGGACGTCTCCAGTTTGTCCTAGTCTTTTGTTTTAGTTTGTTAAGTTTTGTTTTTCCTTTTCGCATTCTACTTCAATGTTCAAATGCTCTATTCAGAAGTTACAGGAACAACTGGCAGTTAACACAATAAATACAATCATGTAAATCTAAAATGGCCAGTACAAAAAAGCAGGCAGATATTTAAAAATGAAGATAAAACCACAAAGGGTAAAAGCACAAACTAAATCCAAAAGGAAAATCCACAAACACTGACACAAGCACTCTTCCTCAGTCAGCGGGATTACAACATACAAACACCAAATGAAGAAAAAATGAAACTTGACATCTAAAATACAAAGACACAGGTGCAACAGATGACCTCATTATGACAGAAAACTAACAAAATACCAGTGGTGGAATGTAACGAAGTACAAATACTTCGTTACTTTACTTAAGTACATTTTTCACGTATCTTTACTTTACTTAAGTAGAATAAATAGTGCCTACTTTTTACTTTTACTTCGTTACATTTTGCAGTAATTATTATACTTTCTACTCCACTACATTTCTACAACTTTTGTTACATTTTCGTTACATTTTCTGATCAGTTTTCCCCTGCCAAAACGTAATCTGACCATCCGTTCGTTGCACGTTTGTCTCACCAGTGACGTTTGGTTGCCATAGATACATGGCATCTATGGCATGTTACATTTAGTGTGACCAGTATATTAACCCGGTCACACTGAATGCGTCTCACGTGCAGTGTGTTTATCATGCAACCCATACGCGAAAATTTGTTTTTATGTGCATAGGAAACACACCGTGTGTGTAATATATGTTTGGTTTGGTTAGGATTATGGCAAACCAAGAGGTTCAGAATTACACCATAAATGAATCGCGTTTACTGCCAAGTTATTAACATATAGTAAGGATAAGCATGATATTGCCTAATTGCAAGCTAAGCTTGTTTCAGAAATGGTGACATTTTTTTCCATCATTATTGAACATCATTATAGGAGTAGGCTATTAGGTTGAATGAGTTAGAATTAAATGTTTTATTAATCATTAGAAAATAGACATTAAGATAATAAATTATTATGCACTTTTACTTTTAATACTTAAAGTACATTTAAAATAAAGTACTTTTTACATTTTACTTAAGTATGGTTGTCATTGTGTTACTTCTACTTTTACTAAAGTAAATATTTATCTGGGTATTTGTACTTTTACTTAAGTACTGAGATTCAGTACTTCCTCCACCACTGTCGCTATTATTTGAAGTTTCACATTAAATCTCTTAAATCTCTGACCCATCGTCTTTTTCCTCACCTAATTTTCTGTCGCCCTACATACGTCATCTGGTATCATTGAACCGATTGGCAATGAGCTACGTACAGACGCATTTGATAGACATTTGTAGCACCCAATAATACGGCTCTGGGAATTCATAAACCATGCCTCAAATACGAGAAAATGTACATATGATTTCCAGACCACGTCTCGTTCTCAATGATACGTGGTCTGGCGTTAGCCAGGCTAGCAAGCGCCACTGATCGGGACAGCCTATCAGCAATCACCTTCAGCTTTAAAATCAACTCCATGGTCAGATTTTAATAAGAGACCAAACCATGGACGAAACCATGGATAAAGACGCAGCAGGTCCATTCCGGGAATGTGCCAACACTTGGCCCCATCTCGCTAGACTATTTCAATTTCAGAATATTCAGAAATTTTCTTAAATGTTAAATAAAGCAACATGGTAAAAAGATGAAAATGACTTGATTTTACTTTCAATTCATTTTACATTCTCCAAGGTATTAACATTAACATTTTTCATAACTCCACGTAGGACGTTTCTGTTCATAAATGTAAGCACTGTGGCAGTAGTAATGCAATATTTAGAAAATGTTCTCTTGTACTCTTGATACTCAAGTACTTTTAAAAACAAGTACTTCAGTACTTTTACTTAATTAGACATCTGACTGTTGTACTTTTACTTGTACTTGAGTAAAATTTAGCAAGGGGTATCTGTACTTTTACTCAAGGAATAAAGCTGTGTACTCTGTCCGCCTCTGCAAAATACTGGTGTCAAAACATAAAACAACAATTTCAGAAACCAAGCTACCAAACCAACTCGTTTTGTACTCACTCCTCTTTATTATGTATAATAGAAATGTTTCCACCAATTGTGGTGAGCTGCCAAAAAGTTGCAACAAATCATGATAAAAATTGTCCAGTTATTTTGATGGTTTGTCTAATGTTCTCTGCTGAACTCATTCTGTCTAAAGAGATCTAAAATGCCCGAGACACATGGACTGAGTCATTTGAGTTTTTGATTTTACATGAATCTGTTTCTCTCACATGGTTAGAAATGCCTCACAGTCTAAGGGCTCGTGCATGACTCTCTCTAACCCTGTTCTTGCTCTCTCTCTCGCTGCAACCCCTGCTTCCTTCTGCGGCTCTATATTAGACACAAATAGAAACCGTAAGTACATCGACTTCCTCTTTATGCATGCTCCTTTATTTCTGTCTCTGTGTATGAGTGCCTCTTACTGCTGATTATTTACATTATAACTTCTACAAAATAGATTTTCTTGTGCTATGAGACAATGTGTTATTTAATGCAATCAAACTGACAAACAAGAGATCACTATTTTTTATTCAAAAGTTTTTAGGTGTTCTAGGACACAATGAGTTTTACAATATTTCAGGAGGATTTATTGTCAGAAGTAACAGTTGCTCTCACAGCCGTCTGAACTAAACCTTTACTCAAAACATTGATCTGCTTTCTGTTACAACAATGATTCCCCCAGTCAAAGAAGCTCCAACGATCACGACTCAGCCCAAGTCTCACACTGCTTTCACTTTGGATGACGTCAATCTGGCCTGTGAGGCAACTGGGAACCCCATGCCCAGGTAAGTGTAAGCTAGCTTAGAACCCACATAGCAACATTTTGACGGCCCACATCTGGCACATGTGGAAAGATGATCTGACCCACATGCACATGGAATGACGGCCCTTGGGTGGCTATCTCCTGTTTGCCAGATCTGGGCCACAAGCCGGCCAATGCAATGCCACATGTCAGCCAAGAGCAAAGAAATAATCCAGAACTGGTCATCTCAGCCTTAAAGGGCACCTATTATGCCCCTTTCTACAAGATGTAATATTGGTCTCGGGTGTCCCCAGAATGTATTTGTTTCAGCACAAAATACCCCACAGTTAATTTATTATAACCATTTGAAAATGGCATTTTTGGGGCCTGTTTTAAAATGAGCTGTTTCGGGGTATACGACCTTAAATGCAAATGAGCTGCATATCCCTGGCCTGCCTTTGGATGAGGGTATCACTTGCATACCTATGGCAGTCGGTGAGCAGAAGGGCTGAGAGAGTGAGAGAGAGAGCCGCTGTTTTGAATGTCATTCAGTCATACATGTTTGAATCGGAATATATAAATAGTCTCTGATCAGACCCAGATGACGAAGAGACTCCGGCAGAATAAACACAAATGAGAATGGACCAGGACGTCTTGTGTGGTTATTTGATACATTTATGTACTTATAGAGTTGTAATCATGTCCCCTTAGCAATTATGGATGTGCAAAACACACACACACACACACACACAGACACACACAAACACTAACGCTGGCGCAATTTTTTGAAACTACAAACACATTCTGTGATAAAGTTTGCTACGTACAAGCGAAATTACAGTTATGCGAGGGACCTGTGGCGTCATGTTTACTTGTCATATAGGTGCTTCTGTATGAAGATGGCTAACTTACAGAACAAGTTTTTAATACAATATCTTTAAAAATATATATGCTACGACCACACTGTCAATCAAACCCCTTGATCAATTCTACGTCACAAAGAGCTGAATCTTAGAACAGCTCGTTCTGAGGCAGTGCAAATGATTTATTGAGATTGTAAAAAAAACACTGGGTGGATTTTTATCATTCTAGGGTGGTTTTGCTCACACACTGCCAACACACATTTATGTTCAAACACCATGTAAAAGTGAATTTTGCATAATAGGTGCCCTTTAACACATGTACCTCTTACATAACCACTTTATAACTTACAGTCCAGAAACAATTTAGTTAAATACACAGCATTTCAGTTGACAGCGGCTGTTCATCCAGAACAATAAACTTGATAATTTTGTTGGTTATATTTATCACTCATTGGCTGTCTTTTGAAAACTTTTCTCTTCGTTTGAGTGAAGCTTCCAGAGGTTGTTGATTCTGACGCGGCTCATCCTCCGTCTGCCATCCGTGTTCTGCGGGGTGACGCGTCTTCAAATGCTTTATTAAGTGATGAAGCTGCTAATCTTGTGCCACCACCCCAGTCTCAAACACTGCCAAACAGCGAACAGCGAAGAGGAATTGATCTCCGATTTGCAGCGTTAAGCAAAGCTAGCTTGCATATTGTTTAAGAAAATAGTATCAGATTGGTACATGGGGAGAAGTACTCGCCGATAACGATGCCAGAATTTTTATTGATAAATGAATTACCGATGCTAGTATTGGAATCGCAACAACGCAAAATGACGTGTGTTGTGTGGCTCAGAGAAGGTCCAGTTCTGGATTATTTCTTTGCTCTTGGCTGACATGTGGCATTGCTATGGTCGGCCTGTGGCCCAGATCTGGCAAACAGGAGTGAGCCACCCAAGCGCTGTCATTGTGGTTAGCTTTGGTAATATTTGTGTATGAGTAATCCTTGGTGTTTTGGTCCACACGGTCACTGATGGATAGGTGGAGTGACAGCAGCTGATCCTAAACCTAACACCACCAAATTAGGAATCGAGCATAAGTAAACTTTTGAACGAGGTCATATGTGTAAATTCAGTTGGCATTTTGACATGTGACTATATGGAAACATTTATTATAGCTTATTCAGGGCAGTAGATTTTGCATGTAAACTTTTGACCAGCACTGTATACTGTATATTTCTTTGTTCTGTCTGTCTTAATCTGCTGTAGTTTTAAGATGGTCTTTCTGTTCTTGTCTCCCATGGACAGTTTCCGTTGGGTCAAAGATGGAAAGCAGTTTGGGGAGGTTCTGCTGGGGTCTGGAAGCCGGACAGCGGGTCTAGATGAGGAGCTGAGTTCGTATAATGGCTCGTACCGCTGCTATGTGGCGAACGAGCTGGGAACGGCCGTCTCAGACCTGGTGCACCTGATCACAGAGCGTGAGTCTGTCCTCAAGGACCATCTCACCGGCTCAGTGTTTGGAATGACTTAGTGCTCTAAATATTTGTTACTGTATCTGGTGTGCTTTACTGTGCATTATATGCCACCTTTCTGTATGCATGGGCTACCTGGTGACCTATCCTCATTTCCCAAGTGTCAAATGTGCAGCACTCTGCTTTCAGTCACTGATCTGGGTGTTTTAAAAGCATAAACCTAAAATTACATACACTAAATTAAGCACAACAGACTATAATAACAATATACACATAATAAGACTCAACAGTAAACAAGTGGACCTTATATAGGGATACTGTAGGTGCGTTTCCATTACAGATTTGCGCAAAACTTTTGTGATATTTTCCAAATGTCGATAAAAAACTATTGCAAAATGACGGTGTTTCCATTAACCGATGTTATGAGACTAAAACGTCTTTGTTTCCCTCCCGCGATAAGTCATTCCAAAAATCATGGCAACGGACTTTTGTAGGTTTATAATCTATTTCACAGCCATGCACCGCACTAGATATTATTATTATTAATGGACGGAGACGTGGTGTGTTATCCAAGCATTAATGGCAGGGAAAGACACGGAGTTCCTGGTGTTTCTCCCTTATTTCTGCTTCGATGTCTTGATGGCATTTCTTTGAGGTTTAGAGAAGCTAGGCCTATTCCTGTAATTATTGTTTCTTTTTTTTTTTAAATGAATTTAATAAAGAACTTAATAAACTTAATAAAGAGTCTTGTATTATGTCCAAACGGTCGTTGCAAAATGAAAAATGAACGGTTTTTGTATTTTTAAAACGCAAAGTTGAACACCAACATTTTAGTTTGACCACACCAATGCTGCGCTATATTAGCCTGGATGCCAGCCCGAACTCCGCCCACAATATTTTTTGGTCGGGAAGTTCGGTCTGGACTCGATACATTGAGGAGTAATTATGATCAGGCAAAAAATGAACGGGCCAATCAAATTGCCAGGGCGGGCTTTAAACGATGGTGGACAGATGATCTGCAGGGACGTAATCATCACGTTATCAAAGAGCGCTTAACTGTTAGCGCTCTAACAGATGTATAGATTCCGTTGTTTGCCCCCGTTAAAACATTTTAAATATTTACAAATTAATATGGGAAAATTTTGATTTTACTGGTTTTCTAAGACCAAATTAGAACATGGATATTTATGATATTTTGGTGAGTTATTATAAATGCGTCTGAAAAAATAACGAGCTAAAAACAATCTCCGGATGCACCTTTAGAGAGAACTGCACCTTTCATACGGATAACATAATCAGAAGGTATTAGCTTACGATTCGAATTTGTTCTTTTTAAAGTGGACATTTAAAGCTTTATTCTTCAAAGGCTTTATATTGTTTCAGTTCTCTCGCTCCAGTTCACGAAGATCATAAAGTGCGCCTGATTGTTTTATATTATTTTACAAAAGCACAACGTTTTCTTGTTATTGTGACATTACGCAAATAAAAGTAGTTGCGAATAATGTATTATTATTTTCTGTATAACCAGAAATGATAGAGTATTGTTGATTCCACTGTTGATGGGGAAATGAAAGTGTTCACGGCACGCCGGCGTCTGTCTGCCATCCAGTGCGTGCTCCAAACTCCGCGCACACTCTTGGATATTGGTCAAAATCGAGTGTTTATTTTTGATAATCTTAGCCGTATTATTATCATTGTCCAACCTGTACTATGAATGAGATGTGACGAATTGTTTTGTTCCTTTTTTGGATAAAAGCGTCTTCTACATATCTAGCGTCTTCTACATAGCCTAATAAATGTTATAATAGACTAATGATGATAATAATTATTATTATTATTTGTGGACACGGACCTAAAACATACTCCGTCTTCTAAGTCAGGTGACTGTAAATGCGCAAAATCCATTTCCATTGCAGTTTTGCGGAAAAATCCTTTTTCGAATTTCCTGAAAAACCTGTTCATGTGAGCGTAAAATTTTTTTTGCAATAAACGGGAGTGTTTGCGAAATTGACGTGTTTCCATTGAGCGTATTTTCATTTCGCAATTTCAATTTGCGCAAATTGAAGGGTAATGGAAATGCAGCTTGTGATAGGTGTCATATCCCAATAGGTAGACGTGGATCAGCTGAGAGTCAGGTGACGCGAGCTTGACTAATGACGTGTCCTGCCGAAACTAACACTACACTTGATATCTACATAAATGGCTGGATTGCTCATGACATCATAAAAACATTCCATTGAACAAATAGGAAATTATCTGCATTTAATGAGAAAACATTACTTTACAAGTCAACATTTGTATATCTTAAGTCTCCCAGTACAATCTTACAATACAAACGTCCTAGACATTAAAATGGTTATTTGTTTAAAGTCTAGATTTTCCAGGAACTTATTAATAGTTAATTAAGGCAGCCGCGAGCATCGAGTTGGGGTGGTCTCCGCCACCCTGTCCTGAGCGCTCGCGGCTGAATGATTGGTTTTTGTGCACAATACCTTTCTTTCCGGAGGTGCATGATGAGATCATGAAGTCCTGGAAGACTCTCATGTCTTCCCGTGAGCGCTCGCTGGTCTCATCCACCTTTCCTCCCCTCGAGGGAGCCGCTGCCCATGGGTGCACTGGGTTCCCACCGCTGGAACGCTCTGTTGCGATGCCGCTGTGTTGGCAGAGTGCTTCCTCACGTGGTGAGCCTAAGCACCCGTCCAAAGCCTGTAGTTATTCGTCTATGCTTGTGGCGAAGTCCTACAGAGCTGCAGGCCATGCAGCCGCTTCACTGCATGCCATGGCTATTCTGCAGGTCTACCAGGCCCAGATACTCAAGGACATGCACAAGGGCAGGACAGACCCGGGGCTCTTCGATGAGCTGTGCGCCGCCACTGACCTTGCCCTCCGGGCGATGAAGGTGACCGCACACTCTCTGGGTCTGGTGATGCCGTGGTCCAGGAGAGACACCTCTGGCTAAACATGGCTGACATGAAGGAGTCCGAGCGGTCTCGGCTGCTCGACTCCCCCGTGTCCCAGGCCGGCCTTTTTGGCGGTTCAGTCGAGGACTTCGCCCAACAGTTCTCGACTGCACGGAAATAGACTGAGGCCATTAAACATATCCTGCCCCGCTGACCCACTGCTGCCTACTAAGGGAACGAGGGTTACATTCGTAACCGAGACGATTTTTGTGATAACATATACATGACAGGACCCTTTGGATCAATTGTGTAAAGAATGTTCAATGTTCAGTTAATTCAACTCACTGACACATTAAAGTGTTATTTCTATTTCACAGCCATCCCAACCTTGGCCAGAGAGAGGAAGCAGAAACGAAGACAGTTTGAGGAGGGAGAAAGCACAGTCCTCTACTGTAACCCCCCAGAGAGCTCTGACGCTCCCTCAATACACTGGATGGACAAGAGTAAATTTCCTAACAAGTCTTATTCTGCCTAACTAAATTACCCTGCATGACACTTTATAATTGGTTGAACTAAATCACATTCCTGTCTTTCTTTTTGTCAGAATTGAAACACATTCCTCTGAGTGAGCGGATGACCATAAGTCTGGTCGGAAACCTGTACTTTGCCAACTTAGTAGTCAATGACAGCAGAGAAGACTTCACCTGCCATGCCCAATACACCACTGCCAATGTCATCCTGCCTAAAGAGCCCATCGCCATCAACGTCACAGCCTGTGAGTGGACCTTCTTCTGCCAGTGATTAGAACACATTACACACATTTTATTCTATAACAGAACAACCCAGGGATGCTTTACAAAGCAGAACAAAAAGAAGGGGACTGAAGCATGCCCAAACAGAAAAAAAGCATTGAAAAAGCATCAAAAATAGCATTCAAGTGATAAATTGCGGCAAATGGTGTATGTATAACCAAAAGACAGAATTTTTTAATTTTTTTATTATTGACTAAAACACAGTCAGAGATTAACCTACATTTATTTTCCATATAATTGTCATAGAAATGCACAATTGACAGTAATTTTCATATGCGTTTTTTTCATATTCGTGATTCGGTGGTTCTGAATTGTCAAACACCATTCAAACTGCTTGCTACGGATGTGAAAAACGCAGAAAATTGAACCCAGATTTTTTTTTATGACAGACGAAAGTTTCGGAGACAGTGTGCAAGCGTAATTGACATAACGTGAGATTGTATTTATTTTTTAATGTGCGGAAATTTCGGACGTGAATTTCAGACTCAGTGTACAATGGCCTTAAGCATAAATATTCTGCTAACAAACTGGTATAAATCTGTAAAAACACCATTAACACAAATATAATTCTGACAGATTTACTGATATCCAATGTTGGGGAAAGTTAATTTCAAAAGTAACGTGTACAATATTGCATTTGCCTACTCATTAAGAAAGTGGCTAATTGTGTAACTTTTTATGTAAAGTAATAATGTGTTACTTTTGTGTTGATTTTCTCACCTGGGCTGGGCTTTCTTGTATTTTAATGACTTAAACATTTCTATTTTTGGCAAAAGTAAAGGCCCTCTCAGCAGAAGTAAAATAAATAAATAAGCCACAGTCTGTTTCAAGTTCACTCTTGTACAGTAAAGGGTGCAGCTCAATGGGCTCTATGCGCGGCGGTATTTCCGGTGAAGGATTAAGGATGCTCGATAACTTCCGCCGATCGTAGAGTCCAATGCAATACCGAGAATTTATATTGAATTTTATACTCCATGGTTATACTAAAGAAACGTTAGTCACAAAAACAGATAAAACAGACACCCTTTGTTGTGTTTATGCTTATTTTTAAAATTATATTACATAAACATAACTATATATAAAACGACATCTAAACTTATGAAAGTTTCGTTTCAAAGACGGGAGGACAGTACATTTTGAAGACTCTGCCATGATGCCGTTTTCCTCGATTTTCCTCCGCTTTAATCTCCACAACCGGAAACTGAAGAGCATCCTTGCGTCAAATGCGGAACTTATAGCCCATAAAACACTTTCAGCTGTGCTGCCATTCTGGATCGCAGAAGAATAAAGTTCAACACTTTTGTGACATTTAACATTTTTGTGATGTTAAAATTAATAAATGTTGTGTTTAAAATATGTTCTGCTTATTAGTATGGTTGAACTGGATCATTGAAGGTTAGCAGCAAAGTCAGTGGTTGATAAATTGAGAATAAATACATAAAGTATATTTGTGTTATTTAACATTTAATTACTACAGGTCTGTGTAATTTTCGGAGTTTGTGTTTCACAGTTTTTATTCATTTGAAGGAATATTTAACCTGTTTTTTTTTTTTTTGTGTGAAAGTGAGATACTCTCACTTAGTCCAGACCTACAATGAGCATCATGTTCACACTGAACGCATCTGCTGCACTCAATCACGATCCTCTCAACATGACGACAGGAGAGAATCTGTTCTCTTCTCTGTTCTCTCTATACATTGGGGAAACAAATTAACTTGAGTTACTTATTAGAAAACATAATTTAGATATATTGTTGTAAATTTAAAAGTAATGTGTTACCTTACTAGTTTCTTGAAAAAAGTAACTCAATATGCAACTTACCTTGCTTGTAATGCGTTACCCTCAACACTGCTGATATCTTAATTCGTGATTTGTTTTGAAATCATGGAGGTCCAAGCTTTAGTCCTGCATCTCCCTATGGTTAGTCCAGTTTATTTTTCAACTGTTCATGAGCTGGGATACAAAAATGCGCAAGTACAATCTCTAGTTTTTATGAAGCCCAGACCTGATCTTAAGAATGAACTGGAAGGCCGACTTCAGACCAGGATTCATTGCCCAGTACTTTGCCTCACTAATGCTCTTGATTCTTACTTTACACTTGTTTAAATAAGTGTGGCAAAAATAGACAATAAGACATGAAACATGTTGAAGTTTCCCTTCCTTTTTGGCGAAAGGGAAACGCAAGAGAGCATTTTGAAGTGGATAAAACTTAGTTGTGGGATTGAATGGTGTTCTCCTGTTTTCACAGCAAATTCAGTGGTGAAGAGCCGGCGGCCGCAGATGGTCCAGCCCGCAGGATCCCACAGCTCTTATCTGGTGCTCAGGGGCCAAACGCTGACTCTAGAGTGCATCCCAGAGGGCCTGTGAGTGTTCAGACTATCTTTTATCATGCCTGCTGGGTTTAAACAAACCACTGTTCAAATGAAATCTGCTGTACTGCACTTCTGATTATTAATACTCACATTAACATGGAAATTCTGTCTTTTTATGTTTTAAGGGCAATTATTGAAATGTTAGCTTTAAATAATATCATATTAAAATGTTACGTTTCTGAACATGTTTACAGTAGTTTACACGTTTAATGTATTTAGACACTACATCTACCGTTGACACATCATGGAGTAGGCTAATGTGGGTTGGAGATGTGTGTTGGGTTGCTCAACCGCTCAAGTTTTATTTCATCTTTCAACTGTACGTTTGTTAAGAATGAAATGGCTTGAATTTTTCACACTTCTACTAATGAATCCAACGTATCAGCGACGGATTCGCTTTCGTGGTGCTGGCAAGCTTGCAGTCTGTGAGGTAAACTAAATGCTATTGGCTATTTGAAAGGCGGAGGAGCCATTCAAGATGTCCCGCCTTAGCTTCCTGTTACAGTGGAAATTACGTCCAGTAGCGGTTCTAGGCACGGGCGAACCGGGCAGTCGCCCGGGGCGGCATTTCTTCATGTCACATGGGGGGCGGCACGAGCAGTAAAAAAAAATCCTCTGTGCCGCGAAGTTTTTCTATTTTTTATCATTTCGATTCAGTTATTGGCAATGGTGCCCTGCTTGCTGAGAAGGTGCCGTGCACAGAAGCGATGTCAAGGGGATCTCCTGATTAGTTCACGTATCGCGTCTTTTGCGCGCTCGAGGTCGTTATTTAAAATCCTCTATGTTTCAAATAGGCGCACGGGATGTGCGCTCATAAACTTTTCAGCACGTGCACCCAAACACTTGGGTGTTTTTCTCTCCTTTCTCCGTAAATAAATATTTTAGCAGAGCTACAGCAAGCGTTTTTCTGTGGTGGAAATACATTAGCTACTAAAACTCCTTTGTCGTTGTAGAGAGCGCAGTGTAATGAGTGCATGCTTCTATAGCAACGACAGCCATGGGAAAATCTGCACGAATTTTACTATTAATAATAAAAGATAAGCTACTGTGCACTATACATTTCAGGAATGTATCTTTATTGACTCATTCTTTTTATAGAGATGATTTAAATGCTGAAATATGAGGTTTATCTTTATATAAAAACCTTTTTTTGTGTTAACCTTTTTCTAAGTTTAGTAGGTAAGATGAAAGACACTCCTTTAAAACAAATCTTTAATGTTATTAACTTGGTGAATTGATTTAACTGTGTATTAGGCTTTTTGAACAAGATTCTGTGTATTTTTACAGTAGCCTATAATATGCAAAGTTTTTTTCGCTCGAAGGGGGTCTCGCCCTGGGTGTAATTCAAAGTAAAACCGCCACTGATTACGTCAACACACAATTCAAAGCTGCACGTTTCAAGGCACGTCAGTGGGCCTTTAAAGTCCTTGAGGCAGTGTTCTGAACTTGCTGATAGTGGATAGTGGGAGAGATTAGGTTGGCTGTTATTTCAGGTGCGGTTTCCACTGTGTGCACAGTTCCCTGTATAAATAAGGAGATGTCTAGGACATGTTGCCCGTGGTCGTTCACACATTGGTCTCAGGAATGGAGGGTTGAGGTGATCAATGGGCAACTGGTGATTAGATTAGCCTGCGATCAACAGGTCCTTGATGTCGTCACCTCTGGCAGTCTGGATTTCCTTAGTCCTTAATGGCTCGTTTCCACTGAGTGGTACGGTACGGTACAGTTCGGTTCGGTACGCAATTATTTGCGTTTCCACTGTCAAAAGTTGTGAATGGTACCAAAAAGCCGAACCGTACCGTACCACTGTTTGGGTACCCTTCCGTTGGGGTACCTAGCACAGTGAAAGGATACTAAAAGGCGGAGCTAGACTCACTGCAGAACGCTGATTGGTGGACAGAGTATCGTCACTCGCGCGTGCATCAAGGGCATTAGAAGCATACAGTTGAAATATAATACTACTGTTATTGTGTCACGAAATGTAGTTTTAAGAGTTTTTCAGGCGAGAAAGTAGTTTTTTAAAGCTCAAATCTGTGGTTTATTTATAGATTTATGATAATTTGACTGAGATCCATTCCAAGCGATCACCGGACGCTCGCGCTCGTGTCCCCCGCCTGGAACAGCCTTTCCTCGGCTAGTCATCCTGATGTTTGCCGCTGACTCGGATGTCTCTGTAGTGGTTAAACATGAGATATGGTTCGTCTTGTAGAAACCTAACAGGTGATCTTTGGTCTCGTGAATCTATAATTCGTTTCCTGGCAAATAGTTTTGGCAGAAGGCTACGTGAAGTTTCATATCTTTGAGCGCTGAATTTGTATATTTGACTGACTGTTATTTAAGCTTTACTGTATATCTTTTTGTACCTTTTACTTATACTTTTACAATGGCTATTATTATACTTTTATAAAGGCTATTATTGATAAAACTGAAATTCAACAAAAAGAGATCGTTTTGTCATTTATTTTATTTTATTAGCATACAAGATCATCTGTAATGTTGTTTATTGCAACATTTGTACCAATGCGATATGCAATACACTACACATTGCCTGTAATATGTTTAATATTTTTAAATTTAAATGAAAAGAGGCAGGGTTGTGTTTTATATTTAGTTTTTTTATAAATATAACATTACATACATGCAGTGAATCAAGGCTATGCGTTGCTTGAACCACATTTGTGTGCTTATAATGTTTTAAATCTATTGAAATGAAATCGAAAAGAAGCAGAGGTGTGTTTTATAACATATTTCGTTTTATTGTTGCCTAAAATGAGTCGCAGCGCCAGAGCGAGCAGAGTGCCGCGTTCAAGAACGCCCTGTTCCATTAGCAGAATTACTGGACTCGCGTCCTCGGGAGTCATTGAGTCGGACTTTGCGATGGGTACTTAGTATTGAGAAACGCCTAATGCTAGCGCTTGTTTCTTGTGACAAATATGCCGAGAAGCAAGAACAAGATCTGCTGTCTGTCATCCATTGGTGTTTACTATGTCGCTTTCTTCGCGCGAAAATTACATCAATTGCTTCTTTCCGTGGTGTTTGCTTTCTTGATAGCAAACACCACACCGATCAAGTAAGGGTACTGTTGGCGGTGGAAACGCAAGCCGGATCATGGTTTACCGACCCGTACCGTACCGCTCAGTGGAAATGAGCCATTAGTTGTCTCGCAGGGTCCAATCACATCCTTCTGTCTCACAGTGGGACAAAGGGACTTCTGTTGTTAAGTGGGGACCTCTGGTGCCATCATGTCTGCTGTTCACTACACTTGTTTATCAGTGTCTGAATTTGCTCACTCCTTTTCATTCACTTTGTCAAGTGGACTATGGTGAGCTGATGTAGGGAAGTGTGAATGAGGGTATTGGGTGTGATTTGGAACAAAGCCTCTGAGTGTCAACTTTGAGTGCTGTTGATTCTAAGTATATTTTTGTCTGCTATTTTCTCGAAAACAACAAATATTACCCACATTGCATGTTTTCCACAGTATATTACTGTTTTGATGGTAAGTGATATTTTGCTGTTATAATTTGGCCATTTTTTTGTACAGCAAGGTTTAACAGTGTTGACTAGCTATTCGTCGTTCTTGTGAATTATTATTAGTAGAATAGAAGTAGATTATTAGTATTAATGGCACTTTGCAGATCTCAATTCCTTTCCTACCACTGGAAAGGGATCAGTAGGCTCTCAGAATACAGGGATCACTTTGATAACTAATAACTGTTGCTTCCTCTGATTAAGACCGACTCCAGAAGTACAGTGGAAAAAGATGGACAGCCCTCTCTCTCCCAGCCACGTGCGGGAGCTGCAACACGGCCGATGGCTTAAGATTGACAGCGTGTTGGAGACGGATGATGGCGAGTACGTCTGCACTGCCACAAACAGCCAGGGCTCCATCGGGCATCACTACACCGTCACAGTCGAGGGTAAGACACACGCTGTCCTTTATGCACATGTGATATCTACTTACTATAATAATAAAAGTGCATTACCTACATTGTTAGACCTTATTAGGTTGTACTGTAAATGTAACTGTACAGTTGTTTACTGTAATCTATTTTACTGTAAAAATTCACTAAATTAAAACAAATTTTGAGTTAACTAATTTCACTTGCAGAAACCGACTGCCTTAAATTGAGCAACTGTCATTTAAATTTATTAAACCTGCAGTTGATAACTTTTGAGAAAAAATTTTAACACTGGGGATTTTGCCGTGTAGGAAATTACTAGTCATCCAAATTTTATATCAGCTATGCATTCCGTTAATTTTGTGAATTAGTGCGTTTTGTTGGGGGCGAAGAAATATGGAGCCGAGTATCATCAGCATAGCAGTGAAAGCTAACTCCATGTTTCCTAATGATATCTCCCAATGGCAGCATTTACAGAGTGAACAGCAGCGGTCCTAGTACTGAGCCTTGTGGTACGCCAAACTGAACTTGTGATGGATAAAACCTTTGTTTACTGCTATAAAGTGATAACTGTCAGATGAGAATGATTTAAACCATGCTAATGCGGTTCCACTAATGCCAACATCTAGCCTGGCTTGCCTGACCTAAATCAAGAAGATGTTAGGTCTGGAAACTCTTCATTGACAGGGCTCAATCAGAGGGGCGGGATAAACGGTTGTCTTTCAAATTCTCTCTGCACGCAATTGGATAGCGCTACAGCCAATCAGAGGAACAAAGACAGTGACGTACTCAGCGGAGCAAGTTGATATATTAAACTTTTACCGTATCCAGTCCAGCTGTCAACATTCCCGGAATCCATCCCCAAAATAAGGGATTTTTTTTTACACAAACTTTAAAAATAAAACACTAATCATTAAAAGTCTAAAGAGTTTATAACTAGCCAACGTATGAGAGAGAAAGAGACAGTGCGTCATTAAAAAAATAATATAATAGAGAAATAAAATACTAAATTTAAATACTTTAAATACTAATGGCGCGTTCCAGGCAACCTGTAACTCGTGTTTTTCCAACCTTATACCTGTGAAAGTGCACTGGAACGGCAGTCAAACCCGTGACTTCCCACCCGTGAACTCGTACTAGATCGATGTACTCCCAGTTACGAGTTCTGACGTCACATAGCCCGCAAACCTATACAAAACTACAATGACAGCCCCTACGGAGCAGTGTTTCTGCAGGCGGTACACGGTGAGGACACTTTAGGACAATATAACGTTAACTAGTTTTCAGTCCATTGAGTGCAAGGATAAATTAATACCAAATACATTTCCAAATATACAAAAAGTAAAATAAAAGGTATGACAGCTTATCTTGCCTCATGCGCTATTTTTCCTCCTCAGTTTCCCACAAATAAACAAGGAGTAAGCGCCTTTGGCTAGCAATTATTACAAATGCGCGTGAGCCCCATAAGGTCTGCAATGCTGGTTTGTTTACATCTAGGTAGTTTGGCATGAATGACCTGGAATGCTACAAAGTCGTAAGTTGTGGTTTGAAGTTGTGATTTACGTGCTCAAAAACCTGCCTGGAACGCAGCATAATATCAGCTTACGAGGGAAACGGAGGCGGAGTAGTGGTGCTCCGGGGTGGTGGAGATGATTCGGGAGCGCCCGCTGACACAGAGTAAAGCCTTTATACTCGACGTGACAGCACGAGTGCGGTAAATATGACAAGTTGATCGTTTCGCCACAGCTTTTTTGTAACAGCGTGCGCGGCGCCGGCCGCATCCGAGAATGAACGACTTCAAACCGAATATGTCCGAGCTTGACCTGTCATCTGACCGTCGCAACTCTGTCATCATTATGTTAAGCCCGCCCGCCGACTCTATACACGATGTGATTGGCCCTACCAGAGTTGGGGTTTTCCAGCTTAAACGTCTATGGAGAGTTGCTAGACCACACTTTGCTGCAAAATAATTTTTGCTGCCGCTAGGGTGCGTCTAGATTTCTAGGCTAGCCAACATCATTATCGAGTCTATTTAAAAGAATGTTGCGGTCAATGGTATCAAATGCAGCACTAAAATCGAGTAACACTAATAGAGAGATACACATCGATAAAAAAATTCTGTATTATACATTCTTAGGTAAAAACAAATATATGTTGATGGTTGCTTTGTAAAGAAGGTCTTCAAGCCTCCGCATATTCAAACACACATACCTATAGACTAAACATGTGATGTGCTTGTGCACAGCGTCTGCGTTTCCGTGTTTTTGATTTTTTGAGGTTTGCACAGAGATAACCTTTTTTTTTTAATTCTAGGCTTGCACCTTGGAATCTATTTCAGGGTTTGTGTTCCTAGAGACACCAGGCACTCTGTTTCGTGCGGATGAGCTGGCTGGAGCGTGTTGAGTGTTTTCTGTTAGAACGGTGTTGTGTTAGCGTCTCCCAATTAATAACTAATGATATTTGCAACAGAAGTAAATCAATCAATCAATCAATCAATCAAATCCAACTTTAGCTGGACAAATCTCTGTTACTGTAATCTCCACTGTAAAGCTACTTTGAAACTATCTATATTGTTAAAAGCTCTAAATAAATGAAGGTGACTTGACTTCATTTAGTAAATTTAACTCTCTGATTTTTACAGTACATTATTGTTTTTTTATGTTACGTTAAACTACTGGCAACAGTGTCAAATTGGCCAGTGTATTACTGTTTTTCTAAAGTTTGTTTGGGGTAAACAGTGCCGCAGTGAGATAATTAAGTGAATATGCAAGTGATTATTCAGCATTAGTGATGAACACCTGCTGTAAACAAGCAGTAGCACTGATAGAAGAGAAAAGAGAAAAAAGAGAAGAAACGTACAGAACACAAGAACTACAACTGACTTGACTTCCAGCCATTACACATTACACATATTACTAACCAGTATGACTTTATTTCTGTCATACATCTACAGAAGTTCTAAATAAGAATTAACAGATGTTTAACTATTGATGTTTAATGGTGACCAGTATTTGTTTTATTCGAGCCCTTGACTTTTTAACATAATTAGCTTTTTTCTCTGGCTACTTTAACTGTGTTTTTCAAAGCACATTTGTTGAGGCATATACATATCAAAGTTCAGTAGCAATCACTCACTCATCATGCACACAAAAAACCACAACAAATCTCAACAATGATGCCAATAGAAAAAGACCCTTCAGCTGCAGTGCATGCTGGGAGTTGTGTGCTCTTCTATAACCGAGCATACATCTACATAAATATTTTGATTGTCACCATTGTTGAGATTAATATTCTGATTGTTGATGTCTGTGTTTGTTAGGGTTGGGAACCGAGAACCGGTTCTTTTCCAGAACCGGTAGTGTTTTTGAAAAAATACTGGAACCGTGCAAAATTCCTAAGTTTCGGTTCCTAAAACGGTTCTGGTGCGATATGAGGGCGAAGTCCTGGGAGTAGATTATCCTTTACCGTCTCACCTCAAGGCGCAGACAGACAGAGAGAGAGAGAGTAGAGGTGCATGATTAATCTTTAAAAGATTTTGATTCAAACACCTACGCCGTCTTATTCCTAAATGACAAAAACTTCACCACTGAAGTTGCGATTTGCTCTCACACGCGCTGGATTTATAGTACACACACACGCGCGCGCCGAGTACGTACATTCAAATCTGTTTGCGCTGAGAGAGAGAGAGAGAGCAGTTGTCGACATGAAACTGCTTTATAATCACACAGTATCAATATTTATGTTACACATATTCAAATGATTAACGTTACAGAAGTAGTGAGATTATAGTTTGAGTAGGCTAAACATTGACGGTATCAAAACGCAATCCGTAGCTTTTTTGTGTTCAGAATTTACAAAATGTATACAATGAGCGAGTGCATCATGAATGCTTTTTTTCAAACCGTGTTTTTGTCTTATCTTGAATCACTACGGAAAGCCTGTAATAAGCGTTAATACTCGGACTTGTTCAGACTGGATGGCGGATCGCAGCCGCTGCGGAGTTGCCTGCGTGACTCGTCATGGACATAAACAGAGAGAAGTAGCTCCGGCAACTATGTTCTTTCGCAAGACGCATGCACTGCAGTTCTGTTTATTAACTGCTATTTAGGGCCGATTTATCCAGTAATAATGCAATAATTAAAGTCTTTATAAATCAATAATTCAAACTGTTATTAAAAATAATCTGTTCTACACACATATGTGTGTTAAAGCATATTCTACCCCTTCTGAGAGGGTACTGTTGGAGATACAATAAGAGGTCCTAAATTATTCTACAGAATGCAGAATTTTTTAATTTCCTTTTTATTTTTTTTGCAAACATTGATAAATAATATGTTGAATTTGTTTACATTACCAGTCTGTTAAACTCATTTTTCAAGTACTATAAGAAATAAACACAAAAGGGATTGTGGATTTTTCTCTTATTAATATTTTTAATTGAATGGGAACTGGAACCGGAATCGTTTGGAGGAACCGGAATCGGAACCGGAAAATTTCTCACGATTCCCAACCCTAGTGTTTGTCTAAATCATGGAGAAGTTCAAAATGTTTAATGCACAATATGATTTGAATATCCATCAAAATAATAGATTAACGAAACATTGCTGAATTTTATGCTGTAGATTCACAGAGCTACTCAATCAATAAATATAAATTTGAAGACACATGGAATTAAAGATTAGACACAGGATGAGATCAGTGAATTAAGTGAGTCCAGAATGATTATGGCGTCGCCAAAACCACCTGATCAACTTCCTCTTGGCTTGGCCCTAACAAATGCACTCTACAAAAATACAGTTACAACAACCAATGAGAGTTTAATGTTATAGAGTTAAGGGTCAAGAGTCCAACAAAAGCAAACACCAATCACCATAGGGGTGAGAACAAACTTTATTATTTTGAATAAAATATCAAATCCTCTGTTAATTCTTAACAAAAACTTCTGTACATGAATGAAAAATACTGGCTTTAATTCACTTATAGTTCTTGTCTTTCTGCTTATCACCTTTTTCTGTTCTTGTTTCTCTGTCCTTCAGTGATTCTGCTTGTCAGGTGTTCATCAGCGTCTCATTTGTGTTCATTCACTCAGTCAAGTGGACTATATTAGTGAACTAATGTTGGGGATAGTGAATGAGGGAACACAGCCTTCGAGCGCTGTTAATTCAGAGTATACTTCTGTAGGCTACATTCTTGAAAACAACTATTACCCACAATGCATTATTTTCTACAGTATAGATTTACAGTATAGTATTTCTACAGTATAGTTTTAATGAAAAATCCTGTCACTGTCAAAGTTTCACTGTGCACAAAAAAAGTTAATGAAGTCTTGAACAGACTGAAGTCTTGTTTTAAAAACTACTGACTAACAAAATTAAAGTACTCAAAGTACTGATCTCGTCACTGTCACCCTGGTTTTGAAAAGTATTAGAGTTTGTTTTTGATTATTTGCAGCTGCTCCTTACTGGACCAGGTTGCCTGATGACCAGCTGTACGCCCCAGGAGAGACTGTGCGACTGCAGTGTCAGGCTGATGGGATACCAACCCCAATCATAACATGGAGTATCAATGGAGTTCCTATCACAGGTACACAACGGGCCACAGCTCCATTTCATCTCTTCATCTACACTGTTACACCCTCCCAGGCTTTTTTCCACTGGCAACACATGTAAAAACTGCCATGTATGCACTAACATGTATAATGCACTAATAATGTGAGCAAAATATTACTATGAACTAATTTAATTTGAGACCACTGAATAATATTGTAAATGACCATTGGACCAGCAACTACACAGTCACCGCCTGTTAACCCTCAGGTGCTCTTCGGTCATTCCTGACCGAAAAAATTTATGTTTTGAAATGTTAGAAATCACAGCTTCATCGGAATGTTACGAAACTTGGTGACTTTTATTCCATTGGGTATGTGAACACACAAAAAAATTGAGGTCATGATCCGAGCATGCTAAGTGGTCGTAAAAAAAATAGTCACACTTGTGCTCTTCGGTCAAAAATGACCGACCATAGGAAATGAATGGGAAATTGACAAAAACACAAAAAGTTTGAGAATTTTTGTGTGTACAATCTACAAATCGGCCACGATGCAGAAAAAAAGTGCTCAGCATTGAAGGGGTGACACTCTAAAACATCAAGAGTGCAAAACAGACATACCCACCCACACACACACACACACTTTTATACACAAAAACACCAATAAATTGTAATTAAAAAATCTGTTTTGAATTTCTAAAAAATCACTGCTTCATCAGAAAATTACGAAACTTAGTGACTTTTATGGCAACATGTATGTGAACACACAAAAAATTGAGGTCATGATTCGAGCACTTTAAGTGGTCGTAAAAAAATGAGATACACTTCTGCTCTTCTGTCAAACATGACCGACCATAGGAAATGAATGGGAAATTGACAAAAACAACAATCTACAACTTCAAACTACAATTTGCAATCTACAAATTGGCCATGATGCAGAAAAAAGTGCTCAACAATGAAGGGGTGACACTCTAAAACATCAAGATTGTGATATTGACACTCACCCATACTCACAAACAGACGCACACACGCACAAATAAACACACACCTATATATTTGTTACGGTTCAGTGACACAAATAGACATGCTCATTAAATATTATTTTACATAAAGTGTTATAATTGAATGAATTGCATTGTTTTTTTTTGTACAAATTCAGAATGAAAAAAAAAAGTGTATAAAATTTGCTTCCTAGCATTCTCTTTCTAACACAATGTTTAGGTTTGACTGTAATCATAATGCAAAAACTAACACTTTAAATCACTATTAAAAAAAAAAATCTAAAACTTGATAAGAAATAGTCTTTGAGATTGTTTAAATATATGTTGAAATCCACCTATAACAAAAAAAAAAAAAAAGTAAACGTGTCCATGAACAGCTGGGGAATTCACATGCCTCTCCATAGAGAACTGTACATTTCATCTAGTGGTTACAACATGGTTCTACGCTTTCTCTCCATACTCTTACCAGATGGCGCTAATCTGCCTTCAAAAATTTTTTTTGGAAGGCCTAGTCTCTATTTTAACCTAAAATACTGCTTAAAAAAAATAAAATAAAAAATGTATATATAAAAAAAAGTTTGTATTATTTTCAATGGCAAAAATGGACCATAAATATTGCATAAATATTAATAAGTAACATCAAATTGGCTCAAAATACAAAATTAAAAAGAAAAAATATAACTGAACAAAAATAAATTGCATTGGTTTTACTGGGATGGAGAAAGTTTCATTTTTAGGTGTCCGGTCACTTTTGACCGGGAAGATAACAAGTATGACTCCGAAACGAAGGCTAGTGATTACACCATGATTCTACGCTTTTTCTCTATACTGTAACTAGATGGTGCTAATTTTCTTCAAAAAATATTTTTTTTCTGAAGGCCAAGACTCTATAGTATACTAAAATACTGCATTCATAATTTTTTTAAAAAAAATTATATATATTTAGAAAAATATATATATTTTTCCATGGCAAAAATAAACCATAAATATTGCATAAATATTAATAAATTCAATCAAACTGTCTCAAAATACTAAATTAAAAAGAATAAATTTTATAGAACAAAAATAAATTGCATTGGTTTTACTGGGATGGAGAAAGTTTCATTTTTAGGTGTCCGGTCACTTTTGACCGGGAAGATAACAAGTGTGACTCCGAAACGAAGAGCACCTGAGGGTTAAATAAAGCAACATGCAGTATATCATCAGTCAACTGGACTAAAGCGTTACAGGTACCGGCCGGTGTCATGTAAACAGCTTATATGCTCTTGCTCTGAAACAGGAGAAATAAATGAGAGAGGGCAAATTCTGCGTCCGTCTTCCATCTCGCTCAGCAGAAAGAGAGAGAATTTATTACACAACCATTCTCAATCCTACTTGGTTACAAACACACAATATTTTCTCATGAAATAGACAGTTTCAAAAATAAAATACAATTTGTCTTTTCTCGTCTTTCAGCAATTACTGAGATATAAATTGTGTATGACCAAATAAATCAATATGACAAAACCTCATTTACCTTGTCAGTAGTCTCTTTTAAACTAAATATAAAACTTAGCTTATGTTATCACTTGCATGTAACCCCTAAATGCATTTTCAACCTGCATCATTTTCTTTACTCTTCCACAATGCATGAGCTGACACAGACTTATAACTTGTTTTTTTTAACCACTTCTAGAATACAAAACGTTAGGTTTTAACACTAACTTTTCACACATTACACAATATCATACCTTTCAAAACTATTATACTTTACAAAATGTTCAAAAGCTAACAAAATAAAACTCCGTTTGACGTGACATTGGTAATCACAGATGACGTCATCGGGCGCGAACATACGGACACTGAGATAACAGGCTTGTTTGAGATGCGCCTCGCCTCGCCTGCAATGTAGTCGAGAGTAGGCGGCTGCAGTGAGGGGAGGAGTGAAAAAAGCGCAATCAAGCCGGACAGATCTAGGGTTCTCGCAGTGAATCAGACACCTGTGAGATCAAAGGCGGATATCGCGGGATTAACGGGATTCACGCTCGTGCACGTGTTGCTAATAAACTGGATGTGAGTTCTGTTGCTTTTATATAAAAATAAATAAAATGTAAATAAAACCCAAACTACTTGTTATTTAATTACATTCCAAATAGCCTATGGTTTATCAATCTTTTTTTTCTTTAATACAGACGTGTTTTTATATAGCCTATTGTTTTAACAAAAATGAAATATAACCCATATGGCACTGTCAGATAGTTTATTCACCCATAGCCTATGTATACACATAAAACATGATATCAGTTTTAAAATCAAACATTTTAAAAGAGAACAATTCATCTGGTGTTCTTTTATTTTTATTTTTATTTATTTTACTTTTTTATTAGAATGCAAGTTACAAACATAGCCTACCTACAAGCACCACAATTCGTGAAACAAATAGGCCTATTATACAGCGACAAATACATAAACATCAGAATAAAATTAATAATAAAATAAATAAATCAATCAAAATAAGCTTAGCTTAAATAGACAGACTTACAAACTTCATCATCTATAAAATGAGAGCTATTTTTCACTTGAACATTTTAGAGTAGGCCTAGTATATTTGAGTTACTGACTATAGCTTTCTTATTTTGAACCCGTTTAAGAGATTCACAATATAGATCAGTTTCAATTTGAAAACAATAAAAAAAATAAAACATGGCCTTGATTTGGAGAATTTAGCTTAATGAATATGGAATTTACCTTCATCACTGTTGTTTAAACCAATGAGCATTAAGCTGTGTCGTCAGCAAGTCGTTTCCCATCATGCTTTTGATCAGCGCAGTCGGTGGAGAGCAACTGCGCGCGACTGCAGAATCCGACCCTTCCGCCTTGCGCTCGCGAGACTTTTTTGACATACGTCGGCATGACATCAGAGCCAGGCGGACCGTTCTCGGACACATTTCTAACCGGCATGCATCTCGCGCTGATCACCGGTGATCGATTCTGCGCAGAATTTGCTCATCTCAAACAAGCCTAACGTAGTATTCATATATGTCCACATTGTCATACCACAGCCTTGTTACACGGCCCGAAAACACATTCAGCGACATGTACACATTTAACATTTCAGTTATTTAACTTAATTTACAAATCTACCAACCTGAAACAGGAGAAATAAACGAGGGAGGGCAAAGTCTGCGTCCGTCTTCCATCTCGCTCAGCAGAAAGAAGCGGGACAACTAACGCGAAGCCCGGAAACACACAAAGCGCCACACTGCCCACTGCTGGCGAACTCCACAATTTCTCCTGATCTCGATATACCATATATTAGTACAAGTGGATGATAGAAATAGACAAATTACCCATGAACAAAGTTCAAAATATTTCTTAATAACATTACCATACCACAAATGTGATAACAATTTACTGGGTATCACAAAAGCACTGGCTCTACTGTGACCCAGTATATATCTGTTTTATAACTTAGTTTATTACTGTTAAAATACATTCAGTTAGCATGTCTTTTTATCTTACACTGTTAATTAACCCTTTCAACCCCACAGGAAAATCCACACTGCAAAGAGTAAAAGTAACATTGAAGCAGTTGCAGTGAGATGAGTGTGTATTGCATTAGTGATGAACACCTGCTGTTAACAAGCAGAAGTAAAAAGGAACACTAGAACAGAAAATAGAGAAACACAGGAAATACAACCATTGCACATTCTTACACTTATTATTACAGTTATTAAGCGAACCAGAAAAAAACAAACAATCTCTGCACTAACTGGATAGACCTACAACCAATCAGAGCAACACATGTTGAGCTACGCATATTTGTCAACAGAACTCAACTGCACACACACTGGAAGAAGTTAAATAACGAGTGTTGCTTCTTTTACTTACTCCTCCATGAGTGCCACCAAAGGAGAAACCACAACGACCACAGGCTTTTCATTACGTCCATCTTCTTAACGACCAGCGGAGACGGCTGATAAATTACACTTTTCCCGAATCATGTAGGAAGGACGGCAAACACATCTTTCCGATCGACAAATGCCTTGATTGCAGTTCTCTGTTCGTCTTTTAAAATGAATGCGCTGTCGATTTCTTTCATAGTGGAATCTATATATCTCGATTCTCCAGCTGCAGTCATCTCTGAGGGAAACCAGTGAAGCGCTCTTTGATAACAGGATGATTACGTCCCTGCAGATCATCTGTCCATCATCTTATAAAACCCGCCCTGGCAATTTGATTGGCCCGACCATTTCTGAACGACATAATTACTCCTCAATGGATCGAGTTCAGACCGAACTTCCCGACCAATAATGTTGTGGGCTGGGTTCGGGCTGGCATCCAGGCTAGCTAAATGGCTCCATTCACAGACTGAAAAGTGTCCGTTTATTCTCTCTATTACGCAATCTGCCTCTGTGCTGCGGCTCATTGAGAGCTGGTAGCAGATAAATTCAAGTGAATCGTTGTAGTTAAACGAATGGATAATCACAATGCTGAAATTACAGTACAAATTTAGAACTGAAACAAATGGAGGCTTCACTTATTGCATCAAATTTAAGCAAAGTAGGCTAAAGGCCAATTTATACTTCTGCGTAGGGCGCGCGCGGTAGGTACGGCGTAGCATACGCAGAGATGCATTCCATACCGCGTACCCTTCGCCGTAGCCTGACGCGCACTACACGTCGCGACGACGCGGACCGCAAGATCGATGATTGGTCGGCTTGGTAGCATTGCATTTCCGCACGTACCTTCTCGCGCATTTCCACACGTACCATCTCCTCCGACGTCTTCTCTCGTTTCTGCCTTTTAGTTTTAGTAATTTCACTAAAATGAACTATTTTTCCACCTCAATAAGCTCCAACTCCAACATGATCCGCTCTCTTTCCGCTGTCTGGAAGTCAGTTGTAGTTCTTGTGTTTCTCTTTTTCTGTTCTTGTTGTTTCTCTTTCCTTCAGTGGTTCTGCTTGTGGACTGGAGGTGATCATCAATAATGCCCAATCATCACTTAATTAATCACTTCATTAACTTTAACTCTGATTCTGAGTTATTTTAGCTCTTTGTAGAGAGGGACCAAATTGTCTCTGAGCAGAGTTCATTTAAATTAGCTGTTTGGTGAATTAGGATCGTGCCTGAGAGCGCCTCAATTCTCCCTCGACCCTACGATTTACATTTGAGGGACAGGCATACCAGTACAAGGTCCTCCCTTTCGGTCTGTCCTTGTCGTCCCACGTCTTTACGAAGGTCGCCCTTCTGCTTGTCTATGACTGCACAAATAGTTTCAGGACCGCAGATCTTTCAGACCTCAGGAAAGGCTGTCTTTAAACAGAGGTTGCCCATCGATAGTGGATGCCATCGACTTCCAGTCCCTGCCCCTTTAATCGTTAATACGAAAGATTTGTATATAAACAAACTTGCAATATTTTCAGACAATGTTTCTCCTTGTAGACCTAAAGGCTTCTGTTGTTGTGTGTTGTAGAGACGGATTTGGACCCCAGACGGCTTGTGAGTTCTGGGACTCTGATCCTGAATAAAGTTCAGTACAGCGATACAGCGGTCTATCAGTGCATGGCCACTAATAAACACGGCAATATCCTGATCAACACACACATCCATGTTGTTGGTGAGTAAACTTTGATCATATGCAGTTTGATTATTAGTGTATCTTTACACAATGCAGTAGAAAGAAGGGGAATGATGTCACTCCAGAAAGGGTTCAAATGATGTAATGTGTGCTTAAAAAAAGAGTGGAGCATCATTTTGTACCAACAAAACAACATACTGATTGTATTTGGTGAGCTATTTCTATAACGGCTGTACCCGGCGTTGTGTTGGTCAGAGCTGCCTCCTCAGATCCTGACGGCGGACGGGCTCGTGTACATTACCACAGCAGGGAAAACCGTCCAGCTGGAGTGCCGGACCTTCGGGTCCCCGCTACCCAAAGTGGACTGGTGAGAATGTGTGCCTGCTGTTGAATATTTTCTCAACACACTTAGAAGATTATATATATCATTGCTATGTAGTTTTCACTTAACTCTTTCCCCGCCTTTTTTTGATCATTTTCACAAACATGTCACGGCCCTCAGAATATATTTTTTATAACTATCTAAACATGCAATATATCAAAAGAAAGAACAGACCCTCTGTTTTAAAAAAAATATCTGTTTTAGCTTCATGCATTCTTTATTATCAACACTTGAATGTGTGTAAGTTTCACATAAAAACAAAATTTGGGGCAAAAAGCTGAGAGAATCAAGGTTTTGCCAAAAACTACATCCAGATGGGATTCAGAGCGATGATCAACACATAGATGGAGTCCATCACCCCTAATGCTTGAACAGTCCTATAGCTCGTCCTCGGTCAACATTTCATTCAACAACATTAGGCAGTTTTGATTAATACGCTTGTAACACCTCTCTTTCTTTCTCTGGTGTTACTCTGAGGAGGTTCAACAGAATTTCGACTGGTACTGAAATAAAACCACTTCACTCAACAAATATAAATTTTTCTATTTTATTTCACACGTGCCTATAATTGCCCCAACAATAAACAATATAAAGAAACCAACAGTCTTTGTCTCTGTGTAAATCAAACCACCATATAGACCACTTATCGTCAGTGTCCAGCCTTTAGAGGAGTTGAAATGAGGATGGTGAATGGATGAGTATGACCCAGTGGATTTTTGAGATCGACGCAATGATATTATCCAATTATCCAGTATGAGTATGAGGTGAAGATTAAAAAGTTGGTGCCTTGCTACAACGTACTGAAATCCAGCTTCCAACATCTCTCTTCCAGTAGACATGAAATAGATCAGCCAAACGATGCAAAACAACAAGAGTGGGTTGACACTATGGTGATAAGTGTCTAATCATAAAAAGTCCTTTCTACAAAAGAAAACAAAACAGCTAACATCAGACCTTTTTCCATTACAATTACATCCAGAGATTTGCAGTTATCATATACTCACATTTGAGCATAAACTCATTGAGTTCTCAAACCAGGACTTCAAATGGGTAAAGCAGGTAGCAAACAAGAAGAACCCTGCGGTTTCCCTCTACCAAACTGAACTGACTTCTTCAATGGTTATCAGGCTTATATCTAGTAGCCACCACTCACTAGTGCCCTCACATGGCAATTAGAGGTACTACTTGACCCAGGTAACTTTCTTGATAAGTCAGAAAGTACAGACTAAACACTCATGTAACATTTAAACCGTTACACGCTGTTTAACTTTTTTTTTACATATGCACATGATTACATATGAGATCTCCTTCTCCTGTGATTTGATCAGGAGATTCAGAACTCTTCCAGAAGATGTGTCATAGCGCCCCCTACCGTATAACAGTAAAAACACCGTCAATGGCGGGGAAAGTGATTTCTCACAAATGAAAGAAATTTTTCGTCAATGGCGATGGAAGAATTAAAAAAAAATATGATTCTAAATCCATGCTGAGCAGAACTCTATGCAGAGTTTTACAATATTAATTATACAATGATTCATTTATATTTGTATCATTAAAAAAAAAAAAATGTTTACATCTGGAGAAACCTACAACTAAGACAAGTGGAGCAGAAACATTTGAGAAAGATGAATGCCCTGATAATACAGCAGACTGAATGGGTTTTTGAGGTTGAAGTTGATGTTGTCTTGTGTGTTTAATCCAGTGCGATTGTTATCGTTTGCAGGGAGATTGTAGACACGGGTCCAGCTCTTGCTAATCCTAAAATGTCTCAGATGACCAATGGAAGTCTTCAGATCAGTAGCGTGAGCAAAGAGGACAGCAAAATGTACAAATGCTCAGTGGGAGACAGCAACGCGAGCATCATTGCTGAGCTGAATGTCTTGAGTAAGTGTTTAAATCTTTTAGAAAATCATCGTATACATACCATATCAATACCCAGATAGCAAACTGACATTGAATCAACGTGGAAATATGACATCGAAACAACGTTGATCTGACATTGTTTTGCTCATCGAATTAACGTTGAACCAACGTCAGACGCGTCATTCTTTCAAAACTAACGCAAAATCAACTTGAAATCAACGCGTTGTTTCAACGTTATGAAAGCAAACCAATTTTCGATTTTCATTTATCTTTGAAGAATGCCGCGTCTGACGTCGGTTCAACGTTAATTCGATTAGCAAAATCAACGTTGTTTCAATGTCATAAGAGACGTCGTTTCCACGTTGATTCAATGTCAGTTTGCTATCTGGGTATACACAGATTGTGTGGCTCAGATAAGGTCCAGTTCTGGATTATCTATTTGCCAAGGGGCTGACATGTGGCATTGCTATGGCCGGCTTGTGGCCCAGATCTGGCCAACAGGAGTGAGCCACCCAAGCCACGCTGCTCGTGGGCCAGATCACCTTGTCACATGGGCCAGATGGGGGCCGGATCTGGGCCGTCACAATGTTGCTATGTGGGAAGGCTACTATTGTAGATGATGCCTTTTTCTAAATTACTGGCAATAGTTTGTGCAGTAATTTAGATAATGTTAAAGTAATAGGTCATGCCAACAAAAGCAAATAACAATAGATTTGAAATGCATGGAGATGTTTCCACAGGGAGGGAAGAAGTCCTTAAGAAATCTGCTGAACACTCACATTCACAAACATACATTTCTCCCCACACGATCCATCCCTGACACATTTCATCACGTACTGTATATGGTATTGTGCCACATTATGCAAGTAAAATGAGTCATGAATGTCTTTTTGTGTCTCCAGACAGAACTAAGATTGTAGACCCTCCCCAGGATCTCCGTGTTGTACGTGGAAATGATGCTGTTCTGCAGTGCAAATATACAGTGGACCACATGTTTAAAGATCCCACAGTTCAGTGGAAGAAGGACGGACACAAGATCACCACATCTTCTGATAAGTAAACACACAATTTAAAATCACATTTTCTGTTGATTCTGTTCTTGTTTCTTTTTTTTGAGTATAATAATTGTGTAAAAGACATTTAAATGTAGTCATTATTATTTGCATTAATATAATGGCACAATATGTAAGATGTTTGGATAAAAATAACATTTATAGACAGAACATGAATCATTGTTATATAGTTAATACTGTTAATCTTATTATTGGAATTGCTTATTTTCTATATTTAATATCATGTTTTTACCATGCCTTAGAGAAAAGCATTATTTTGACAAGTGGCTAACACAACATAATCAGATCCAGCTTTATTTTTAGTAACAGTAATGTTGCATTTTTCCAACATACAATGTTTTAAAATGATTTTCATGCCATTTAGCAACAATAGCCATCCAATCTCATCTAGCTACACCTTTAGGACTAAAAAAATAGGCGACCTCTAGTGTCGAAAAGGGATCAAAGGGATCAAAACTAAGGGCCACTAAGGGATCAAAACAATCCCATGAATATCTGAGTGTTGAAAATTGCAATAACTTCAATGCAGGGTTGGTAAAACCAGATTGTCAAATGTTGGTAAATGGAAAAATGGACTGCATTTATATAGCGCCTTCATAGACCCAATGGCCTCCAAAGCGCTATACATTTTGTCTCACATTCACCCATTCATTCACCCATGGTGGTGTCAGGTGGATTGAACCGCCAACCTTCTGGTTTGTAGACAATCTAGATGAGCCACTGAGCCACTGCCGCCCCAAATGCTGAACATCAGCTGTCCCTCCACCTCCTCAACTCCACCAACATGATGTAGGCATCTAGCTACCATCCTCATCACCCAGGCATCAGCGGTCCCACTGGGTTTATCTCAGCTTGAGTTGAAGCTGCTTCCTCGAGCGCCTCCACTGCGGACAGCAAGCCAAACACGCTCAACCTACTTAGCTTAAAGATCATATGGGCAAAGGAACTCGCGAACTCGTTGAATGCATTGCATTGTGTGGATGAATTCCATATTTTGATGGCTTTGCTTGTTAAATGTTTGTGTTTTCCACATGGTTGCAGGTACATCACATCCCAGCATGGCCCTCTGAAGGTGATGAATGTTCAGATGGAGGACACAGGAATCTACAGCTGTGAGATCAGCACTAAACTCGACTCAGACAGCTCCACGGGCTCCATCACCGTAGTGGGTGAGTCTGGCTCTTCCAGTTAGACGTGCAGTTTTACATTTCATTGCTTCTGAAGCACGATGATGTGTTTGACGCTCCTCAGATAAACCTGATCCTCCTCACTCGCTGGAGTTGTCTGAGAAGATGGACCGTAGTGTCACCCTCTCCTGGATGCCAGGCGCTGAAAACAACAGTCCCGTATCTGGTAATTATTATCAAATCATAATAGCCTCATAAAATCATCACCATCACCATAGAAATAAAGTGGAATTGAAAGTTTCAAGGTTTTTGTTTCTGTCTTAGTGTAAAAATCTTACAGTGACAGTAATTTCGTAATGTTGGTAGGAAGGTATGGCTTTAATATAAAATCTGAACCTCTTATACATCCACTGAGAAAAACAAAACATCCAGACTCATTGTTCGATTTGTGAATCGACATGTTTTGTTCATCATGCTTCAGCTTCATTCTGATCATCTGGCCTTTCGTCTCTGTTGTCCACCAGAGTTTGTTCTAGAGATGAAAGAGGAGCAGGATCCAGCAGGATCGTCCCGGTGGGAGAAGTTTGAGACGGTCCCTCACGACATCCAACACCTGGAGGTCCATCTGGAGCCGTACAGGACGTACCACTTCCGGGTCAGCGCTGTGAATGCCATCGGACACAGCGAGCCCAGTCCTCCCTCGGACTCGTACAGCACCCCAGCGGCCCGTAAGACACGCTGAGCTCTGAAACATGCAATGAAACATACGCAAAATGCAACGAAACTTACAACCCAATATATTGCATATTCAACAAAATATTCTGGGGGCCATTAACAATCTCTCTTGTGCACAGAACCTGAAATGAACCCAGAAAATGTGAAGACTGTGTCTACTGATCCAAACTGTATGGTCATCACATGGAAGGTGATTAACAATCTTGTACTGGAGAAACGTCTTCTCCAAAAGAGAGAGCCATATTATATTGCACATGACAAAAAGAAGATTGACATTAATCTCGTTTTCTTTCTTGCATTTGGAAGGAACTGGAGCGACAGCATTTTAATGGACCAGGTTTTAAGTACAAGATCTACTGGCGTCAATCTTCAGACAGAGATCTACACTGGAAGAGCAGCAGCGTCTCAAATCCTCCGTTCATCGTGAACGACACTGGGACCTTCATCCCCTTTGAAATTAAAGTTCAGGCAGTCAATGACCTCGGTGCCGGACCAGAACCAGTCGCAAAGATCGGCTACTCGGGAGAAGACCGTGCGTTTCCTAATATCTAGATGAGTTCCTGAAAGCTGCTGCATTAGTGTTGACCCATGCCTTGACTTATCTTCCATAATGCCCAGGTTTCCTTACGCGGATTAGTCCCAGTTTTGTGTTGATCAGACAGACACAGGTCCTACTTTCTTACAGGTCCTAGAGTAAAGAGCATGGCATTGTGATTTGTGTTGCTTTAAACAAGGGCTAAAGAGATTTCATTGTGCCTGATGTAGAGAACTGTGTGTAGAGTTTGGCAAACAGTGTGGTTTACCATTGAAAACTGAGTGTAAAGCAAGACTGAGCCTCCTATTCCACCGACTTGGTTTATTTTTAACATGATTTTCAGGTTTTGGTGATTGAGTTTTAATTTTAGTGTGTAAACAATTGGGCAAAACAGAAAAACTATACAGTAAAACAGTAAAATGATCTCTGATTTGATCCAGATTCTGAATACTGTATTTTGTAGAAATCTTTAGTAACTCAGAAAAAAAAAATCAAAGACGTTTATGGAACTTTAGTGTGTTATCCTTGACAAAGAGATTGTAACAATGTTGTATTGCTACTTTTTATGTCAAATAAACTCAAAATCATCTCTCTGGATCTCTCACAGTACCTCTGGAAGGCCCCTCACAGGTGTCAGTGGTCGAGCTGAACAACACTGCGGTCATGGTGAGATGGAGTCCAGTCAGCACAGAATCTGTGCGCGGACACTTGCTAGGCTACAAGGTACACCATCTTTAAACTTCATTCAGTTTCTGCACTCATTACTGGGTTTGCTTACACTTTACTTTAGGTTGCCGTAACTACTATGTATTAACATAAGAAAAATAAAACACCTTTTCTGTGTTACTGCAAGTTTTTCTGGAAGATTCTCACATGTTCTGCTGATGAGCTTGAGGTTATGTTTAGTAGTTAGGCTTTAGAGCGATGGTTGGGTTACGGTTATAGGGGTTAAGAGTTAGGCTTTAGGGTGATGGTTGGGATACGGTTATAGGGGTTTAGAATTGGGTAATTACACTTGTTCATTAAATCTAAGTGCTATAAAAGTAATATTAGAATGCTCCAACATGTATGTACTTAATGAGTAAATTGTATCAAATCGTAGTTAATATAAAGTGTGACCCTGTGTTCTTTTCCTCTTGAGATCCATCTGAGAAGGAAGGGTCCCAGATCTCACAGCCGACGAGGCGACAGAACAACCCGTTCTCTCGCTACGGACAAGAACAGAGTGATTGAGGTTTCTGGACCCAAGGTGGAGGAGGTCGTGAGCGACTTGCAGTTTTACTCGAACTATACTCTGACAGTGGCACCTTTCAACAGCAGAGGAGAAGGTCCGCATTCTAATGCGTATCACTTTAGCACTCCAGAGGGCGGTAAGGTCACTTTTCTCAGTGCATGTGGAACGATACTCTACGAATGGGAATTTAGATTAACTGAATGTGTGCTCCTCGGCATCTAGCTCCCGGACCGATTTCATCCTTGACCTTTGAGAGCCTGTCTGAGACAGAGGTCACGCTGCGCTGGGAAGCTCCACACAAACCCAACGGAGTGATCACAGGATATCTGCTGCAGTACCTCGAGAGTGAGTCAAGCGTACCGTCTACACTCAGCAAAATCCCCAGTGTTAAATTAACACTTAAAAGTGTGAATTATATAAACTCTGAGCAGAGTGCTGAAGCAGTGTTAAAGTTAAGGAGATTATCCATATATTATACTGACTGTTGGTGGAGAAAAACCTTGTGAGATACCAGGGCTTACACCATGAACACATTGTGACTGATGATTCCCAGCTATAACCGAGTATTTTACAAACGGACGGTAATTTAGGTTAAACTGATAAGTACAACAGACTGAATCAGAGGAAATCAGAGAAATTAGCTGTAGTTTGACTAGAAGATGTAAGATGTCAGATAAAATGCCTCACTATTTGGCAGTACTGTGTTAAAGTCACCCTTTTTATTCAGTATTTTTAAAGAAAGTTGTGACTGGCTTCTGTTGTGTGCTGTGTTTAGTTGTGCCTGGAAGCTCGAGCCAACGGCCAGTGGAGACCATCAATCTGCAGGCTATTACTGAGCACACTGTGAAGAATCTGGATCCTCAGAAACACTACCTCTTCTACCTTGGAGCGCGCAACACCGCTGGCGATGGAGAGATGATCGTAAGGCAGGGCGCCACCTGGCTGGACGGAGGTGAAACTGCACAGCTGACATTTCAGCACTCTCATTGTTTGGAAGTGAATCAATCAAACTAACTTTAGCTGGACAATAACTTTATTCTAGAGCTGCTGTAAAGCCTAAACAATCTCTGTTACTGTAATCTTCTATTATCAGTGTAAAGCTGTTTTGAAACTATCTATATTGTTAAAAGCGCTATATAAATGAAGATGACTTGACTGTACTATAAGGACACAGTATAACAATTGTCAAGTCTTATCTGCATTTTCCTTCCGCAGAACCTCCATCTGTGATCAACATGACTGCTGGAGAGACATCGGTCAACCTCAGTTGGGTGCCAGGAGACAGACATCGTAACTTTGCCTTTAGATTCCGATACATCCAAAAAAGTGGTGAGAGTTTGATCAATGTTTAGACAAATCTTTTGATCTACTTATCCCGAAAACATGTGTTTTCCCTCTATCATACTATCATCATTTCATAAACAAGGGCTAAAGTTGTTGATCACCATCATCTAACATTAGCGATGATACAGTAATCATAAATTGTTTTATTTTTACCTAGTTTATTTTTGGATGTTCAAACAAACACTGAAACCTACTAACATAATGATAGCATCAAAAATGTATACACATTTATATAAAATGTCTCGGTTACGTATATAACCCTCGTTCCCTGAGTAGAGAACAGAGATGTTACGTCGGATGACGGAGAATGGGGGTTTAGCTTAGAAAACCTGTCATCTTCGTGTAATATAAAACGAGCCAATGGCGATGAAATTCCATGGGTCTGCGGAATTTGCATAGCATATCTCCGCCCCACCGTATGGGTATTTAAAGGGTAACTCAATCCCTGGTCAGAGCCTGACTCCACCCACTGGCAATATTTGAAAAATGCTGAAAAAGTGGGCAGACCCCAGCAGAGATAGAGGGGACAAAATAGATGCTAAAACACTGATCGTTTTCAATACTCACAAATGTGTACGCGTAATGCGAACCGCTAACATCCAATAGGAAAATTCAATTGCAGTAGCCACCATTCAACCTGAAGAGGGCAGCACTAAGATGTTTTTACACCATATATTGTAGAAATAAAACACTTTATACACAAATGTCAAAAAAGTTACTCGAATCAATGACTGGTACTAATAAAGATCCATTCTTACAGATCATTCACTAAAAAAAGTTTGTTTAGGGTTTAGTTACTCTTTAGGGAGAAATAATTTCAATGTGATGGCACTCTTGCCCTCGAACTGTCGAAAACAAGTCAGCAGTGAGTGTGCGCGCTCGCTCGTAAGCTGCGCGGACATGGAGAGTCGATCTCCATACCGAGAAAAGAGATCCTCTGCATGGGGTAATCTTCGTAAAGACGCGAGGAGACTGAGCCAGCCCGAATGGGAGAACCGCGTACTGATATGCCTGTCCCTCAGAAGCAAACCGAAGAAACGGTCTGTGTCCAGGTAAAATGGAGACATGAAAGTAGGCGTCCTTCAGGTCTATTGGTGCAAACCAACCCTGGGGCCGAACTCATTCGAAAATGCGTTTGGCCGTGAGCATCTTGAACAGCAGCCTGTAAAGGGTGCAGTTCAGGACGCGCAGGTTCAGGATCGGTTTTCTTGGGGACAATGAAGTAGCGACTGTAGAACCCTGACTTCATCTCGGCTGGTCTCGATTGCACCCTTCGCCAGTATTGCCACCGTAAAGTGTACTCTCCTAAAGCGGGGAGGAACTGAATCGCATAGCCGAGCCTGATAGTTCAGATGACCGAGCGGGACAGGTTGGGGAGCTCTAACCAGGCCCCCAAAAACTAATCCAGCGGAATCATCCGACCCACAGACGTCCCCCCGGAGGGGCAGCGAAGCGGAGTGACCGGCCCAGGCAAGGGTGGCATAGTGGTCCTGTGCGTAGGCGCGGTCATGCTCCGTGTCCTGACAGAGGAGACCAGGGAAGGACCAGCATTCCACGGGGGTCTGCTGTGCCAGGGGTCTGGCGATAGAGGGGGACGAGAGTGGTGTGGTCTGGAGACGGCACACACTGTCATCCGCGCCCTCGGAGACAGAGGGGGACGAGAGCGGCAAGGCCCAAAGGCGTCGCGCACTATTGTCTGCCTCTGGGGGCTCATAGATGAGATGCAGCTCTTTGGAGAAAAGATTCTCCCCCAGCCCTCCATTGGGGAAAGGAGTGGCCCTGCAACCACTCCCTGAAAGAACTGCAATACACATCTGAGCTGCCCATAACGGGAGCGCTGCATAGCCTGGCGTTCAGCAGGGCTGCGGGGCTGGTATGGGAAGGGGCGCCTCCCTGCGACCACCTCCACGGCGCGCCCCGGTGATGCTGGGGCTGGGCGGGAGGGGGCGGAAGTCGCAAGAGGGCGCATTCGGCGGCAAGCTTACTGAGGCGTCTGAGCTGGCGGCTGGATGGCAGCAGATGGCCGTGGGGTCAGACAAAATATGGGGTAGTTGAGGAAACTGGTTCACTCAGCCTCGTGCACATCAACCAGGTTAACACACAGTGAGGTGGCAGCCTGCCCCACAGCTTTGTAGGTCCCTGCCACCGGAGTAGACAAGAACCTACAGGCATTGGAGAGGCGCTTAGGGTCGCCACGCCAGGTGGAGGCGCTGTGGGGACACATAAGTGTTGCCACAGAACACTCCACAGGGGGAACCCCAGTGTATCATAGGCCGTGGCCTCTACGAGGGCAGAGAAGGCGGAAGAGGCCGCTGAGCAGTCGTGAAAAGTCAAAGGAGACTTCCACGATCTCATGGCCTCTTCATGCACGTTCGGGTAGAAAGGATTTGGGTTCGCCACCCTCAAAAACCAATCAGAAGGTTCCACTCAAACCCGATACTCGTGGCCCGGGAAAGCATAGCTGTGAACTCTGGATCAAACTCGTTACGCTAGCACATCCGAGGACAGCAGCACAGACGAGCCATCATCTCCAGAGGACTCCAGCTCAACTTGTGATGCGGCGATAAACATGATTTCATTAGCCGGGGGACCGAATGAGAACAAGGGCCATGGGCGGGCCGGCGAACTCACTCTGGACCACGTGAGTTGGAACGTGAAAAACGGGGTGTGGACCGAGGAATTTTTCAGTTTTGTTCCAGACCTGATGTCTTAGGTCACCCTGGCCACCAGCCGAAGTATTATCTCACGTGGAGAAAAATAGGGATGTGGATGAGGGGACTCTCACTTTATTGAGCTCATCGAGTCTCGACCATTACATTGCGATGGTCACGTTCCCACTGAGAGAACGTGACACACCCACGAGTGCTGTCTGAGCGCAATCAAAGCCCAAACACGTCAAAATAGTGCTCGCGCCCATCCGCTGAATCTATCAGAATACCGCACTCAGAAATACACGGGCAGATCGTCTTTAAAAAGAGACGTGCCACGTGAGTGATCTTTTAGTGAGAGGAAAACTCAGCGGATGTTGAAGGCACGAAACAAGCGGTTTGTGTGAGAAAACGAACAGTATTTATATCGTCACGTCCAAGTAATGGATGGAGAGGGAGCGGGCGCTTTGTGGCTGTGGTTACAAGAGGTAAAAACTATATAAATACTGTTTTCTCACACAAAAGGCTTGTTTCGTTTCATAGGTCTGGTTTTTAGTTTATGTTTCCTGTCAGTCATGTGATGCCATGCCCTCGTGTGATCCTGCCATGTGCTTCCCTAGTCTCCATCTCATGTTGTTAATTGTTTATCATCTTAACAGCCGTGTCTTGTTCAGTCATTAGTGCTTGTGTGAATATAAGCAGGGAGGAATTGTGTATCACAAAATCACAGCATCTTTCTCAAACATTGTTTCATGTAACAAGCTCCATGTTCATGTTCTTGTTTTTAAGTTTCTTGCCACGCCATGCCTTTGTTTTATGTTTGACTCAGTATCTTGTCAAAAAAAAGAAAAGAAAAAAAGAATAGCACACATAATCCAAATGGGACTAAAGAGGTGAAGCTTTTTGCACTATTTTAATGGCTGATTTGAATTAGTCTCAAAGCTGAAAAAGAATTATACACATAATTTTTATGTACATGCCTCACACTTCATACACTATGCACCATACTCAAGTCCTACCAAACCCATACAAGCAGTAAACTACAGCTGGAACTACATTTCCCAGAATGCCCCACGGCAAACCGGGAAGAATAACATTACTCACACATTAAATACCAGCCCGCGATTTATACTTCAAACATGTTTAAAGTCAGATAAACTAAACACAAATGGACACATCTTCTATAGCGATGTTTTAAGTAAGTCTAAAATGTTAGCTTTGTCTCACGGGTACCTCGTCAACTTCCCTGCAAACATGCCCCTGCGGGGCCGACGCTGGCTTTTTGTGGGCACAGTGGGCTAGGGCCAGCCCACGCCAAACCTAAACAGGCCCAGTGCGGGTTGCCCAGACGAGGCCCACAGCTTTGGGCTCACTGCGGGCTATCAGTGAGCAGCCCACACTAGCGGGCTGCCCACATTAAGCCCATGATGGCCCACTGTGGGCCATCCCATTCGGGCCCATGAGCAGGTTTTGCACCTTTGGGCCCATGCGGGTTTAGTTTAGGTAGCCCACATTTAGATTTGCCCAGAATGTCGTCAGTACGTCCTCTAATCAAAATAACTTGGTAATTTTAATTCTCTTAAAAAAAAAATATATATATATATATATATTGAATTAATTAAGAGAATAAGAAAGCACTAATAATATATATATATATATATATATATATATATATATAAAGAGAATAAGAAAGCACTAATAACTTGGTAATTTTAATTCTCTTAAAATTTTTTTTTAAAACAATTTAAATATATATATATATATATATATATAAATTGTTTAAAAATGTTTTATTTTCTTAAAGATATATATATATATATATATATATATATATATATATATATATATATATATATATATATATATATATATATATATATATATATAAGAGAATAAGAAAGCACTCTTTATATAAAGATGGTAATGAAATTACGGGCCTGTTGCAGTTTCATTCCACACTTTATGTTACATATTTATATTACACGTTGCTCTTTATATTACATGACATGTAGGCCTTTATATAATACAGATGTCATGAAATTGCTTTACAATAAAAGTAAAAGCAAAATGGTATTAAAAAGCATAATTGTCAACTGAATGGGTCATAGAACTACACAATGAGTTTAAATTCATTATATAAAATTAAAGATATTTTAAATTGTTAAATGTTATAATTCTAGATGTTTATTTAAATGCTGCGTGCCTTTTGACGTGTTCTATGGTTTCAATATGGGCGTACGTGCGCGAGTCGCATTCAAATCTGATTCAAAGACAGGAGCGCGCGCGAGCAGATGGAAACCATGGAAACGAGGAAACCCATCAACTGACAAACAGCAAACTAGCGTCTCTCACTGTTGTTTTCTCTGCTTTCAGGTAAGTCTAGTTACCAAAATCACACAAATAATACATACAAACCTTCCTGATATATGTCTTACGTGTAATTGATACACTTCTGTTGAATATTTACTTTATAGAAATAGTTTTGTGTCTTCGATAAAGTCCGTTAGCATCTGACTGAACCGTTTTCAGAAGAGCTAACGTTAAGTTGTTTACGTTACAATTGAGCTCTTGTTTTACATAAGTGTGGGTTTTTAACCACATTTTTGTGTTGATAACAGTTTTTGATAGTTTTGTTTTGCTGGTAATTTGTCAATGGGTGATTGGAAGTTAGCTAAGTTAGTTTATTTAAGCTTGAAAGAATTCATTGTAACGTACTTAATGACGTCATTTACAAATATTGGTAATAAGTGATTTCAGAAGGAACAGGAAAAAAACACAACAAAGGGGAATTATTGTTTAATCATGATAATTATTTCATATGCATTATTGCACAATATATTACCTTAAGATTTTTTATGTATATTCTTTAGCTATGCTCTAGCTTGCTTCCTTGTATTAAACCCTTTGTTCTATTGTAAATTCAATGTAATATTGTTGGCTCTGTGACACATTGCATGTTATTTTCTTGAAGATCATCATAGATGTCCTGCTGCACCCCCTGGGGTCCAAGACAATCTCCACGGCTATGACCTCGACTATAGTAAGCAAAACTTCATACATACTGTTTAATTGTTGTGGGTCTGTAGGATTTATGATTTTGAATGAAGTCTCTCACTTTAAATTCATTAACTACAGTTTTTTTCAGTGACATTGTACTTGAGAAGCTAAATAATAGGTGGCAAATATAATGTTATAATAGTCATAGTTATAATAATTCAGGATAATAGTCATGGGTATATATATATATATATATATATTATTATTATTTTTTTTTTTTCTCTGGGTGTGTTTTTAATTATGTTGGCCAATGAGACACCATACTGTCCAACTCAAAGCTATTTTTTTATGTATGTTTGACTGATAAATACTGAAATTCTTTTTACTTTCAAATGCTGAATTCAGGGGGTTATGGCTGTGCTCTTGTTACCAGATGAGATATCATTTGATCCTGTGATTATTCAGGACAAGATCTTGATGCCATCCACACCCAGTACATGACGAAGGTGAGTTTCACAATAGCTATATCACCATCACAAACCAAGAGGCCAAACACAACAGGCCTTCATCCATATGAACTCACCCATATGTAGGAATAGGTTCCGAAACCCGGTATTAAACATTAAACGGGCCCTGGGGCCAAATTAAGGAAGACTGCAGTATCGATAAGCTCAGATGTTATCAGTTCTGCTGACGGTACTGAAGAAATTACACACACACTATTTATTATAGACATTATCTTGTGTCATTGTCATGTGTTTTTCAGGCTGGTTGTTTGTCATTTTGTAAGAGTAGAGAGAGGCTGTACCTCAGTGAAGACTTATTTTACATTAGATAATTCAATTTCCGTACCTGATAAGTTAGATTTTCCGAAAAAACTTCATGCACTGCTTATTTCAATTGTATTTTTCTTCTATTGAATTTATCAATACTTGTAATTTGTTATAATTTTCAATGCAGATTCACTCAATAATCTCTTGAAATTTGTTTTTATATCGCAATATATATAGCAGCAGATAAACAAAATATTTTATTTAAGGTTTTTAGTATTGTGCAGCTCTAATATTGAGCATTTAACCTGATTGAACCTGGAATTGTTATAATAACCTGGAATAATTTGTGATACCAGATGTATGATTATGTATGATAGATTTTGAACTGTATTTTTTTTTTTTTTTTTTTTTTGCAGGTTTTCTGGGATCCACAGTGGAAGGCATCAAGGCGTGAGATGTTGGCTGGACAGATGTACCTGTACGACCTCTGCTTTTACATGGATGGCGGATTACTATCATGTTCTGTAAAGGTTTCATTATAGCAAAACAGAGCACCTGTGACAGTGGAATCTGTAGGTGTAACGTAGTCAGTTAAAAGTAGTCAGGTGTAAAGTAGTCACAGAGAGAACGTTTTTTTTTTTTAAGTTTCAAACTTTTTTCTCTTTCACAAAAAACACTGCAGTTACAGCTTTTCAAATTCTTCATTGGAGGTGTACAAATAATTTTCTTTTTTTCAAATCACAAAAAGGGCTGTGCAAAAATTAATTGCAATTAATCGCATCCAAAATAAAAGTCTGTGTTTACATAATATATTTGTGTGTGCTGTATATAATTATTTTGTATATATAAATACCTATGCATGCATGTATATATTTAAGAATTATTTGCACTTAAATTCTGTGTGTATATATATATATATATATATATATATATATATATATATATATATGAATACATAATCTATATTATATAAATATAAATATTTTATATATGAATAACACATTTTCTTACATGCATGTGTGTGTATTTATATATACAATATAGGGCTGTGTAACGATTAATTGCATCAAAAATAAAAGTTTGTGTTTACATGATATATGTCTGTATAATTATTTTGTATATATAAATACACACATATGCATGTATATATTTAAGAAAAATGTGTTATTGATATATCAAAGATTTATATTTATGTATAATATTAATTTTGTATAAACATATATACAGTACAAACATGCAAATATTTCTTAAATATATACATGCATGTGTGTGTATTTATATATACAAAATAATTATACACACTACACAAACGTATATAATTTATGTGAACACAAACTTTTATTTTGGATGCGATTAATCGTTTCACAGCCCTAATACAAAATAATTATATACAGCACACACAAATATATTATGTAAACACAGACTTTTATTTTGAATGCGATTAATCGCAATTAACTTTTGCACAGCCCTGTAAGAAATGTATGCTGACATTTAAGGCACGGCCACACGGGGTTTGAGCATATGTGACTGTGAATGAAAAGTGAAGTGTGACCACATGAGAATAGCCAAACAGTATAGATGATTCACAAAATTATACACCAAGAAATGTGCATAATTGGCCAAAATGTTACTGTTTATCAACAAAAATATGACCCTATGAGTTTGGTAATTTTTAGAATAGGATTTGTGCACCTGCAATGAAGAATTTAACTGATGTTTTGTGTAACTGATGTGTTGTGTTTGTGAGAGAGAGAAAGCAAAGAAAAAGAGGTTTGCAACTCATAAAACATTTTCTCGAAGACTAAAAATCTACAAATTGCACTGTTATAGGGACTCTGTTTAGCTTCAATATTACTAGATATAATACAGTGTCAATCTTATTAACTACTATTTATTTTGTATAAAATCATATACAGTATACAGGTAAAAAATTTGGAAACATTTTGGAAGAAGTCTATTCTGCTTATCAAGCTTGCATTTATTTGCATTTATTTAAAAAAAAAAAAAACAGTAATATTGTGAAATTTTATCATAATGTAAAACAGCTGTTTTCTATGTTTCTGTTTTTTATGTGAATATATAATAGTGTAATTATATTATATATAATAACCTGAATTTAATGTTTTATGTTTTGTAATTAATAAATACATTGATTTGAAATCCCTTTGACTTCTGTACATTTGTGAAAATACAGAAATTAGTTATGTGGTGACTGCATTCAGATGTATAGAATAATTGTTTTTCCCAAAGACTTATAGTTAAATTAGCCAAAAAGTATTTATAGTGAAACAGATTAATTGTGAACTAGATCTATTGTTGTAGATGCCCTGTGTGTGCGGTGCGGGCCCTGTGTGGGCTTAGTGAGGGCTTCCTTGGGGCTAAGTGAGGGCTGCCCATGCAGGGCCAACGTTTTGTGGGCCCAGTGTGCGGGCCCTGTGTGGGTTTAGTGAGGGCTAAGTGAGGGCTGCCCATGCAGGCCCAACGTTTTGCCAATGAGCAAATTCTCATGGGCCCTGCGCTAGCAGCCTGCAGGGGGCCCTTAGGCTAGCCCTAAGTGGGCCCGGACAGGGCCAGTGCAGGCTTGTTTGCAGGGTTAGTTAACTAAGCTTGTTTAGATCTAACGTTATCAGAGCATAACATTATCTTTCTCATGAAACGGACACAAACACAGTACAATATAGATGCATGGGTGAAAGCAAACAACATGAAGCATACATCATAAAGCAGACAAGAAACATTAAAATTAAGAGAGCTTACCAAGTGGCTGCACACCGGGTTGAAGTCAATATAGATTCAATGAATCGCACTTAGTGAACTCCGGTCACATGTTCCACAGCACACCCATCTCTTAAAGAGGCACTACACTATTAGGCTACAAACCTCAAAACGTTTCCAATATCTGTTGTAACTCTAGTTCAATGTACACATCTGAATTAAACATGCAAATAATAATAATAATAATAATTATTAAATAATAATAGAAATAACAAAACTCCACTGAAAACAAAACAATATCTTTAATAAGAATCAATTTATTCAGTGAAGTCTATGTAGTGTTTTAATTTCATATTTGTTCATTTAATAACTTCAATGCTACTGCTAAATACACCTACTGCATCTGAAAAAATAAAGCACTATTTATTTAATATGAATATTATTTTGTGTAATGTTTATCTTGTCTTATTTTTTTTTAATAACAAAGAAAATAATGACAAAGATTTTTATCTTCGCCACTGGCCTAAATGTATGCCTTTCTTTTTTATTTTGTTACCTAAGACTTTGTTTTTAACATAGGGGCATTAGTTTGGCTGTAATGAACAGCCACTTGCAAAATATTAAAACCAACTTGAAATAGAATCGTGATCGTGATTTTCCTAAAAAAATCGTGATATGATATTTTTTCCATATCGCCCACCCCTATTATACGCTATCAATGATAGAGGTTTCGTACAGATGATTCATCAATCATAAGAAGATGACCACAGCAGTGATGTTGTGTGTGTGTGTGTGTGTGTGTGTGTGTGTGGTAGACGGTGGTTCGTGGGAAGAGTCGGAGCAGGTGAACTCCACACAGGCCTTCTATCAGCTGCAGGGACTGAATCCGGGTGTTTGGTACCTCCTGCAGATCTGGCCCGGAAACACTTCCTTGGCTTTCAAAACCAACGGACCAGGTACAGGCCAGTCACAAGCATCCCTGGATGGTGTCATGGGTTCAGTGCTCTGATTCGCTGTGTGTCGTCTCTTCCTCAGAGCTGCAGGAGTTGCCCAGTAGCTTTGCAACTCAGGGCTGGTTCATCGGACTCATCAGCGCCCTGATCCTGCTGCTGCTGGTGCTGCTCATTCTGTGCTACATCAAGAAGAGCAAAGGAGGGAAGTACTCAGGTAATACACACACACACATTGAGCTTTCATTAGCAACAGTTATTCAACTCTAATTGGGGGAGCGGTCAATTTGGGAACCTGCTTTTGAACTTTTTGTGGAAAAAAAAAAGAATGGTCCTTATAACAAATTACAAATTAATGGAATTGTTTATTTGAACATTCATGTACAATGCAATAAAAACACTTAATCATTAAATAAATATTAAATGTTTTTTTCATGACTGAATTAACCAGACTTGTATAGGTAGAGTTGACAAGGCGAATGTTCCACAACTAGCAATCAGGGCTGATGAGTCTAGGCAGCGATTTCTGGGAAATGTACTTGACATATTTATCTAGATAGCGGTAAATGTATACAATAGTGCTGCTATGTTTATAGGGTTGTCAACAAAAGAGACGCTCTGAATTTATGCTGCGCTCTATATTTTGGATTTCAGTGAAAGATAAAGAGGAGGGTCAGGTGGATGCTGGGGCCCGAACAATGAAAGACGACGCGTTTGGAGAGTACAGGTAAGGCCAGTTAGCTAATTATGTCACATTACAGTGTCAATACTTCTCTCTGTTCATAAGTCTCTCTACTTTCATGCTTGCGCACAGATCTCTGGAGAGGTAAGAACATTCACTGACGCCATCATCCATGTACACTGGCTGTTTCCCGCTGGACTGTAACCCAAACCTGTGGTCTGTCTCTCCGTCAGTGATAATGAGAAGTGCTCCATCAGTCAGCCATCTGTCTGCGAGAGCAAACGCAGCAGTAACGACAGTCTGGCCGACTACGGAGACAGCGTTGACATCCAGTTCAACGAGGACGGCTCCTTCATCGGCCAGTACAGCGGACGCAAGGATCCAAACACTCACTACAGCTCGGGCGCCACCTCTCCCGTCAATCCCAACATGCCTCCGCCCAGCATCAGCTTCCCCACTTCTGTGACAGGAATTCTGGGGCCAAATTAACACATGCATGTCCCTGACCATTTGAATGAGAGGCACTGATGGTATTAGACAGGATATTACTATACGACGCGAGAAACATCATCCATAAACACCGCCGGCTTCACCCTCACGTAACGACACACATGCATATCCGACAGACGCCAATAAAGTGCAGGACAATTGCTCATAACATTCCATCCAAGCACTGAAAACTGTTTACAACGCTCACCTTTCTTCTTCCCAGGTTACAGCAAGTGATGATTGAACTGGAAGTTCTCTTGCTGAACTCCGGTAGAATAAGGTGTAGTCGACCACAGACGCAGCCAGGAGAATACGGCCAGTTCAGGACAGATTTTGGCCTTGTTCACATGGCGCACAAATGCAACTTGTTTTAAAAAAGTGATATCTGTAGGAGTGACTGCCAGCACTGTCTTTTTCTGAATCTGATCGTTTAGAAAGCATGGTCAATATTTGCTGTATCTAGTAGATGTCAGCACTATGGCTTCTGCTGTACAACAAAAAAGATAATGTTGACAAGACACTCTGATACCGCTCACTATTTAGTGAAAGAGTAACACTTCTCCACACAAACAAATGCAATGAAACTGAATCTGACAGATTTAAAAATTGGCTTTTTAAAAACAACTGTTCAGTTTCTCACTGTTCGAGCCGAGCAGATTCGTGCTGTGTCTCTGAACAATGCCTTATGTAGAAAACATCAGCTAGACACACTGCGATGTTCCTGTGCCATCACAGGTAACACAGTTTGAAAAGAGAAAACCCTTTCGCATTTCATCGTCATTTGACGGCATTCTTTTCCTGTTGTTTTTAGTATATTTTGGTTGTGTTCATATCATTTTTTATTTGAAATACATGTACATACATCATATAATTAAGTTCATAGAGACTAATATATTTTGATTTCTAAATATCATCATATTTTTTATTACTTTATTTATACATTTGTTTCTCGACATATTATGTGTAACGTTTGTATCTTTCATTTTTTTATTCATGTTTTATAATACAATATGTACGAACAATTATTATCCTACCACGTCTCTCTCTGTGTCTTAATAATCAAAGTTCAGGGCTTTTAACATGTATCATTTGTATTGTTGCCCAAGTGTGTTATCCAAGTAAGCTTTATAAATAATGGTGTTTTTGATGCAATTTATTACGTTAAATCCCTTTGAAGTACATACAGCCGCTGCACTAAAGCCAAATTTTGTGATTTTGACACTAACATATATTTTTTAACTTTTTTTCCAACTAGAATTGATATCCCGCAGCACATAACAGCATGAGATGTAGTGCTAGGCTAGTTGATGTAGTGTGAGGCTGTGCCCGCTGTTCTCCCGTAACGCTGAGGCTAAACCCCGTCGTGTTGCCTTACAGAGTTTGATAACTCCCGTCTGTCATCAGTCCATCCGCTTGCAAATAACAACGCTCCAGCAGTGCAAATGATGTACAGTAAATTACTACTAACAATAACAGTCCTACAATATAATCTATCACACATTTGTCATCAGTCGCTCTTTCTAGTGTGGGCATTCTTTGAAATAAATGTAGTCGGGCTGTTCCTGTCTGTATCTGGTGTATTAAAGGAAATGCCCGAGGGCCGTGATTTCAGCTTATGATAAATAGACACATATTGATGGGTCTTATTCTGAATGTAAGTAATCTTTTACAATTATTATTTGGGATGTTTTCACCTTTACTATCTTTATTATTGTCATTCCATATCCACTGTCTATTACAGATTTAGTGTTTAGAGCACTGGTTTCATTGTGTTCTGGAGTGTTTGCTGTCTCTATCCAAAGAGCAGAAACACCTCCAGACAGTGATGATGGCTTTGAGTTTACTACTTAATAACATTATTTGTTTTATATGCCTCTCATAAAGCATCCTGAATTGTACTGATCAAAGTCATGCTGCGACCGCCTGGTTAAAATCAGAATATTAGGAATATTTACAACAAATGTATGTAGCCTGTGTATGCATTAAAATCTATTTTCCTACGAAAAGGACTTGATTAAAACGGGTGGAAGTGCAGTGCATGGCTTTATTAGAACAGCTGTAAAAGAGCTCAAGTGAACCATCCTTCCCAGCTTTATGGGATATCTTGATGATGTATGTAACCTTCTCTTACCTCTGCTTCTATTTTTAAATCTAAGCACTCAAATGACAATAAAAAGGTAGTCAGTGTGGTGTTTCAAACAATAACTGCCTCTATGAGTAATAACTGAACTCTGGTGAGAGATACGTCATGATGGACTATAACTGTAAAGTAGCGGGAATACGAGTCTATGTGGAGGTTGTCAGCGATGCTTCTTTAGTCCCTGTGCTGTATCTAAAAATACAATAAAATAAAATTACATGATTGATTATGCAGAAAATAATGTTTTACTTTAACAATACTCATTTAATTTAAATGACTGGACGTGGCTTCATATTTCTTGCATTTACATTCCATATTATTATTGCAGCTAAATATGAGTCACACGCTTAAAATTGACTTTTTCACTTGTCAATTCATTTATCATCACAAATTATTGAATATCAAAAATAATAGCATGAAATACAATATTAAGTGCTGTGTAATGAGCAGGGCGGGGCCAAGAGCATTGGGAAAGGAGCGAGCTTAATGAACGACACCTATGAGTCACGCCCGTCACAAGTCCCACGGAGAAGCTCCGGAAGGATAAAAGGAGGATTTACAACAGTGGAAGACGAGAGGACCAGGCCTGGGACTTTTAAGCTCATGTGCGGCAATCTTCCTTGAGGGGCAGCCACTTACTTTTGCTATGGCGTTTGTTTATTTTGTCATTAAAGTTGCGTTCATTTTTTCCTTCATTACATTGGGGCCAAAACTGGGGAGGGCTTTTAACTGGAACTGCTGGAAGTTTTATGGCTTGAGCAGAGTCTGCTGCCCCGGCCCACTGACATGCAAAGGCTGTTAAATCCTGACATTTACATGCCCCAGGAAGTCTGACATTTTTTTTTTGTGTGCATGCGTTAAACTTTTAAATACTCCTATTTGGGGATTCATGTAATTGTCATCAAATTTGTCAACTTTTTGCCAAGACATTTCAGATGTGATATACTGAAAACATTTATTTTAAAATTTTGGTTTTGGCAATAAATGTATGGCAGAAAAAAAATGGTGCATTGATTGATTTAGGTAAATTTTGAGTTGTTTGAGTTTGTAATCTCTACACACAGGTTTTGGGAGATTCAACTCAGAGTGTCAGAACAAACGATTCACCTGGCAGGAGTGCAGGGAAGGCAAAACGTAATTTTCTTTATTCTTAATAAGGTGGGGGGAAACTGTGAACTGAGGTATTACTTCTTTCTTGAGTTGGCCCTTGTTGCATCAAATCACTCACTCAGGAAGGCAAAGGAGATGAAGAATATCCCAACAATATCCCCTCAATTTTTCAATGTTCCATTTGACAGCAAGACATTCTTCTCAAGGAGTAGCAGCTTCTGACTAACATACATGACCTGGTGCTCCACCAGAGTAGAGAAGGAGCCGATTACTAGGGCACACATCAGGTCTTATTACTGGTGATCTTTGTCCTCTTCCATTGTAAACCAAATCAATGTACATGATCCCTGTGTTTCCAACAAATACAGAATAAAGGTGACAGGACCCAGGCCCAGCAGCCCAAAGAAGACAATGAAGAGGCCGTGATGATGACCACTTATCTGATGAAGCGTGTGCAGCGCCAGCTACAGGTAAATATACACGGACAGCCTGTTTCTTCCTGCTTCATTTTCAGAAGAAAATTAATACGTACGTTTGAGTCTGCCTACCAGTATTGTTGCCTTATTTTGTTTTAGCTTTTAGGCAAAGCTTTCTGCCCTTGAGGAGATTTTTGAAGAGGAAGAGCCAAGAGCGTGACCAGCACCTCAGGGAAGATTCAGGAGCAGATACAGCTCTACAGAGGTTTGCCGTGTACACCGTCCACAGTTGGTGGTGGAGTATGAAGGACACACTGCCAATGCTATCCCCTCTGTGTACCAGCCTCATCGACGCCCTCAGAGCGGACAGTTTCTATTGGCCAGGAGCGGGCCTGTCTGTTGCCAGAAAATGCAGACATGTTGATCTTTACTTCAAGTTAGGATTGATATCAATCCTGAGTGTCTGCTGGCGCACCCCTATCCTAAAAGCACAACCAGTTTTATTAATAATAAAAGTTTTGTGTTTAATGTATTTTTGTTGATGTTGAAATGGATTTTACAACATATGGTATCGGAAAAAGTATCATTAGGAAACGGGATAGAAACTGAGGTGTCGAAATTGGCACCGGATCGAACGTTTTTGAACGATACTCAGCCCTATTTGCCAGTGCATGGAAAAAATGTATGATAACTGGAAGAGTCTCATATTTACGATCTAAATTTTCTGTCTGACTTCATTCCTCTCCTCAACATTAGAACTTGCACAGTGATGCCGAAAATGAAGGAGGATGACGCTGCCATGAATCCCCCACAGCCGACTGAGCTGGTGAAATCCCTGGCTGACCTCTACCGTACTCAACATCAGGTCCTCCTTGACCTGCGGGAGGAAGAACATACACACTCCTCCACCCTCAGGAGGACCTTTAGCTGGACACGCCAGGAGCCCAGGACCACTGACCCTCTGCCTCGGGGGCCGTCCCCAAGATTACAACCCAGGATGACCCAGTTTCTGGAGCTATTTAAGTGTATGGCGGAGGTATATCAAATCATTTGTAATATAATGTGGATATATGTAAGCTAAGTATAGCTGCATGGTAATGTTACTGTTTTTAATTTATGTATTTTTTTCTTATGTTTTTGTGTTGGTGTCCTTGTGTGTGATGTATAGTGAAGCCAAGGACAAATTTCCACTTGTGGACAATAAATTACTCACTCATTTACTCATTCCCTGCTATTGACAGAATTTGTGTCTTAGTCTTTGTTTTCAATTTTATACGATAGGGGGCGCTATGACATCTTCTGAAAGAGTGCTAAATTTCCTGCTGAAAACACATGTGAAGAATATGCAAAAATCAGCGATCCCGTGCAAGCATCAGGGGTGTTGATGGACTAACTATTAGATCATCTTTCTGAACCTGATCTGGAGGGAGTCTGACACAAACGTGATTTTCTCAGCTTTTTTAATGAAACTGACCCATATTCATGTGTTGATGGAAAAAAAAGAATGCATGAAGCATTAATACAATGTTTTATGTTTGTTTGAGCAGAGTCTGGTCAGATATTCACTGAAAAAATATTCTGGGGGCCGTTAATATTTTAGTAAAAATGGTCAAAAACGCCTGGCGGTGGCTGGCAACTTTTCTTTTCTTTTTTTTTTTTTTAATAAAATGCTGGTGGGGAAAGAGTTAACCCTCTGGGGTCTAGGGTGTTTGTTCTGATGTTCTGACATGCCCTGACATTTGTGCTTATTTCAGTTGCTTATAAACATATTAATGACACAGGTAAAATTACACTCTATTTAGCACCAACAGGGCTACCATAATATGTGAGCAGCATGTATGTACATGTTTGTATTTTTGAGAGAATATTGTTTAAGCATGGTTATTGAAAAAACTAAAAATGAAAGTTCCTGAAATAAGGCCATAAAACACATGCTAAATATGCGACCACAAGACTCTTGACTAACGGATGTAGTCGCCTAGAGTTTCTGCTTCAAAATGATCAGAAAATCATCCTCCTAATCGTTCACATAACACAATAGATGGATTTAAATTTTGTAAGACGTTTTTTCTTTGTAAAGAACGAATATCATTGTGGAGCTTTTACTGCTAAATCTGGTCCAGACACACTCATCTCAGTCGGCCCTTCGCTCAGCGAATCCTCTTCTGTACTGTACATCCACCAGATAAATCACACAACGCAACAGTAAAGCATGAATATATCATGAATATAGCACACTACGAACACAAGAGAGAGAGAAGAATCAGACCGTTTCTCCTTGCATTGCCGTTTTAATCCTTTTGCTGGAAAACCACACTTTCATTCACACGCTGTGCAGGAACACTGAGACTGCATTGATTCAACACGACATCAGAAAAATCTCCCGCACAACATGCATTATGTCACTACATTCGTCAACTCAACATTTTCCAGCACAACTGACTCGATATGATTGTGCGGTGAAGAAATGTGATTTAAATGAGTTTAACCGAGCTCAACAACACAATCATGGAGGTTTTGGTTCATAGTAAAGCCCTGTATTGATAAGATGAGAACATATGAAATATCGCTGAGGACAAACGGTTCATCCCACCGACTACTGGTATATAAAGTATTTCAAGTATTAAAAACATTCAGCCCAAATAAAGATATATACTATATATGCTGTCATCACACTTGAGAAAAGACCCAGTATAGTGGAACTGAGCGGTGGCTGTTCAACAACATGAACTAGTATCAGAGAGTCCCTAATAAAACCTTTTAAATAAATAAAAAATAACAGAAGACCTTTCTCTCTGTGGCAAAGCATGATGGTGGAGAGAGACGTGATCGTTCATGATAAAGCTTGACCTGAATTAAAACCCTGATAAAGAACAAGAAAATAAAACTCAATAGAGGAACTGAAGTTTGAAAACACGTTGGATGATTGAATGAGCGTCTGAAAGCTGTTTGAGATCCCGGCCGGTTCTTCAGAGCTTGCGTTCTCCCTGAGCTTGAAAAAGGTTGACTTTAATATTGCGTGCCGTCCTCTTGGGCGTCTGATCTCTCGTTCCCGGACGCATGCCTTCCCTGTGGTCACTGTCGCTGTCGTCCTGCTCCAGCGTGTGCCAGTCTCGCTTCAGCGGCGTGAGCTCTGGGGCGATCACATCTCCATCCTGCAACACAACACACGGCACCAGTGTTCGATCAGTCCACACTAGAGCCAGGCCGATATTAGGCATTTTCCAAACTATCGGTATCGGCAGTTATAATGGCCGATAAACGAATGTTTCAAAAATAAAATAAAAACGGACGAAACACGCTTGAACCATGTCATGAGTGTTGGAGTTGTGTAGTTTGTCCACCAGAGGGCGCTCTACACCGTTCCTGTCGGCAACACTCGTTGAGTTGGTCACGAGACATACATCGCTTGAATAACAATTAAAAGATCATCTCCATCAGTTCTCTCAACTCAAATAAGCATGACAAAATTTGTGACTATCATGTCCAGTTTCAAATAAATAAATAAAATATCGGCCGATATATCGGAATATCGGATTTTAAAACCCAAAAATATTTGTATCGGTATTGGCCTTCAAAATCCGTTATCGGTCGGGCTCTAGTCCACACCATTCACTGTGTACATTCTCAAACCATTGTTTAACTAAACCTTACAATAATATGTGCACAAAAACAACACAAATGTGTCCATAAACTGAGCAATAGATGGTCTGTTTGTTAAAATGTCCATTTCAATGAGTGTACGCAGAGCTGGAGATGTCCCACCTGCGGTTTAGTGAAGTTGCTGTCCATGCACCACTGGACGAAGTACTTCTTGGCCGCCTCTAGGCTCTTGTCGTCCGTCTTCTTGCAGAAGACCCTGATCAGCTGCTCCGCGAACTGCTCCGGCAGGAGTTTGGACACCTGTCAGACGACACAGCCACCTCATCAGGTGTTCTCATTCAAGCTAACATGGACATTCATCAACTCTGTAGACACGCATGTTTGTCTTTGTGGTAATACACTGAAAAGAAAACAGTTCGTAACGCCATCATCAAACGAACGATCCCCCACATCTAAACTCACATCCACAATCTCTCTGCAGGGTTTATTTGGATTTTGCACCTATAATGCTACGTTCACACCGGACACGAATCGCGCGTCAAATTCGCGCCTGACGCGTCTAGTTTGACGCTTGACCACTAGTGTTAATTCGCGTGTCAAGAGCGAAACTGGCGCGCGTAAAGTTTGAAGCGAAATTTACGCGCGTGACGCGCGTCAGAATCAAAATCCGTTGGCGGCCATTGTTTTTATGTCGACCGAGCATTCATCAAGAGAGTTACCGCTCTGTATTTACTCTGGAGAGCAGAACAGCGGCGTGGGGATCATCGTCGCCGTATATTTGTGTCCACTGGACCCTTTGGAGCCGAACCGTTTGGCGAGTTTCACCATTTGCTCGCTCCAGGAGCTGCGCTGGATGACGGCCGCTGTCAGTGGTACTTCCGCCTGTCACGCGCCCAGTTTGATGACCTGTTGTCCCGCATCGGAGCGAGGATCACCCTCGCCCTCATCCATCTAATCTAGCTGTCATTTATTTTTGTTTTGATGATGAATAGAGCCAGCCTTCAAAAGTTATTAACCTGTCCTGTGATTTGTTTTCTCTCTCTCACGTCCAGACACGAATTTATGCACATGTATGTTGATTGTCTTTACAACATAATACTATTTCTAGATATGGAATAAATAATACAAAATGAACATGTCTCGTATATAGAAATAATGTTTTAAGTGATGAAACATTTGCTTTGTTGTGCATAATCCCACCATGCATTTAGTCATTTTAACCAAATAATTTATTGAAGCATCCAGACACTTCACCACGTGAGCAAGCAGCTAGGCTCCTGATTGGTTAACGCGGTGCGAATTCACGCCAAAGTTCAGATTTTTCGACTCGGGCGGCAGACGCGAATTCCCGTCAAACGCGTGAATGCACAACGCTCAATTCGCGCCATTCGCGCCAACTTGACGTGCGAATGAGGCGTATTCGCATCTTCCGCGCCGCGCTCCACGCCTCATTCGCGCCGCAGGAATTTTTCACGCGCGTAAAGCGTCTTTCCATTGACTTAACATTGAAATCATTCGCGCCTGACGCCCTATTCGCGTCCGGTGTGAACGTAGCATAAGTCCTCGGTTGTGTGTGTTCTTGTTGTGGCTCCACTGATTGTGTTAGCGCCTGCACACTTCACCTGCGCACGTTTGAGGTTTGGATTTTGTGCATTTTTTCATATCCTAAGCCTTTCCTTCATTTTCTTTCTTTCTACCAAAGACTCCATCCATCCTCCAATCGGCGTGTCCTCAGTAGGGTTGCTGATCACAGGAACTGATAACTGGAAAATCTACTTGTTTGTTAGTGACTATACCTGATTAGGTTACACTTTATTTCAATAGTCACTTTAGACGTTCTACTAATTATACGTAATTTTTCAACTACATGTCAACTAACTCTCATTAGAGTAGTAGTATATTATAGTAGACTGTCAGTAGACTGGTAGGTTATGGGTTAGGAGAAGAAGTTGACTTGTAGTCGCCAAGTTACTTACAGTCAGTTGAATGTCTGTTGGGGGACCAACAAAATAAAGTGTTAGCAGATATTAAGCAGACAGTCTACTAATACTCTAATGACAGTTAGTTGACATGTAGTTGAAAGGTTACTTATAGTTAGTAGAATGTCTAAAGTGGACCATGGAAATAAAGCGTTACCCCTGATTACGTTGCACCTAATCTCCTGTCCGATGTGAGGCTCCATGGGAGACGTCTGTTTTAATTTTCTTTGCTTTTATTTTGTGATGATTTTAATTTCTTGCTGTGTAAAGCACTTTGAATTGCCATAGTGTATGAGCTGTGCCATAAATAAAGTTGTCTTGCAGCCTGGTCAGCTGGACTAAAGAGGATCTTCCTGAACATCTGTTACCTGTTTCTTGCGGATCTTGATGGCTTTGCTGGGATCGTTCTTACAGTAGAAATGGACGTTGTTGATGGGGTTTTTCTCCTTCATTCCATAATCCATGTGAATGACCTGAAGAACAAACGAGGACAGCTGACAGCTTGACATGCTGTACTACGCTTACATCAGCAGTCATGTCACAATAAAAAAGGGAAAAGACATGAACAAGCATGCACTTCTCAACTGGTAATAAATGTTCCCTTCCCCGCAACACTGGCATTCTAAAACTACAACTGTATTACCTCACAGGACGAGATAAAGACCACAAACTACATGAGAGACCAATGAGATGTTCCACGTACACTGACGACGAAGTCCTCCGCGATGAGGTTGGCATCTGTGCCGCTGGGTTTGGATCGGGCCACTTCCTTCGCCCAGTCCAGCAGCTTCTCCTGCAAGAGATCAGAGGTCAGCACACACACTGCACCTGGCTCTTTATTAACTGGATCTACAAGCAACTGAAGAGACAAACGCAGTGTTTTCACTGGACTTCCTCCTGTAGAGGTCATCAACCCCTGAAACCAAGTTAACCCTCTGGGCTTCTTCGTAAATGGGTTACACTTAGCTTCCTCCCGGTCAAAAACGGACGAAGCCTTAAAATTTTACTTTACTTCTTCCCAGGATAACCATTCAAATATATTTTTGTTCTATAATATTTTATGATTTTTATTTAGAATTTTTTGAATTTTTTATGATACTTTGCATTAATTATATAATTTTTATGAGCTATTTTTTCCATTAGAATTAATATACATATTTTTATTTTATATTGTTTTTTATTTTTTTTTCAATAAATACAACATTTCACATTAAAATAGAGTGTCGGCTAATAAAAAAAATAATAATTCAAGTAGAAGAGCGCCACCTAGTGGCTTTAAAAAATAGTTACATGTGTGCAATGTCCTGTAGGCTGCCTATAGCTTCCTATTCAAATACATAGAAAGGCCTTTTGATTCTTTTTGTTGGTTTAGACATGATTTCTCATGTCTGTGTGCGTGTGTGTGTGTGTGAGTGCGCATTTGAGCAAGATTTTTCTCTCATTTATTGATTTTATTTTTCACATTCTACAAATTTGCTGGTGCAGTCTTGCCAGTTTATCTGTGTATGTGTGTGCGTGTGTGTGTGTGTGTGTGGGGGGGGGTCTTATTTGCACTCTTGATGTTCTAGAGTGTCACCCCTTCATTGCTGTACACTTTTTTTCTGCACAGTTGCTGATCTGTAGCTTGTACCACCAAAAGTTTCTCTGAGTTTTCCTATTTTTTCGTATTTCCCATTCATTTCCTATGTCGGTCATTTTTGACCGGGAGGAAGCTAAGTGTGACTTTTTTTTTTTACGACCCTTTAACAAATCAGAATCATCTCCTTGATTTTTGTGTGTGTTCATATAGGTAATAGAACAAAAGTCACCAAGTTTCAGCCCCATCCGATGTAGCAAAAAAATTAAACATTTCAAAACGTAACAGTTTTCGGTCATTTTTGACCCTCTGGGGTTAAAGGTTCAGTTCACCCTAGTGTTGGGCGATATGCTCCATTTTCATATCGTCCTATCGTCAGCCTGTGAGATCGGCGATACACGATAGTATCGTGAGGGGGCGGGGCTAACATTTAATTATTAACTTGATTATTTAGCCTACTCATTAATTTGCTTGTTTTATTAGCCTACTTCGTTTTATATACGAGAATATTTTTTCTATTTTGCTAGCAAAGGTGGAGTGTTTATTAATAGGATCAGGTTATTTCCTGGTATAGTGAGGTAAAAAAAAAAAGAGATCCTAATCCTTTTGTTTGTCAACGGGAAATTTACGGACACATTAGCCTATCCTCATGCCGTTACATGAAGCATTTTGACTAGGGCCTATTTCTGCACGAGATGAAAACACGTTTTAATAATTTCTTGGGTCAGAAAAAGCCCTAGCAGTGCGCTCTTTGCGCACTTCACATGCGCACTTCAGTAAGCACGAAGTACGCGGGTTAATGTGTTTTAAATGCCGGAGAAACAAGAGCAAGGGCCAAACGTCTAGCTGAGTCGATCGGTTTATACTTATGACTTGACTCAGATAAAGGAAACGTTTACATGACCACATGCATTGTCAAGTTTATTCAACATAATCAGGTTAAGAAAGTCGTCGCATGTAAACGCGCTCAATCTCTGAAAGTGAAAGTAAAAACGGACTGCTTTCGGCATCTGCATTAACGCCGCGTTCCCTCAGAGACGACGATGATAACGGTAACTATAATACTATTTTAGTGATATTATTATTAATACTATTTAGTAATTGTATTGTTTTTAGTGTTAGTGTCATTAAACGTTTTGTTAATGTGTTACGGAAACAAATACTGACGAACAACGATGCCGTTTTCATCTTGGATCTGTAGGAAATTGAATTTTGCGTCTGTTAAAACGAGCACACTTGATAATTTGTGAATGGATCACCTTGCAATTAAATTTTGATGTGGGATGTTTTTTAGTCTGTTTTAAAAACATTCTCTTAGAGGAGTCCTCATTAGTGTGTTGATGCAATTGTTATGAGGTGATGTCGTTGTAAATTTAGGCAAGGCAAATTGATTGTAGTTCCTAATATTCATTTAATAACAATACTAGCTTTATAATAATAATAATAGGCCTAATAATAATAATTTAATACATTATGGTAAAACGAGCCAATTATCGTATTGATATCGTCAAAGGCATCTGCCATCGGCGATATGTCAGACTATCGTCGATACACGATACTATCGTCTATCGGCACAACCCTAGTTCACCCACACCATGAAACGGTCATCATTTACTCGCCCTCGTGTCATCCCAAACCCATAAGACTTTTGCTCATCCAAACACCAATGCGGATATTGTAATATTCTCTCATCATTTGCGTCACAAAAGTGTTCTCGCCGCTTCATAATATTAAGGTTGAACCGCTGTAGTCACATGAACTGACCCTTTAAAATCATTTAAAATTAATCTTTGTCATTTGGATATGTACCGAAAACTGGCTATTATTAAACCTCTTATTAAAAAAACTTGAGTCAATCACAGGCCGATCTCGAATCTGCCTTTTCTGTCAAAGATACTGGAGAAAGCAGTATCCTCACAACTGTGTTTCTTTCTCGGAGAGATGATATCAGGATTTAGACCGTACTATAGTACCGAGACAGCTCTCATCAGTCACGCGTGATCTGCTCTTATCGTCCGATCGCGGTTGTATCTCTCTATTAGTGTTGCTTGGTATATTAAAAAAAAAAAAAACTTTTTTTGACTTTAACCTTTGGCAGGGTAACGCTAATTTCACATACAGCAGCACACAGTGAGACGGCATGAATATGACACTGGATACAGCACGGCAGATTTAGAAATAAAGGATTTAAAGTGTTTGGATGGCGTCTCTTCTGTTCGTGTTCACTCACTCGCAGGAACACGGTTATACCGGATACACACACACACACACACACACACTTCACAAGATACCACAGCTGGATTCCATTAAATCTGCACGGTTTGTGAAATCAAATGTTTATTAGATATTCAGAGAGTTGTTTAAATGATGTAGATGCGCATTTGCTGAATGTTGACGGTAAATGAGAGAGTATTTTAGGCTGATTGTTTGGCTTTTCTGTTACAAATCATATAAAAGCAAACGCATTACTTTTGCACATACCATTTACTTTATTTGATGAGCAGTTCTGAAGCCCCAGATGCTGATATTATAATAATAATAATAATACATAAGTTTTATATAGCACTTTAAGGAACTCAAAGACGCTTTACAAATGGAACAATCAATCAATGGTAGGCAAGGTGAAACAGTAGTTTTTTGCAGGTGGTCAGTGAGTCCGAGTTTCTGATGTGGATGGGGAGTGAGGTCCAAAGGGTGGGAGCAGCGACGGCGAAAGCTCGATCCCCAAAAGTTTGCTGTGTTGATTTGGTGATGGGTTTGAGGCGTCGGGAGGCGCGGTGATGCTGTAAGAGGTTTTATTTTAAGAGGTGATATTTTAAAAATGCCAAATATCGGCTGATATATCGCTGTGCGGTGTAGATGTGATTCGCTGTGCGGTGTAGATGTGATTTGTGTCGGCTCCTTGATCACAGCGCTAGCTTACACACGTCTGACATGTTCAGTCACTATGACGGGATGAAACCATTTATATATATATCGAAACCAATATATATCTTTATATATTTTGACCACAAAATGCATAATGTAAACAGCGCTCACTATCGACAGCTGAATGTACAATCTATATTAGGAAATTATATAAAATTTTATTTTATATTATATCCCCTCATTTGTTTTTTTGTTGTAAATAATTGGATTACAGGGAATCAAGAAAAATGGACAATTATAGCCCAGAGAGAGTGAAAAGGCCTAATGGACAGACTGAGGCTGTGACGGGTGTTTTAGGTCCGAATCATGCAGCCTTTAACCCTTGTGTGACCTTACGTTTTTAGGCTTCATTTCCTATGCAGATTCACTCGCCTACAAGATCACCCAAAACACTCTTCAATGATTCATTCCTTTTCATATCGCAACAAATACTAAATATCGCAATGCAAATATTTTCCAATATTGTGCAGCCGCACTTTGGGTTTGAGCCGACGAACCGCTAGGCAGAAACACTTGTTCATGACACGGGTCATGGGTCAGAGTCAACGTCAAATTACACAAGTAATTAAGGGTATATACAGTAATTCTTAAGTTAAATTTACTACTTTTTAATACCTTTTTTACTACCTTCAGAATTTTTTTAAAACCATCACGACACTGAATTGCAAGTGTTAACCAGCGACCTTTCTATTACACAGATTTTGATATTTATAACATACAAAAATGAATAGATTTAGAGCACGCATTCCATTTTTATGTTTAGTGGATTGCATTTGCGACCGAAGTGCATTAGCTCCCATCCAGTTGACATTGATGTTTTTTTACACACCAAACAATAGAGGGAATGCATTGACATCACGTTCCCGCCGGTACAACGCCCCTCAACCTGACTGAGTGGCAAAAGATCTTCTGCGTGACTGGATTTAATAGGGGAAACTATTAAACGAAAATGCGACTAACAATTTGATCAATTTAAACTAAATGTTGGACTCAATATAGTTGGACTCCTAACAACTTACTAAAGATCCAGTGATCCATGGATATTGACATGCAGCCAGCAATCGTGTCGCCTGACATTTATGTTTGACTGATTTTAATAAAAGGGAAATTAAAGCAATATATAGATCTACATAGGCTAAAGCAAATTTGCCAGTGAACGCTTTATATAAATACAATATAGGTAGGTCTAAATCCGCGTGATCACTTATATCAGGGTTATATAGCCTCTATATATCGTCATATCGTCCAGCCACTGAATATGACGTCAGCATCAAACATAGACAGAGATGAAAGATCTTTGATTGTGCCCAGATAAGCTAAAGCCCATATTTATACGGACTAACGCAAACACAAAATAGGACACCTGATAGTCTGAAAAAAAAATAATACCTAATTTTTCAAAAATAATACCTCTCAGACTACATTTAACACTTTTAATGGCCTTAAATTTGACAATTTTGATTTATCACTTTTTAAAACCCCGCGGACACCCTGAAAGGTCAGCGCCCCCAAAACGGGCAACGGCCCACTTGAGTTCATTTGTTGGCTTCTGAATATCAAGTGAACCCTGAAGTGGAGGGTTTGATGACCGTATTCATACCTTCATCTTTTTTCAATTTTGTAAAGCACTCTGAACTGCATTCATTAGTTTGGAAAAGTGCTGGACTCACCGGCGACACGTCCACATGCGTCTCGGACGTGGTCTGACCCACACACTTGTAGAGCCGTCTACAGACGATGTTGTGCAGGATGTCTCGGGCCTCGGACAGCTCCGGCGCAGACGAGTACAGGATCTGCTCAAAGATGTTATCTAAACACAGACACAATCTCTCATGAATCAGCCGAACTCCATCGCTCCTGCAGCGTCATGTGTTCACGACCTCGACCTGTGAGCTTGCTGTAGGCCTCCATGTCCTCTATGGCGGACGAGATGGTGAACGTCCTGCCGGAAGAGCCCTGGATCTGGATGTGCGGGTCAGCCTTTACAAAGGCCTCGGTGATCCTGACACAAACACAGAGCAGTGAAACACACCCGGAGCCAGGGAAACGGAAAACGTGTCGTTAAAGGGTACGATACACACATGGTCTCGATGATGTTGCCCACTTTGTGTTGATACGCCCGGCGATGGAGGCAGTTGCGAGTGTGGAACATGTCGTAGAGATTGCCAACTTCCTGCGGGTAAAGACAGATCACCCCATCAGGAACTCGAAACACCCCATCAAACCGGGCCCAGACTGAGACCAGACACAGCGAAAGCTAAAGCTGGCGGGCGCTAACACTCATCCTCAGACCTAGAGGAGTCACACACGCTGATGTCAACCGTCTTCATTCAACGGGTCGATGCTTCTCTCGTGACCCCTGCGACTGAAGAAGTGTCGATCAGCGCGACTGACCCCATCAGGCCCGGCTCATGGGGCGCGCCCTCAGTTTAAGCTAATAACAGCGGACTAGGCAAACGTTCATATTTGTGTTAGCACTCTGGAGAGCGTGAGGATCACAATCACAGACACGTTTACTTCACACAGCAGCAGAGAAAAGCTATACATCATCTAAAATGGAGAAAGGTCTTCTCTGTCAACATTGCGCTTCTGTAAAACATAGAAAACAAAACGAGTCCTGGAATCGCCGCTTCCTTTCAAGCTGAGGATCGTGAACGCTTCTTTAATCTGAAGTACTGTAATCGTAATATACAAGTGTCTGTAAAGCGCTAAAGACTGTTTAATATGAAGCCTGCATGTTACGCGTCTCTGTGTGAATGAATGGCACTGCTATGCACACTTACACTACCGGGCTAAAGTTTTAGATCAGTAAGATTTTTTATGTCTCTTCTCTCTCACTATGATATTTTAATTTAATTTAATATAATGAATAATACAATTTAAAATGACTGTTTTCGATTTTAAAATGTAATTTGAAAGCTGAATTTTCAACATCATTAGTGTTGCTGATTACACATCAGTTTTCAGTGTCACATGATCCTTCAGAAATCATTCTAATATGCGGATTTCATGCTCAAAAAACATAACTTATTATTTTCAATGTTGAAAACAGTCGTGTGCCATTTTCCCCCCAAAATTATATGATGAATAGAAAGTTCAAAAGAATAGCATTTATTTAAAATACAATCTGTTCTAACATTATAAATGTCTTTACTGTAACTTTTGATCAATTTAACTCATCCTTGTTGAATAAAAGTATTTTCTAATTTCTTTCCCCCAAAAATAAAAAATAAATTCTTACTGACCCCAAACTTGTGATTAATGTTACAAAAGCTTTCATTTCAGATCAATTCTGTTCTTTTGAACTTTCTATTCATCAACGAATCCTGAAATAAAAATGTAAAAAACTGTTTTCAACGTGGATAATAATCATAAATGTTTCTTGAGCGTCATATTATAATAATTTCTGTACACATATTGTAGGCCAGTTTGTGCAGAATACAGTGTCATGAGACGTCAGCCATTAATATGCTTATAAGCAACTGTAAAAAGCACAAATGTCAGGGACCAACTCTCCCCTGACCCCAGAGGGTTCATGACACTGGGAGCAAACGAGAAGAATTAATATATCTGGGCATTAATTGCTGGTCAATTGTATCCCAATGGGTAGTTCAGTTTAAAATCACGAGCACTAAATCAGTGAACACACACATTGAGTATGACCCCAAACCGTACCTTGTCTCTTGTGCAGATGTGCTTCTTTCCTCTCACTTCACACACGCGAGCAAACTTGAGGAAGCGCCGGTAGTCGAAGTTATTCTGGATCCCCAGGTGATAGCAATCCCTGTCCATGACAACACACACTTCACTCAGCTGAACCAGGGTTAACCCTCACCTCCACGACCCCTCTTACCTGGCGAAGTAGTCCCACTTGTCCACGTCGATGCCATTGCGTTTGTTTGCTACTATCTCGTACAGGAAGGACTTCTCCAGAGGTCGGCCCTCATACGGCCACTGCGGGTCAGAGGAACAGGTGTGCAGCCATACTCGAAACATAGAAACCGTGAATGCTAAACACACACTAAAACTCAGATCTAACTGGAGGCACTGGGTGGCGCTGTGGAGCTGGTGAACGGGGTTTGATGATGTCATCGAGGGTCACAATACTTCCGTCAAAGTGATTTTACTAAATGACCTCACGAAACGGAATTACTAGAGCAACATTCGCAGCAGGAGATCACATGACCTGCACACCCATCGGCAGAAGATGACCAACTAAATTAACTTCCACAATATTCACTCCGTTATTTACTCATATAAATCGCCTGTCGAATATTTTTAAGCAGAATCAATATTTTGGAAGTCTGAGAGGTGAATATGGATTATTAGTTTTGATAATGAAAATGTGTGTGAAATGTTTCGAATCAAAGTATTCTCAGCTTAAATGTACAACCATGTTGAGTTTCAGCCCCTACAAACACAACACATTAAAATGTAAGCAAGGCGATTGCAGCTCAATTAGCGAAACTCAACAAGCGTTTTTGTTTCAAACACATCTGGCCTTGAGTCGAGATTTATCATTTCTCACATCACGACGCCAGCTGTTTAACGAGTCGCTCTGCTCTGCGATGTGTGTGTGTGTGTGTGTGTGTACCGAGCGGTCCAGCACAGAGGAGTCCAGCGGCCCGGCGATCTGCTCCTTGATGAACACCAGGTCGTCTGGAAGCCTCAGCCCATGATGCATCATCACCGCCTCCAGCTGGTTGACCTTCACCAGGTGGTCAAACATCTGCACTGAGGCGGTCTCGTGCTGCGGGGAGAACACACACACACATCTGCAGTGAGGCGGGAGAACACACACACGGCCGTCACTTTACACTCGAAGAACGATTCCACTGTCGGACAAACTAACACAAGTTACGAAACGAGAATAGGACATCGATTCTGACGGCTCTTTCAGGTGGACCAAGCGTGCCGCACAAGCCCTCAAAAGTGAAGCCAAAACGTCTCGATCGCCCCCCAGTGGCCGGTCCTAGTATAGCTCATAACCCCCGCCTCCCCGTGTCATTCAATGGGACGCGAGACCAACTAAACAATTACATTACACTTCACATATCATAATTTTCTCCCTCAAGTCCAGACATGAACTTATGCACATGTATGTTGGTTGTCTTTACATCATAATAATATTTGATATAATCTAGATCTGGAATAAATAACATTCAAAACAAAATGAACATGTCTCGTATATAGAAATAAAGTTTTAAGTGATGAAATATTTGCTTTGTTGTGCATTAGAACCACACCAGGCGTTTAGTCATATTACAAAATAATGTATTGAAGCATCCAGATCCTTCACCACGTGACAGCAGCAGGCTCCTGATTGGTTAACGTGGCGGGGATTGACGACAAAGTTCAGATTTTTTAACTCGGGCGGCAGGAGCGATTTCGCGTCAAACGCGTGAATACACAAATAGCACTAACTAAATCATTAGCGTGTAACGCACAAAACACGCCAGACCCTCAATTCGTACCATTCACACAAACTTGCCGCACGACTGAGGCGTATTCTCGTCTACCACACGTCGCTGTGCTCTACGCCTCATTCGCGCCGCAGGAATTTTTTACGCGCGTAACGCGTCTTTGCATTGACTTAACATTGAAATCATTCGCGTCCAGTGGGAACGCACCATAAAGGCCCTTGCACACTGAGTCCGAGATTTTCGTATACATTTTTTCATATTCCTGACTCAGTGGTTCTTATGTGTCAAACACCATTAAAATTGCTCACTATGGATGCGCAAAAACAAAGAAAATTGAACCCGATTCGATTTTTTTACGACGGACGAAGGTTTCAGAGGCAGTGTGCGAGCGTGATTGACATAGATTCAGATTATTTTATTTCATGCCATGTCAGCAGTCAGAGCTATTTTCATGGCAAAAATTCATTTACAAAAAAACAAATATCATATAAATACAACAAAAACATAACAAATATAAACAAGAAGTCATATTATACAATGTATTTTTTTAAATTAACATATGATAAAAAAAAATCCAGAACCTTTTCAGGCATAATCTCATTAAATATGTCCTTCAAAGAAGTAACTTGATAAAAGAGCCTTCTGCTTGCGTTAAGTCCAGGACAATCCAATAAAAAATGTTTGACAGATAAGGGAATTTTACAAAACATACATAAAGTTGGGTCTTCACCTTTAAGCAGAAAAGCATGAGTCAAACTTGTATGACCCATACGGCATCAGGTGTAGACCACTTGATCAAATCTAGTTTTAAAATTGATAGAAAGTCTGTTTGTTATTTCCAGATGAGTTTCATTCAATTTATTATTCTTGCACATATTCCACTTCTGGCCACTTATTTAAAATATATCAGTTAATAATCGGTCTGATGGAGGAATTTGACAATCATTAATTCCTGATTAAGAGCTTCCTTAGCTCGTTCGTGCTTGACATAACCTGAGGTCGTATTTATTTTTTAACGTGCGAAAAAATTCGGACGTGAATTTCAGACTCGGTGTGCGAGGGCCAACGGGTACATTTTGTCCGATTAAAAAATATATATATTATTTTGATTTTCTGAAAAGTTAGTTTCAAAGCATCAGGAGGTCCCCCATGCTCCTCCCAGGAGCAGGCCGTTCACACGCTTGCACACTCACCTTCCACTTCTCACCAGGTCGAACTTTAGGGATGAACAGGCCATCAAACAAATGAGAGAATGGGCCGTGACCTGGACAACAGACAGAAAGGTGATTTTAAAGAGTGACGACACAAAAACATCAGTGTGTGCTCTGAGATTAACATGTCTGACGGGGGGGACGCGGCTCGCTCATCTGATCTGGGTTATGGACAAAGTTTGTACATTTCAAGAAGGATGCGAGATGATGATCTGAAAACTGGTCTGTGCCTGATTATTAAAATGTCTCCTTCAAAGCAATCATTTCATCATCTGATTCTAACGAACACGAGTCTGGAAGTGTCTGAGCACGTGCGTCACTCACCCAGGTCATGGCACAGGCCAGCGATCTGCACACAGAGGATATCCTGCTTGGTGATGAAGAGCTCTGGCTGTCTTTCGTTCAGAGCCTTGACTAGACATCCCGCCAAATAGCCCACCCTGCAGCACACAAACACAACACACTCTGAAGACACACGCGTCCGTCCGTACCGTGAGGCGCGAGGAGTGTGTAGCGGACACCTTACCCGACCGAATGCTCGAAGCGGTTGTGGGACGCCCCCGGGAACACCAGGTACGTGCCCCCCAGCTGTTTGATGTGGCGCAGCCTCTGGAACTGAGGCGTGTCTATGAAGCGCAGCAGCAGCGGGTGCAGCTCGATGTGGCCGTGGATGGGGTCGTTGAACACCTGGAACACACACAGCACCCGTGGAGAGGCCTGGCTCCGGCATTGACCAGCACGCGTGAGAAAGCTTCGGCTTACCTTCATGGGTTCGTTTGAGAGCTTCTGAAGGCAGTGCAGGATCTGCAGGCGTGACCCCAGAGGCCTAAACGACACCACCCCATTTCAATTATGCAAAACATGCACTGGAAATCAGCAGCTCATTATCAGACTGTGGCATTAGGCTAAGATTAAAGGACTTCGGTTTGTTAATAAAGCAGCATAACCAAATAGTTGAAGCAACACTTACGAGATGCCCATCTTCTCCAAAAGCCCCTCGGTGAGGTACGGCAGTCCTGGCCCGGTTATGCCGTGCTCTGTAAGACAGATGATAACACTGAGCTCGACTGGGAACCAGTGACACACCCTTCACCCTGGTGGCCGCTTGCTGTAACTGCGGGTGTCTGCACACTGGGCTCGTCGAACCCTGGTGCGTTTGGGTGCATCTTACATCATCACAGACGCGCAACTCTTTTAGTTTATTCTTAGCTAAAAACACTTAGTTCTTTCAAAAATATATGTGCTCATTAATGTATATTTACTTCGTTCAAGTAATTATTCTCGTCAGTGTATAATATGCCATTGGAAATACATGCGGGTAAGGGGTTCGCCATGTTGCCCCTCCATCTTGAAAGTACATTAGCCAAAGAGGGACATACCCGTTAATTCAAGATTCGCCTTTACGTTTGAGTTAACACTCATGGACGAGGTCGAACTGGAAGCCACGTTAATCTTGGACTACATTGGCCACCGTAGGAGTTAAAACCAAATCGGAATTGAGAGGAACAGAAATTAATATTCGATGGATGGTCATATACCTTTTCACCGCTAGATGGGGGTAAAAATCACACAGTGTAGCTTTAAGACAAAGATGATATTTTTGTTTACATTTTTAGTTTTTGACTGCTAAAACTAATATAATTTGTTGTTTGCCTTAATAATGTGGATAAATAAAAAACTGTGGTTTAAATGTCAAATGTCTAAAAAAAAGTCAATAATTATCAATACCGAACGATATGAAATATATCATAATAATTGTTTTATCTATATCGCACAACCCTAAACACTATCACCCCCTAACATGTGTTTTATTTAACTGAACGCGTCATAATCAGCTGAAACGCATCCGCAGGTTTATGTCCTTTCACATTCACACGCAGACACAGCAAAACAAGCCCTTACACAAGCAGACATGCGGCAGGACACGTTCAGGTGGAGGAGGACCCTGGCGCTCCTGGACAGTGTACGGGCAGGATCTGCAGGGGTCAAGGGTCGCACTGCTGGATTAGAGATGGCGTACATCATCGGAGGCACTCAAACGAGACTCCTCTTATCTCTCAGGCTATCCTGCTAATGCTGTGGGGAACTACGAGTGAACCGCTTTCTGTCCGAGATAAAACCTTACCAATCAATGACTGGCATGCATGAGGTGGGCATATTATGGGCTGTTGAGGAAGACCAACATGGATGAAGATGAACTAAAGGAAGTCCAGGGCCTTATGATCATCTGTTCAATTGTGTGTGATTTTCCTGAACAAATGCTTGGTCATGTCTGGTTCTGATTATGGACATAAATCTGGGTTTGGTGTTGACCACTGAGTGACCGCACTTATGCATTCCCAGCATGTGTACACCAGCCACGAGCGGAGGTCACGCAGGGGTCACGCAGCAGGAACAGCACAAGCTCGGGTGCGAGGCCGTTCAAGCGCGTCACACACACACACACACTCCTGTTTGGCGTATCTGATGAAAACTGTTGTAGAGAGTCACTCGTAAGCCTGTCAGAGACTGAAACTTCACTTCCACGTCTGTCAGCAAGTCAAGCTATTGTTTTCACTTTAAATCTTCAAATTATAGCCTCTCATTTAAAAGATAAACACCATGTGTAGCATCTTTGTTTGGATCGTGATTAATGCAGTTCCCTCTCATTTCAAATGGATACAGATCTTTCTTTCTTTAAGGTTAGTTCGGCCTGTAAGACGAATAAACAGCAGTGTATATCATTAGTGGCGTGTTTGATCATCCAGTCCCACTGTTCGGTTCTGTCAAACGTTACGACACCACGTTACTCACACAGAGCAGACTCATGGGCCTGTACAGTCTTCTGGAGAGATCAATCACTCCATCAAGGCTCCTCATTAGTACACATCAAAATCGGTTTTATCCATTCAAATCTGTAGTTTATGTCGATTTGTTTGAATGAAAAGGGTTTTCTCTTTAGCATCCGCCGGCGCTCCCCTCTCCAACGGGCTCAGCGGTTGCCGTCAGGGCGGTGCAATTAATTAAATTTCCATTTCCAGCCGGGCGGGGCGGGGCCGGGGTAGCAGGGGGCGGGGCCGGGGTAGCAGGGGGCGGGGTGTGTTCGGTATCGCGATTCGAATCGTGAGTTCAGTATCGCGGTTTTTCGGTTCAGTTCGAAAATCACACATTACTTCGTAAACATGTCAGCTTTTCCACCAGGGCTGTTTGATAGTTCAAAGAGTGCAATAAATGTTCAACTTTACATTTTTTAAGAATTGTTGAAAGGTGTCTTTTTAATAACAGGGCTCCCGACTGTTATAAATTAGGCTAGCGTGTCTACAGTGCCGCAGTCTGATGATGTATCCGAGGTTTGTGTCCCGAACCCACCATTTTCGGGAAGCGTGAGTTGGAGATTTCAGCCGGCAGAGGTACTGTAAGGAGACGAACTCCATGAACTGAGAATACGGTAGACGCTAACCCAAAAATTGCGGGAAACACAAAGTTCACCGACAGTGCAGGCACTTTGCAGTTTAAACGCAATGCTTTAGTTAAACATAGTCTTAGCCTTAAGCACAGGGTATGCCGTGACATGTTCATAAATCAAAAAGCAAGGCCACAGCCGGCTGCTTTATAAGACAAGAGGCTGTAAATCAGAGCGCAGATGAGGCAGAGACGATGCAGAAATTTAACACGGCCGACTTGGAGGAACTACCCTTCAGCAAACTAAAAGCCAGCTCCACCTTCAAAGGAAGAATGGCTTAAAAAATTTCCGAAACTTACAACAACGATACAGCACAATTTGTTGGAATAATTGCGGATACTCTGCAGGGGAAGATGAAGGATGCTCTGCATATATCAATTATGATCGACGGGGACACCGACGTTTCAACAAAGGAACGCGAAATCATATACGCAAGGATCCTAAACGAAGGGAAACCAGGAATATTTTGATTGGCCACATCGAAGTGAAACATGCACATGCTCAAGGTATGTTTTATATATTATATATTTAAATTATGTTTAGACCCATTACTAAATTCTTTACTGTGAATTTCCCTTTGCACAGATAGCATTGCCAGCTCCAGTCTACAATTACAAAGAATTCAACTTATTCAGGCTACTACCTTATCTTCATTCTAAAGCTTCACATGGGATTGAGAATCTCTTTGCAACTATTGAGGTCATCATGTGAGTGAGATGCCAGCCGGGTGGCACACCTTCAGGCCCAGAGAAGACACACCTTTTGTACAAGTATCAGGTGAGCAGTGTTTTCTTAATTACGTTTTTAGCTCTGGAGTTGATTTTTATTTTATATTTATTAATTTTGTATTCTTGTCTAAAATGTTGAATGTTGTGTGAACTGACAGAATATGGTGCAGAGGAGCTGGACGTCCTGATAGACCACTTCAACTCTTAACAAGGTTAGTGACTCTTTTTAAATTATCATAAAGATATATAACACAGAGCAACATTTCAAACATCTACTTTGATCCTTAACCTAGACTGTTTGGTCAGTTTTTCCTTTCACTCTTTTCAGAAATGGCTGTGAGTCCAATCCGGCTACAGAGGAGCATCAGTCCACTGTAATGGCTAATTTATACATTTACATTTATATATGTTTCTTTTCTTTTATTTTCTTCTATACGTTTTCTTTCATCTTATTAAGATGTTTTAGATTTACTAACGTTGGAAAAGATGTACTCATGAGCATTTAAAGGAAGATGTTCATATAATCCAAAGGGCATTATTAAAGATATAACAAGCTGTTAGAAAGTTAATGTAAGCTTCGTTTGAGAACATATTGTTCTGTGTTTAACAAAGGACCAAGCAGCATGGAAACATTTTAATAGCCCATTGTATTTCGAGTGTGTAATGTATGTGTGCAGGTTTCGATCAAACAAGAGATAAAGCAGAAAGGGTGAGAGGTCGAACAGTAGTTGGGGTGTGACGTCAAGCTGCACTTTAACAATGGAAACTTTACCACAGCCGTCAATGTGCTGTCTGAACTGAATATGGTTAACGAGAATAGTTAAAGGCCGCATGAACAGGTTTCCTTTCTAGACGGCACAGGGGACGATCTGCTGCACACCAGACACAGTCTGCAGAGGACGGTTTGCTGAGTTTTCAGGTCTATAAGGATGCCGAGAAGGACTAGCCTTCACCTTCACATGTAGACATTGTTCTGTATGTTGAATGCCAACTTAAGATTTGTTTTCTTGCAAGAAAATAAACTTTTGATTGTTTGACTTTGAAGAGGTTTCCACTTGTCTTCTTCCTCCTCTTTTCGAGCAACAGAGAATTATTTCCACAACACTATACAGTTCCACACTCATCTTTAGGAACTACATGGACTAAAAGTCTAACCATGCCTTATGGGAGATGATGATGGTATCTGCTCTGATTACAAGGTACCCCATTTTAATCACATCCTTGTTCATTTAATTGGTAATTATTACTTTTTGATTAAATAAAACCTATATTAATGACCCAATCTTTGTAGAACATCCTACATATGTGCACATCATGCTGGTCCTCCCAGTCTCCTCTTCTGTGTGTGAAGGGGATTTTCTGCTCAGAAACCTGATGTGGACATTGTGGAGGACTTGATTCGAATTACCATGGAGGGTCCTAGTTTACTAGCCTGGTTAAACTGAGTTATGGTCTGGCAAAGCATCATAGACAGATCATTTCCAGAGGATGTCCTAAAACCAATCAGAGCGATGAAGGAGAAGGAGAAACATCTCCGAGTGTTGTTCTTTGCTCTGTTTTTAACAAAAAGGAAACGTTCAAATCGTTTAAAACAGACGCAATAGCTTGGAGGCCAAATCACGAGGGCTGGCCTTCCCAGAGGAGCACAGGAGGATGTGCTTCCTCTAAAAGGGGAAGTGAGTAAAGGCAGCACAAGTTATTTTGGCCTACTTGGTCAAGAGTGTAATGTTATTGGCCAGTGCCCCTAATGTTTACTAAAGTCAAGTATCGTTTGGAGCTTGTTACTCAGCACTTTCTTTCTGAATGTATTAATGGTATATATATTTTTAATATTTGTACAGCCATGACAGCAATGGTCCTGTTGGTTTACCTTGTTGTTGCATCTATAAAAGCGCACAATAAAATGTGATTTTGAAACAGCACATCATCATTTCTGCATCTAATATCAAAGTATTTATTAATAATACAGTGGAAATTAGTAGAAATGTGAATATTTGATTAGATGTTGATTTACGGTGTGTGCCCTTAAATTTTCAGTTGAGGGCCACAGTGCTCCTCATGAACAAAGTAAGTCTGGACTCTGGAGCCCTCCCTAATTTTAAACAATGGTTACAGGAATTGTCAGGTTGTTTGGCTTTGGAGAAACTCACATATATTGTTAAAGTAAAATCTGGAAAGTTTTTCAAAGTTTGGAACCCCTTTATAGAATTTTTAAAGGAAGCTGAACCAAATAGTTTATTTTCGGTGTAACCAGGAATAACAAATTATGTTATTAATGTACCATTGTCTTGACATTTGTATAGTATAGTTGTTGTCGTTGTTGTTTTTATTATTATTTCTTTTTTATTTATTTAATTTTTATTTTGTATTTTTGTATTTTATTTTTCTTTCTGTGCTTGTTTTAATGTAAATGTTTCTAAAATCAATAAATACAATGTTGAAAAAAAAAAAAAAAGTCTGGAGCCCTGAATAAACGCAACTCATTCCCAAAAACATGTGAAATAATGTTGTTATATAATTATGATTTCAATACTAACCAAAAAAATTGTGATTATGATTTTCTCCATAATCGAGCAGCCCTACATAGACACGGCAAATGAACAAGAACATTTGTTTTGGCACCACCGCCAAAAACATTTACAAAGTGAATCTGCAGGGCTGCCGACTCTAACGACCTCACCATGAGTCACGCAATCGGCACTTCACTCGCTCTCACGCCCATCTCTAGCAGCTCATTAACGTTTCTGTTCCTGGAAATCTTAAAACACTGATTACTTCAATCGTATCTTTTGTTCAATTGTGTCTATTTGTTGCGATTGCTACTTTTATTTATTCTTTTTAATTACCGATTATTTATCTGCCTTTAATAATGCTTGAAATATATAGGTCTACTTTTCCATAGTACTTTTAAACCACAGGCAAGCGTGTAAGTGTTCTTCAGCTGCAGTTACATGTTTTATAATAAGACTAAATGTGAATGATATCTAAGTGTTTTTTTTTTACCTAACTGGAATCAAAATTAGGAATCGATAAGCAGAATCAGAATGGTTAAAGTTCAAGCGATACCCAACCCTAGCTAGCGTGAAGCCATGCAGAGACCCTGAAGAGCTGGTGTGTTTAGTCCGGCTGGAGCTGACCTGTGCGGGTCGTGACCTCCAGTGGTAATGCACAGATCCCATCTCATAGCCCGCCTGTTTACACTCACATCAGACAGCACTGGAATCCAAACTTACATTCACATAAACTTAGTGATCGTTTAACTATACATGGTAGACCCTGGTTTTGTGCTTTATGTAATTCATGTCGGGTGATCATGATGATTAGCCAGCATGGACAAGATAACAGCTGTCATGACTCGTGAATGTTTGCAGCGTATAATCTGCATATTTTCTATCATTGTAACTTACATGTAAGCTAGGCAACTCTAATCTTGAAACGATACCTACCACAGGTGATTGTTGAATATGATTATGCAAAGGAGATCAGGGAAGAGGTGCGTATTTTCTCTGCTCACCAGTGGTGGAATGTAACGAAGTACAAATACTTTGTTACTTTACTTAAGTAAATTTTTCACGTATCTTTACTTTACATAAGTAGAATAAATAGTGCATACTTTTTACTTTTACTTCGTTACATTTTGCAGCAATTATTATACTTTCTACTCCACTACATTTCTACAACTTCTGTTACATTTTCTGATCAGTTTTTCCCCTGCCAAAACATAATCTCACCGTCCGTTCGTTGCACGTTTGTCTCACCAGTGACGTTTGGTTGCCATAGATACATCAACTAAACGCGTCTCGCACGCAGTGTGTTTATCATGCAATTTATACGCGAAAATTTGTTTTTACGTGCATAGGAAACACACTGTGTGTAATATACGTTTGGTTAGGATTATGGCAAACCAAGAGGTTCAGAATTACCCCATAAATTAATCTCGTTTACTGCCAAACATAGTTATTAACATATAGTAAGGATAAGCATGATGTGCATATCGCCTAATTGCAAGCTTGTTTCAGAAATGGTGACAACTATTTTTTTTCCATCATTATAGGAGTATTAGGTTGAATAAGTTAGAATTAAATGTTTTATTAATCATTAGAAAATAGACATTAAGAGAATAAATTGTTATGCAAGTACTTTTACTTTTAATACTTAAAGTACATTCAGAATCAGGTACTTTTTACTTAAGTATGGTTGTCATTGTGTTACTTCTACTTTTACTAAAGTAAATATTTATCTGGTTATTTGTACTTTTACTTAAGTACTGAGATTCAGTACTTCCTCCACCACTGCTGCTCACAACAAACTCTTTATTTCTGATATGAATGTCCAGTTGATCTGGGACGGAGACAGCAGGTTATACTGCTAACTTCATCTCCACAACTGATCCTGAGCCCAACTTTAGGCTTTTCTGTGTCGATTTAAAGTTATTCGTGACTCTCTTTGTTCATCATTTAACAAGAAAGTCTCTAAAACTGATGTGTTGATTAAAAAAATAGGCCAATGGCTTCATTATAAGAGTTACCTCCTGATTTTCTGACTGTCATTTTTAACACATTTTTTTTGTTATCAAATTTTTATTGTTTATCGCATTTAATTTTTGAAGTTTAATGTTATTTCTTTTTTTTTAAATAAATTAAATGTTTAATTTCTATCGCTTTAACGGTTTTGTAAATGACGTTCTAGTTGGTAGATTATTTGTTTACTGCATCTGTTTGCATACTTGTTTGGAAATGTACCATTATTTTTTTTTTCTTCCTCTAAAAAAATAACACAAGAGAGAAATCACAATGAAACCAGCCTAACTCAACTAACAGAAGTGAGGGGTCGACATGGGGTCAACCTACAACACATTGACACAGAACGCAAACTCAACTGATTTTGTATCCTCAATATGTCCAGAGTAAGAGGGAAAAAAGCCCAGAAGAATCCCATTAGGGGAAGTTTTGAATAAGACCCAAACATACTCTATTCATACGCCTATTCATTCTGTTTCTCAAGTGAATAGGGTACCGAATTTAACCTTTAGATACCATGAAAATTAATTTTCTACTTACTGAGAGTAGTTCACTTACATCAAGACAAACAAAACATGTATTACAAGTTTATTTTTTTCATTGTTAAAGTCCCCGTGAAATCAAAATTGAACCTATTTACTTTGTTAGCGCGTATTACTAGTCTTGTGGTGAACAATTAATCCGTGCAAGTGAATACATGTTAAAAAATTGTTTTACCTTAGTAATCTTTAATCAAATTCTGAAAAGTTACTTCCGGTCTGGAACAGTTTCTTTTTCTGATGACGTAGGTTTCACAGTTTGGGTGGGGAAACGCTTAACCACTCCCCTCAAACCGTTAGTTTGCTATGAGCGAGAGATGGAGAGGAGGAGCGCTAGAGTAAAACCCTGCCCTCTGTTCAATATTCCGTTTCACTTGGAAATACGTCACAGCACTGGAGAAAAATCGTTAGCAACTTCCGGTTCACGGGGACTTTAACATGGGCAAACAGTGCATAATCTAATTTTGTGCTAATTTGCAAAAATAACACATCTTATTTGATTTATGTGATTATGATTTTCTCCATAATCGAGCAGCCCTACATAGACATGGCAAATGAACAAGAACAGTTGTTTTGGCACCACCGCCAAAAACATTTACAAAGTGAATCTGCTGCCAACTCTAACGACCTCACCATGAGTCACGCAATCGGCACTTCACTCGCTCTCACGCAGAGACAAACCACCAAGCAAACAGACACCGACAGATTACACAGAGCAGGACACTATTGACAGATTATCAGCTCTCGAATTCTGCCGATTTAATTACGAAATGCAAACAATAAACACAGTTTACTGTTTACTAACCCTAACTCGAACCGATCATCTCTTGCTCTTTGCCACTAGTTAATAGTACATAAACACAAATGATCAATAGGTCATTTGAAAGATACAGTTCAACTTACCGAAAAGTAATAAAATTGATCAGTGTTTTTAAACTGTGGAAATAGGTCCATAAAACAGGATAGTACCGCAACATCTTATTTTTAAATGTTTATATTAATTTTTTTTTACACCAGCACAATTATGGTAACGGTATCTCAACAGCCCGTACAGCCAAATATGCAAATATATGCAAATAAAATGAGATAATATAACGTTACCAGTAGCCGGGGCATAAATGCAGTCATTAATTCAAGGTCCACTCAACTGTCTTCCCTTTGTTTCTCCTAACGTTACATGGATTCATTTGATTGACTTTTATTTTACCTAGCTGTGTTTCTGCATTGTCCTGACCCGTGTCTCCTGTTCTCCAGAACCAGAACCCATCTGTCATAATCAACAATAAAGGCTGCTTTCTAAAGTACTCCTTCCCCTGTGTATAATGCTCATGGGTCGCCAAAATGGGTTCGAGACCTTCACGTCAAGTATTTTACTGTTATCGGGATATTGAGGATACAAAATCAGCTGAGTTTGCTTCTGTTGCAATTTGTTCAACCTTTTTTCATAAAATGACTGGACTATTAAGCAGCGACTGGATCTCTGTTGTCATGTCACTGAAGTCTAGGCTGGTCTTGATGGGTTGAGGACAGTTACTTGCCTCTGAATTTCTGCTCCCATTGCTCGAGTCCTTCTCTCCGCAGAAACACCACCGTTTCATCGGCGTCCCAGCGCCAAAACTCTCCGTCACAAACCTGCTTCACCTCGACAGCACACTCTTCATCTTCCCTGGGCCGTTTACTCCGCTTATCCATCACTAAACCGTTCATGTAAAACCCGACACACTTTCGGTGGATTCCAGCCGCCGCGCGCGTCAGAGCCGACTGAGAGTTTGTCCCTTCGCGCCTCCAGTGGTGTTGGAGTGCGCGTGACCCGCAGCGCCTCCTGTGGGGTCGGAGTGCGCGTGACCCGCAGAGGGTCCTATGGGGTCGGAGAGTGCGCGTGACCCGCCTGCCAGGTTTAGATGCTTCTACATCTATCCAACTATCATTATAACATATTGATAATTTTGGATATGAGTCCAACAGTCCATATATTCACCTATAATTTATGGGCTGTTGTTCCAGGATATGATATGTTGACCCAGGAAAGATGTTCCACACCCTCCACACACACACACACTGATGCCATAAATGCAAACAACACACATCAAAACAACCAGTAAGTACACAAACACCAGTGTTGTAGTCGAGACCACCTCACTCGAGTCCGAGTCGACACCGAGTCCATAGAGAGTCGAGTCCGAGTCGAGACCGAGACCAGTGAGGGTTGATTACCTAATTTACTTTTATATACTTAGAGAAATCCTTTTTACTGAATTTACTTAGAGTTTTAAAAATATGATCAGTTTAGGGTAAAAAGGCCACATAGTAGGTGGTTTTAAAAGTAATTTTATTACAATTTGTCATGCGCAGTTGCGCACTAGAAAATCACAATCACTGGGTGTGTCAATCAATTTAAAGAAATATTTTATTAACATAAATTAATAATCATGAAAAATATTTTTAATTGAACTCGAGTGGACTCGGGAATAATTCCGAGTCCTAAAAAAAAAAAATGTTCGAGTACGAGTCAATTCCGAGTCCAAATGCACACGAGTCCATGACAAGACCAAGACCATTAAAATATGGTCTCGAGTCCGAGTCTCGAGTACTACAACACTGACAAACACATCTACACACTCAAGGTTCACCCACTGCAAGCAACATCTTTGCTCATACAGTAGTATGTGCTCTTTTTTAAAATCGTCAAAATTATTCAACAATATTATAATCGTCAACTCCATAACTAACTCTAGTTCATAAGTTAGCCTATGGTTAAATTACGAGGATGTGGTGTTATAATGAGGTGAAAACCCTTAATAGAACCAAGACCGCTCTCCCATGTAACATTGAGGGGGTGACTGCATCAGAGGACATTGTTGACCTCTGGAGGCAGCGTTATTCAACTGTATAAAGAGTGAGCCTTATGATGTTGGTGTGATAGAGGATAAATATATCTATTTTCATCCAAATGAAGTTGTTAAGGCCATAGGGCAACTTGCCGACAGAAAAGCTTGTGGCATGGATAACATTACATCTGAGCACCTAAAGCTAGCTGGCCCCAGGTTAGCAGTGCTACGGTCTATTCGTTTCTCTAGGCATGGAATATTGCCTGATTCCATGAGTTGGTAGTATTGATAATTATAGACCGATAGCCCTTGCCAGCATTATCTCAAAAGTTCTTGAAAGTCTAATTCTTGACAAAATAAGTGACTGTTTATCCACCACTGACAATCAGTTTGGCTTTAAGCCCAAACATAGCACTGACCAATGTATCTATGCACTGAAAGAGGTTGTTGAGCCATATGGAAGTCAGGGCTCTACAATGCTTTTAGGTTTTATTGATATACAGGACAAGGCGTTTGACCACATTAATCATTTTAAATTGTTCAATGAACTCATGCACAGGGATGTCCCCAGCAGCCTGGTACGAATCTTAGCCTTTGTGGGTTAAATGGGGGAACACTCTATCTACATCTTTTTATGTTAGTAATGGGGTAAGGCAGGGGGGGATTTTATCTCCAGCCTTATTTAATGCCTACTTGGATGACCTGTCCAGGCAGTTGGGGACTTGCCAAACCAGCTGTATGGTTGGAGAAATGTTGATGAATCATTTCTTATATGCAGACGACCTTACCATTCTATCACCAAGCAGCAGTGGGTTCCAACAACAGCTACTCAATATCTGTTCTGATTATGGGGTAGAATTTGATATTAAATATAACGCAAAGAAAAGTGTGGTTATGACATGTAGAACAAAAGATGATTTAAACATTAAATTCCCTTCTTTCTATCTATCTGGAGAAGAGCTGGGAGTAGCTAATACCACAAAATATCTGGGGCACATCCTAACAGATACACTGGAGGATGATGCTGACATGAGCAGACAAAGGAGAGTGCTATATGTCCAAGCCAACATGCTGGCAAGAAAATCCATCACTGCACTACAGATGTTAAAATCAACCTGTTTCGAACTTACTGCTCCCCTCTTTACACAGCCCCTCTCTGGGTTAGATATAAGAAGGAGAGCCTGCTTAAGCTAAAAGTAGCCTATAACGACTGTCTCAGGATTCTCCTGAAGAAAACAAGAAGTACCAGGGCAAGCCAGCTGTTCTGTAGGCTGGGTTTAACTACTTTCATGGCTTTGGTGAGAAATCTCACTTTCAAGTTTAAGAATCCATGAATAGGGTTGGGTATCGTTTGAATTTGAACGATTCTGATTCCGATTGCGATTCCTTGTTTCGATTCCGGTTCCTAACGATTCTCGATTCCGATTCTTTTAAGAGGCAGGGTCAAAAAAGTTTAGCTAACCTTGCTAACCAACGGCCTTTCTGAAGGAAATACTCCTTCTGTAAAAATACTCCTTTTGTCACAAATTTTGCATTTTGCCGAGATTTCGTTATTTTTAGAAAAGTGAAGCCACACTTTGGATCGCCGACGTAAGCTACTCATGTTCGACTCGCGCGGTTATGCCAACACTTCCGGTAGACGCTTCTTCGTTGGTGTTGTTCAGCGGTTTCTTCTTCCGCTCGGCGGACTGTGAATATCGAAACTAGGAATCGAAATTTTAACTTTTGAACGATTCCGGGAAAAACGAAAAGTTAGTCACGGTTCCAATCGATACTCGATTCTCGATACCCAACCCTATCCATGAATGAGCTTAGATAGTAGATCCAAGTCGTAGCTCTGTGAGGTACATGTCAAAAATATGGGAACACTGGTATCTGTGCCTTCATTAGCTCTATTCTTCTGTTGTTGCTGTATAGAAGGGGTATATATGAATGTGTGATGTTTTATTGATCTGTGTATAGTATGTCTTCTGTGGGCCTTGAGCCTGTAATAAAGTTTAATAATATAAGTTGTTTTGTTAAAGTAGTTTTCAGCAAGCTCACACAGACATTTAAAAAAATCACAGTTGATATAATACTTAATGTAAAGCAAATAAGTCAAATGTAGGATAATTCAGGCATAAGATAAGATGAGGGATGCCTCGTCATTCACCTAAATCTCTCAGGAGGGGCAAATGTTTGGATGATTGATAGGGATAAGGGACGTCCTACTGCGGCCGTCTAGCCACCGCCAAGAAGACGACAATGTAAAGAGTGACATTATGTGCAATTTTAATCAGGTGAATATTTTCTAGAAATAAAAATTGCAGATAAGGCATATTAATTTTTCATTGATTCTTGCACCCAACAACACAACAAGACGACATTTAATAATGAGAAGAAAAATTTAAGATCCTTATGTGCTGGTTTGTATTTCCAGTTTTCCCTTTGTTTGCCTCCAGCTAGCGCCGTGACGTAACTGTGACGTCGGCTGGAAATTGGTCTATAGCGGCCGTGCAACAGCCGAGGCGGGGAAATGGTTAAAACACGTTTTATTTCAAACCTCAGTTTATGGCCATACTTTTTTGCAGAATTGTTCAGCAGTGCGAAGTAAAGAGGCGAGAGCCGGCATGAAGAGGATCCGGGTTTGTTCAGAGATGATGAATCCCAGCAGCTCTGCTCTTCATGACGATGCATGTGTAAGACTCGTAACGGCACATGTGTAACCTGCATGGTGTTTAGCTCTCTGATTCTGGTTACAGCCACACGTGTGTGTGTAGAATCGGATGATGGAGGCAGGAGGCACACGCTTGCTACGAGAGCTCGCTGTCGTACATCCGCCGCAGGTGCAGGACCAGCTCTGCGGTGTTTTCCCCGGTCAGTGCAGACACCGGGATGACCGTGAGCGGGACGCGGCTCCTCAGGGCCTCCAGGCTCCTCCTGGCCCCCGGCAGGTCCATCTTGTTGGCCACGACGGCGTGCGGTCTGAGGGAGAGCTGAGGGCTGTACTGGTCGAGCTCGAAGCTCAGCTGCTGGAGCTGAACCCAGGGCTCCGCACACGACATGTCCAGCACATACAGCAGGACACGGCAGCGCTCGATGTGCCGCAGGAAAGACACACCCAGCCCACGGTTCAGATGAGCTCCAGGGATCAGCCCGGGAATATCCGCCACTGCAGTAGATTGAGAGAGAGAGAGAGAGAGAGCTTTAACAGGAGATCTGCACTGTCGGCAAGTCTGGCAGATTGAGTGGATTTAGGCAAAATTTTGAATGTTTACAACTCATATGCCCCTCCCCCACTATCAACGAATACCCTCCCACAGAGTTCGTGCTCGAGTGCGTGCGCACCAGGTTATCTGTGAACGCGCCCGTCTCATCAGCATCCATCAACACCATGGATTATTTGGAGGTATGCTGCCCTGGCTGTGGCTAATCTACCAATATATTGCAATTGCTAACGTCATTCATACTGTAAATGAGCTTACTTGGTCCGCCATCACTCTTCCTTACTGCACGAACTTCAGGCGTGTGCATGTGATTGTAACGTGCGCGAGGGGTGGCGTGTGCCCGATCTGTGATTGACAGTCAGATCCCACACCCCCCTGCGCTGACTGCACCCGATGATCCGGGAGCACAGGAGTTTTGCAAAACAAATAACATGCTCCAGGTGGAGTTAGAAGCTCAGGTTTTTTTCTAAAACCAGTTTATTTATGTTGTTCTGTCGGATTATAGTGTCGATTTCACTGAATATGATCAAAAAAATGTTGCCGACGGCAGCTTTAAAGCACACACACCTGCCACCTGCTCGTGGTCTCTGTACTGGACGATGCCCACGTGAGGTTTGAGAGTGGTGAAGGGGTACGGGGCCACAGCCGGCCGGGCGTTAGAGATCGCTCGCAGGAGAGAGGACTTGCCTGCGTTTGGAAAGCCGACCTGCTCAGAGAACAGAAACAATCAACAGGCAGGGTTGGGAGGGTTACTTTTACAATATATTCCAGTACAGTTAAAAAATGGTTCATAAAAAAGTATTCAGTAACTTAATCCAAGCACCACATTATTAAAGTAATGCAATCTGATTACTTTTGGATTCCTTTAAAGGTCACATATGTAAATAAAGTTAAGCATCAAAGTACTTTATTTAACAATTCATTCAAAATAGAAACAATTAAAACTATGCAATGGTGTCTTATTTCACACCGCGTATATACATACTATATATATATATATGAAAGGCAATAGAGGCGTGTGCTCTGACCAGTGCGGCGTGAGCCATGGTGCGCAGCTCCAGCTGAACCTCTCGCTCCTGGCCCTTCTCTCCCGCCGTAGCCGTCATCGGCGCCCGGTTCTCGTTCGACAGGAAGAAGCGGTTCCCCTTCCCACCGGCCCCTCCGTACGCCAGGGTGAACATCTGCTCGTGGAAAGAGAGGTCCGCCAGCAACTCACCCGCTTCCTTCACAGCCGTGCCCAGAGGAACCTGCGGGAAACAGAGTCACGTGACGAGAGCTGCCCGTTAACCCTGCGGCGAACAGAGTCATGTGACGAGAGCTGTCCGGTAACCCTGCGGCGAACAGAGTCACGTGACGAGAGTGTGTTCGGGAGGAAACTCACTGAGATGTAGGTGGGTCTGCCATTGCGTCCGTAGCAGTTTTTACTGCTTCCTGCCACTCCGTCATGCCCGCGGTACACTGTTGACACGGAGGACAGGGACTTCAGCTGCCGGTCCACTGCGAATGAGAGTGACGGAGTATTCAAACCTTTTGCTATGGCATTCAGAAGTTTTGTTCAGACACACCCCATTTCCCAGGATTGCTACTTAAATATTGCTACTTAATTGCCTGAAATTTGAAGGAATATTCGCTGTGGCTATACCATTGTTCTACTAGCTTTTTTTCTTTTTACAAAATAACCAAGGTACTTCAACAAAAACCTTTAATTTTGATCGTTGTATTTTCCACAAAATAGCGAACCACAAGCATTGCAGCACAAAAGAAAGCTTTATAACTAAAATTTGCGGCTTACACTTGAACACATTCATAGTCATTACGTTTGACGGTGTACTGTGGCAAGCTTTCTGTTTGATTTGTGCGATGATTGGGCTATGCGTATTATAGGCAGTTAAAGGCACATTATGATTTATGGTTTGTTAGGCTTGAATGAACAACTACTCGTCGCCTACAAAAATCTTTAGTCGAGGGCAGCCCTAGAAACCGCAAAAGCTACGATTATTTTCCATGCGCAGCTCGTGGCGTACGGCTCTGTGATCAGTAGTAAACTCTGCTCCATCTGAAAGCACTTTGAGTTTGAGTCACAACACGCGTCAAACATCTTTCCAAACATGAGCCGCATTAATGAACCTCTTGTTCATTTAGTCACGTACCTCTGATGATGACGTCTCCTCCGGCTCCTCCGTCCCCCCCGTCCGGACCCCCCCACTCCTTCCAGGGCTCACTGTGGAAGCTGGAGGCTCCGTCACCCCCCCGCCCTGCCGCCACCTTCACCCTGCGCTGGTCCACGAAATACCGGGTCTGAGGAGGAACAGGGGAGATGTAACGTGTGTGTGTGTGTGTGTGTGTGTGTTGCCTTGTCTAAAACACCCACACTTGCGGCCACCTGAGACCACGTACACGCGACAGGAAGAAAGGGAGCAAGACTGTCACATGTCTTAAAAATGCTCTTAACGCACACTAAACCCACACCGCTTCTGAGAGTATCCCATCATGCATTGTGCTCGGGAACTCAAGAGCCCCAAAATCGTGAGATGTCGATCAAACATTCTGTAATTTGAATTAGTTATATATATATATATATATATATATAAAACGTTTTATAGTAAAACGCAGCCACAGGCAACCAGCAGCGACAAAGTTGCTTGTAGTGTGAACAGGACTTTACACACACACACACACACAGTCAGTCTCTCTCTCTGTCTTAAGTTACACACACACACACACACACACACACAATCTCTCTCTCTCTCTGTCTCTCTCTCTCTCTCTCCCACACACACACACACAGTCAGTCAGTCAGTCAGTCAGTCTCAGTCTCTCTCTCTCACTCACTCTCTCACTCACTCACCAGCTTCTTCTCCGACAGCGGGACTGTCTTGTGTTTGTGTGCTCGCTGTTTCAGCGCTTCACACACACTCCTGCCGCACATGCGCACGAGCTTCAGGTTGTTCTCGAACAGCATGCCAGTTTCAGAGGTGATGTTATTCTAATCTCAAACGTGTTACGCTGCCAATGTTTGCGGCTTAAAAAAGCTGAAGGTACGATGAGTGCTTGATCTAACCACCATGTCACGTTAAATAAAACTTAACGGTTTATATAAAACAATCTTAACCATTAATACAAAGCAATATTAATCACAGCCGCAAAAGAACTGAAATGACAGTCAGTCTTCTTCCTCGTCGTCTTCTTCTTCAGCAAGTCAGCTGTTGCCCATTCCCGCCACCTACTGGAGTGGACCGTGAAGCATTGATGTGCTTACAATTATATTAATATACAATTTTCTGTTAAAATATATATTTTAGATAAGTTTGTCATAGTTTAAAAAAACGTTATTTAGTTTATTAAAATGATTTCATGTTTATTTAGAAACTTAAAAAAACACTATCCAATAATAGCCTATTTATATAGTCTATTATTTAGGCTATTATATTATTAAATAGGCTATTATATTTTCTCTCTCTCCTACATCTGTTTATTTCTCAAAAAGTTGACTTTTCATGATGTTTTGTGATATAATAATAAAAACAGCCCTTATATTTCTCCACAAAGTGCGCTGTATTGTTCTGCAGGTGTGTGATCAGTGATCGGTGTGTGTGATCAGTGGTGTGTGATTGTGATCGGTGTGTGAGATGCGGCGCAGGTGCGGCAGGTCAGCCGAGGGCGGGAGAGACTCTCTATAAATCACACTGACCATGTCTACTCTCTTACTACAGTAACAGCTCGTCATGCTGCAGGTGTTCGCTTGATTCAGTCTGTGTTTGAGTGTGTATCTGACGCCATGAGCAGCGGCACTCCTTACATCGGCAGTAAGATCAGTCTGATCTCCAAAGCGCAGATTCGCTATGAGGGAATATTATACACTATCGACACTGATAACTCGACCGTGGCCCTGGCGAAAGGTGAGTGTGGAGATAACACACGCACACACATCTGCTCATCTAACAGAATCCCCTTGTCAAACTGTTAAACTTTTATCAATTTTTAAAGGAATTCATTAATTTGTCCAACATGTAGTTATACTTTAAAAAAACGAATTTTGAGCCCATTCTCTTCAATTGTATCAAATAAACAGTTTTTAAACCATAATAACTTGTTATTTGACTAAAACAATTTTAGATTGCTTAATTCATCTGCTACAGCAAGAAGATGATTTATCAAAACTCAAACGGTAAATATGCTGTGTATTTTATTTATCATGAATAGTAGAGATTTTTTTAAGGACAAGGAGCTAATATTTCTGTTTTAGCTGTAAACGCTAGTTCTATTATGTGAAGCATAGCAACTAGCCTAATCTTTCCTACCAGCTCATTACTAGGAGGCTTCTATTAACTGCTAACGTTAGCTAGCATCTGCTCTGGGTAGGTAACCGTAACACCAAACCATAACGGTATTTTTAAAACTGACGCTGAGTGTTAACGCATTATATTACAATTGTTAATGACACACAATGTACAGGCTACAAAAACTATCTGCCAACAGTAGCAAAAAATCGTGTGCATTTTCCACGTCTGTTTTTGGTTTTTACCATATCACGTGAACGCACCATACATCCTTCGGGAGCAGGGCTGGGAAACACTGCATTAACTAACTCGAACCTCTTCAGTCTTTCAGTCTGTTCTGAACAGTCAAGCTAAAACCTAATTGCGCACGTGATCAAACGTAATAAAAGCTCCTTTATAGTTTGCTAACTCTGGGTAACCCTGCACTCCCAGTCCTGTAACTGCTTCTGTTGACGTCTGGTTGGATTTGAGCTCCAGTGTTCGTGACTATTTTGTACTACATGGTTTTATTTGACTATAGCGGTGTCTGAAACCGCTCCCTGTCCACCATAGGGATGAGTGAATGAGTGTTTCAGACACCGCTCATGACCGGCCTGCAGGTCCCGTTAGCTTCAGCAGCTGCTGTGTGTGTTTGTCAGTGAGGTCTTTCGGCACCGAGGGGCGACCGACGGACCGGCCTGTGCCCCCGAGGGACGAGGTGTTTGAGTACATCATCTTCAGGGGAAGTGACATCAAGGACATCACGGTGTGTGAGCCTCTGAAGATCCACCACAGTCTTCCTCAGGACCCTGCTATCGTTCAGGTGTGTGTAACTCCAGTCACGTGTCCTCGGCTCGTTCAGACGCAGCGCTGATTGTTTCCTCTCGTTAGTCATCAGTCGGGACGTCGTCCACTCACTACGGGTCGCAGGGCGGATACAGTCCCTACCGAAACATGCTACCCTCTTACAGCCAGCTGGCGGCCAACTCCCTCCTCAACCAGCAGTACGCAGCGGCCCTGGGCCTCGGTGAGTGTGTGTGCCTCAAACAGCAGTACACAACAGCCCTGAGACAGACTGTGTGTGTGTGAGGCTCAGGTTTGCATGGTGTCCTGGTGCGGAGGGGTCCTATGGTGGAGTATGCGGTTCAGACTGTGTTTTGTGGCTCAGGTTTGCATGGTGTCCCGGTGCGGAGGGGTCCTATGGTGGAGCAGGCGGTTCAGACTGTGCCAGCAGAGAAAGCCCCACTGAAGGGTTTGAGCGGAGCAGGAGAGACGGGCCGAGCGCAGCGGGGCGGTCGGGCAGCGCAGAGAGCCTTCAGCAGTGAGTCCTACACACACACACACACACACCCTGAGCTCTCAGCTGGGTAACCCTGACATGGTCAAAACATTCCTCTCAGCTGGGAATTTATATTTTATGTTGTGATTTCTTGTGTGTGATTCCTGATGGGATACGCTTGGCCTCAAACAGTGCTGAAGTGCGAATAGAGTTTGGCTTTAGTGTTGAGGGCCGGACCCAGTCCACTGAGAGCACTGTGGTCGTTCGGCTTCTGGTTTCATCTGCTTCCAGTGGTTTACTTCCACAACAGTCTTATGCTGCCTGATATTGCGACTGTTTTACCTTAATGCATTAATGTGTTTTTGCACAGTTTCATGGTTTATTGCACTGTTCTCATTTCCCTATAGCGGCTAATTAATCTGGAGTCACGCATTCTCAGAAAACCTCTTGCTTCTGCATTGCAAAATGAGGTGATGCACACTTGCAGACACTTAACACACATTAAACCCAGACTATCTGTAGAGCAGTACTTGAGGCTAAGCGTGTCCCTTCATTTGTCACGTGATTTCATGACCCGCCTTGGGAAGACTTTCCAGTGCAAGTTAAATTTAATTGGCTGCTATGTATGACATGGTCAAGTGTTTATATTCAGATTATATGCATTTTGTAAAGTGTTTACAAATGAAACACCACAATCAGGCACTGGTTAAGTGTCCATTTGAGTAAACTAGTCTTAAAACGCTTGTGGTCTTCATGCCCACTTGAACACTTTGAACAAACTCTGAACTTCACTGGTCCACTTCATGACGTATTTCCAGAGGCTGCAGGTGTGTATTGCGACGGATGGTTGACTTGACCTGCTCTTTAGTAAACGTGCGTATGCGAGTTTCAAAAAGATGTGTGTTCCTTCCTCTGAGGTAATTCAGCTGCACAGCAAGGTGTCTTGAAGGGACAGAGTCAAGCTAATGACGAGAATAAGCCTCCAACTAGTAGGAGGAAACCAGGTGAAGACACTTCTTTGTTCTTTAATGACAGCGTTTGTTGATGTAGACTACCTTGTGAACATGAGGTGTCTTGTAGGACCTCGAAGGTCCAGGAACCGTGGTCGAGGGCAAATCCTTGTAGGGAACACGAAGCCCAGCACCCTGCAGTTCGAATCGGACTTCGATTTTGAAACCGCAAATGCTCAGTTCAATAAAGACGACGTGGAGAAGGAGATTGAAGACCAGCTCAATGTTGAAGGTATTTCCCCTGCACAGGCCCTTGAACGTCTCTTAAATCCACCCTGCAGAATTCGCCTTTCTTTATTCCTGTTAGTGTATTTGCTTTGTCAGAGCCAAAAGTGACCCCGGAGGAAAGCGATAAAGATCAGGATAAGCCTGAGAATGCCATTAAAGAGGATCTGCTCGGGCCGAAGTGCTTCTACAATAAAGCAAAGTGCTTCTTTGACAACATCTCGTCCGAGCTCAAGTCGAGGTATGACCCGTCCACTTCTGTTTAGCAGGAGCTCTGCTTGTCAGTGAGTTTGTTTCTTCTCCCCCAGACGCACCACATGGGCTGAGGAAAGGAAGCTGAACGTGGAGACCTTTGGGGTGCCGGGCCGGTATCTGAGAGGCCGTGGGTTTCGGGGGAGCTACCGAGGGCGTCGGGGCCGAGGGGCGGTGCAGCGTCCCCTTCCACAGAGAGTAGGCAGCGGACGACTGTGACCCGAAGTGAGTCAATCCTGCTCGCTCCACTCCATCTGACCGAGTATGCCATTGGAGGAATGATGTTTCTTTGGTTCCTATGAACACGTTAGGATGTTCTCTCTTTACAGGCTTAAGTCAGTCTCAATTGACCCCATTTACTTTGTCAACACACATTTCTTCTTTCAATAGTCTGAGATTAAAGTGCCCGTGTTTATCTGAGAAGTACTCAACCTTTTCACCAACCACTCTGTTCTTTATGGATGAATCAAATTCCACCCGCAGTGTCCGTTTAATGTTGATTGTAAGTGAATGTCTAATTCTATGGATTTAATCTTGCTCTTTTATTCATACCTCTTTCCTCCAGATGCGTTTTGCTTTCCTCTGGGTGACTTGGTCTTGTCTACGAGTTTGATTTCCAGTGGCTAATATTGCTTGAATTTTCTCCAAACAACCACTGGTTGTAGAAAAAAAAATGGCTGCATTGATTACTTTTAATTTGACATTAAAAAGGCCTTTTTCCTTTTGTTTCTTGTATGTGAAGAACCCTGTTTCTTAACCATGTAAATGCACCTAAATCTACCTGGGATTTTTTGCATTTGATTTGGGATAGCACTTTTATTTGTATGTATGGCCAGTTTTGGTTGTACAAAAATATGCATTTAAATGGAGTAGATAAACTTCAGTCTATGGTATGTGATCCCCAGTAATTCTTATTTATTATAATTGTTTTTCTTTTTGTAAAATTGTAAGGGGACCTTGTTGATGTACTTGTTAATAAATATGAGAAATGAAAATTTGGAGTCTGTATGCTTGATCAAGAGGTATGGTGGTACCCATGTTTTGTGAATTCTGGGAGTATTTTCTATGTATAAATAACACCTCAGTATAGTTTTTATAGTTGGTATAGGTTTTATAGTATAGTTATTAATGCACAATTTGTGGTGCAAATATTTGCACATGAAAAGTTTAAGACATTACACCGTTTAATAATGGTAG